AAGCTATTTAAGTAAAAGTATAAATTCCCCTAAATAATTTTTTAGCTAAAACTAATCTATAAATAATTTCCTTTTTTAGATTTAAGTTATTAAAGCTTTTAATAAAACTATAGATAATAGTATTTAAAATTATTAACTTAGATAAACTAAAAGGTAAAGCTCTAAAAACTAAAAACTAAATTTAACCTTTATAACATTATATAATATTAATAATTCTCTAGTAAAAAATAAATAAAAACTTATCTTTTTTTTAATAAAAAAAGGCTAAATTTATATTAAAAAATACTAAAGAAATATTAATAATTTTAGATAAGAACTTATTAATAAAAAAAGTCTTAAAGTTCTAAACTATATTTAAAATAAAGTTTAGTATAGCTAAAAGCTTAATAGTATTAAAGTTACTATTATACTAATTTCTAGTGTTACTAATTAAAAGTATTTATAAATCTTCTATATATAGTTATAATAAAATATAGCCCTAAGTATTATAATACTTTTTTATTTTATATTTATATTTATATAGTTAGTAGGCTATAAACTCTTTCCTATTTTTATTAAATATTCTATAGAAAGTAAAAGTTAGCCTAGTCTACTTATACTCTAGGTCTAGTATAGTAGGTATTAATATAAGATATATTAATATAAAGAAAGAAAGTATTTTATTAAAAGATAATAAAATAGAAATAAAGTTTTAAATAAAAAGTAATAAAAACTAGAATTTATTAAAGAGGGGTAAATTTTAAGTTAGTAACTATATTAGTAAAGGACTTTCTAATTATAATATAAATAATAAAAAAATAAAGTTAAAAAGCGTTACTAAGCTACTAGTTACTAAAGTAAAAATAGAACTAGGAGTTTTTTCCTTAAACTAACATTGCTTTTATCTATTTCGGAAAGAAGCTTAAAGTATTAGAATTCTTTAGTATAGTCTAGCGGACAATAATAAGTCTATTTTAAAAAAGTTTAATATAATTAAATTAAAAACTTTAAATAGGTATATATTATAAATAATTATAACTTAAGTTCTAGCTAGCTAAAGGCGGGTTTAGCTATCCTCCTATTAAGCTTTAGCTAATACTTGCTTTTAACTTAATTTCTAATTTATAGTTAATTAATTCTTTAATAAAAAACCCTTTAACTAACTAGTTTCCTAAATATAAAAATATTATAGGTTTTTAGCTATATACTCTTTTAATATTAAAGTAGAAAATATTTAAATAGCAGGTTTAAAAGATTTTAAAAAGGGGACTTTTAACCTAGAATAAATAATATATTAAAAGGAGTATTTAGTATTTAATAGTAATAGTTTAAAATTTAGATATTTAGAAATTAGATAATAAAATAGTTTAAAAATAAAGCAAATTTTAATAAAGAAAATAGCCTCTAATATTAAAGGCCTAGCGTCTAAAAGTAATAAAAATAATATTTAATAAAATTAGAAAAAGTTATAAATAATAATAAATAATAAACGATTACAACGCTAGTAAGTCCTATATAGGTTTACTAAAAAAGTAAGACAACTTAATTGGACAAAGGATAGTATTTTATCTAACTACTACTACAGATAAATATCCCAGCTGTGCTAAGCCATTTAGCGCCCTCGTCCACAGAAGGCAGCGCGGTTTCAATTCCGCGTTCTGCTTTTATGCCAAGACAAAGCTGCTGCGCAGCTTTCGCGAGCTACAAACATCGAACGCCTCTGCTCTCTGGACAAGGTAGGTGACTTAGGTGTTGTGATTTTGAAGGTCTGGAAAAGAGCTGGTTCGGATTTCAGTCTCAGCCATGAAGGTAGTCCGAGGGTCGGTTAGTCTGAACGTGGCCAAGCCAAATCTATAGGGGCAAAACGGGGGGTTGGCTGAGCTGCGAAAACCCGCTTAAAGGAGCCCTCCAGGGGCGCACACCCCTAAACACACGCGCTAGAATTCTATTTGGCGTGGCCACGTTCAGACTAACCGACCCTCGGTCGCTCTCGATGGAGCCAAGATCGACAGGGACATATTCTATCATAGATGAGCTTTCTGAAGCTTTTCAGGGCTTTTTGACAAACATTCGGCAGTCTTCCGCTACTCATTGCTGTATGTTTCTGAGAAGTCATGCCTATATTCCTCCTCCCTTCTTTCGATGGGCATCGAAACACGATACCCCCTGAGTCTGCAAATCATGCGTTATTCACATACAAGAAGAATAAATGTTCTGCAATTGCGGCGACCATTCTCAACTTCCAAGATGATTTGCGATGAAACAAAGTTGTACATATATTTTTAGTCCTTCCAGAAGACTTTCTTGTGGACGCCCCCACGTTTCCTATTATCAGGCTAGACGCTCTACATTGTTTGGCAGATAGTACATTCAATTTCATACCTTGAGCCGATATGTACCATCCGTTTCAATGCTATCAAGTCCTATTCGCTTCAAACACGATAGCATTATCGGCTTGCCGACTGGATTTATCTCATGATGAGAAGATCGGAAAATGTGTGAATCAGATGATCTGATCCTCGCATTGACCATTGTGCATTGAGGCCGCCTGATACCAGGGTGGCCACTTGCCTATGTCATTTTTGAAGTAAGTCTGCAGTACTGGCTTTGTACTACCTCTGCACGAGCGTCGAGGTGGGGGTTTCAATGGTTTCATCTAAGAAAAAAGCATCTTCAGCTAGAGGCTCAGTGACTGTGTAACGTTCGCAACAGGGGAGTTTAAATTGAGGAGACATCTGACTTGGCTAAACGTATTTCGGTGAGGGGGAAAGTGAATGTTTGGTTAGCATGTTCGTTCCACTCCTTCTAGCGATCATGACCAATACCCCGTTGTCATTAGCTCTATCTAAGTCCCAACACCACGCGACTGTGTCACCGAAGTCGTACAACGAGCAATGTTGTACGACAACAGGCTGCGGTCTGTGCTACTTTGCGTTATGATAAATTTGAGCGGGATCCCTTTGATGGTGTTTTAACTTTCACCACTGCTGAAGAAATTACGAAGAAGCTTGACAATCAAAGTTCACTAGCTCATCATGTGTAGAGTTGCAAAAATCACCTGGAAGCATCCTGACTGCTTCGGATGTGAGGATTACCAAGTCTACGAGGAGTGTGGAAGGGCTCCTCAAACTGACAAGGAAAAATTCAATTGCAATCCTGGGTACAATTCTTACTGGAAGTGCGTTGACTCTATAATCTAATGATTCACAACCTCAACTGACCATAATTCAGAAAAGATCGAATCAACAACAACGGCCGTTGCAGTATGCTCCCATTTTTTTTCTAAGCAATCCCTACCCGAAAAGCCCAAATCTAACAATCACCTCTTTGTGATAGATCTTCATAGCTGGCGAGCCCATGATCTCGCACTCCCACATGCCCAATCCGCACTCGAAAGTGCGGAACGCGCGCTGAGCAAATGGAATCGTGCTACAGCTTACGAGCCTCGCTGGGCCTTCGAGGATAGGGTTGATTCTGCTAGAAACCGCCTTCGCGAGTTGAGACAAGGACGCGATCGGGCCAAACGTTCATACCTGACATATGGCAAGTCCACTCCGAGTGGGCACTAGATCAAGGCGTCCGTTGAAGGAATCCTGAATCAACCAGGGAAATGCCTTTCGACCTACACTTTACATGCTCTATCTAGTGAAGCCTTGCTTGAAACTTGCCTGCGAGAATAGGAGATGGTGTCACATTATTAAAGTAACTACAAGTCGCAATTTTATTTGGAAGTGACAGTCCTGGGCAGCTTTGAATACATGACATCACTCCACCCCTACAGCAGATTCAAATTCTATACGCTGAAACTTGTTAGCAGGCACTCTATTCAAGCCGACAGTTACCACATTCCATGCTTGTAATCATCTATTGTGCGGAAATTTGTCGTGATTTAATGTGCATATCACCCCTCATTCGATTGCTCTTTGGTCATGCGAATGGTTTATCTCGATGTATCGCCTACTTCCTCATTCATAGCCTTCAGTCGTTGAGATCTTTGCAACCTCGAACTTGGCAAAGGGTGCATTCTGTTCGAAACAAATTTTGGGGATTGACTTCAAGCGTCTCAAGATCATTTCCTTCGGAGGCTGGATTGGCTGCAGGTACATACATCCAGTGCACTAGCGTTTGATGTTCGTTTGCAGCAGTACTATGAGATTTCAGGTATCTGTCATGCACCTGTCATGACTTCACAGGAAGAAAGTCTTTGACTTATATGGACTTCAAGTTTGCGATTTCAGATGACTCGGTACGAGGGCAATGGTGATATGCACACTTTGCTCCCATACATGTTTGGACCATGCATCACCTGAGCGGCATCATTTGATGAAGCACTCGGTACCCATTCGCTTATCTACGGGTTCAGCTCGTATTGTGTGATTATCCCTTGTGACATGTCCTCCACAGGAGCGAATGAGAACAAGTAGATGCCTTCTAGGTCTTGGAGACGCGGCCAAGAGAAACATATAATCTTACCCAGCCACTTTGTCCCGCAAAACCCATACACAATCCGCCGCTTTGGTATGTTTATTGGGTGACCCGAGAGTCTAAGGAGGTTGTCCGTATCATCATTGCAATGCAGCATGCATCGTCCTCTTGCCATCGGACAATAATTTGCTGCACCTCCGGCTGCGCTTGCTTCCACTACAAAACGTCATGAATTCTCGCTCTTCTCCAAAACTAAATCTAGGATTCTTCCTAAGCAGAGCAAAGCACAACAAAAGACTTTTTGAACTACAAGATCAACTATGTGTATTGTCATGAAAGTAACATGGGAATATCCCAGTTGCTTCGATTGTAGAGTATGCCTTGTCGAGCGATGCGACCATTACCCTGGAAGTGGTAAAGAGGCGTGGCATTGTTACCCTGACGATGATCCCAAGTGGAAGTGCGTGGAGCCTCAATGCCTTATGCATCTTGTTGAGCTGACATAGTCCCAGGAAACACCCCAAAAACCACGATTCAGATAAAGGCCCCTGCAGTAGGCCCACATCCAGATCTCCCAATGTTTGCTCGTGGGAATCATGAAGTCTAACAGCTACATCGAGCTAGATCTGCATTATCTCGAACACAAGGAGAAGAAGCTTCGGCAAGCGAAAAGAGATCTGACCCCACTCCAGAATGAATTCGATTTATTCGAAAAGGCACTTGAGTTGGCCAAGAGAGAATTTGCGGTGGCTGACCATGACTTTCGATCCGCAGGGAGAGAGTTTGACTCGGCTGATAGAAGGAAATCAAGGCTGGCTGAGAGGAATCATCTCAATTCGGCCGATAAATTGGAATTCAAACAGGCTAAAGTTGACTTCAAGAACGCCCTGCGGAAACTCAACAAAGTTATGGATAATTTCGACTCTGCTGACCAGGAACTCAATAAGGCTCGAAGGGAAAGAAAGATAGCTCGGGATAATTTGAAAGCGGCTCAGAAGACTGTCTATGTTGCACAATACAAGCGAAATTGGGCAGCCAAATACTACCAAAAGTTCGGCAAGGCTGGTCCAGACGGGTGTAGGGCCACGCCCTGGTCAAGGAAGATCGAGGATGATTAGGAAATAGTAAATCATTAGACCATACGCACTATTGTAAATATTGATCAGTCTTGTACTTTAGACTGCTGCACCTGTCAACTAGTAGCTTACGAAAGCTAATGTGAAAAATGCATGCCTATGAAACAGAGAGGCCCGGGACGTTATTGACCCCGTTTAAATTCATGATCGATAGGCCTATCAAGGAAAAAGTCCAGATCGAGTTTTCATGCAGCCCAAGTTTAGGTTTGCTGATTGTTTCCCAACGTTGGTATCGAATCGAGACACACACAAGAGTTATCAACAGAAAATTACCAAGATCATCATTACGAATAGAGTGCCCATGATTTAAAACAATATAGCAAGAGATCAGTGACTTCTTGACCAGAATACAAGATGCAAGAGATCATACAAGAAAAACCAGCAGCACCCCTACCTCGGCATATAACTAACCCAATACATCCTGTCATCGCAAAAATCACAACTCCCCTGATCCCCCCCATTCTTCTTCTTCAACACTCTCACCACTGGTCCCTTACAATCTGCCTCCCTGTGAACATTCACATGATCGAACCACGCATGCCCCGCATAATCCTCACCAAAATCTACTCCCACCCAAGCCGTGTTGGGTGTCCAATTCGTGCACGAGTTTTTCTTTAAATTGGGGCTGTCGCCGGTACATCGCCCACCGCGGCTGGAATCTTCTTTTGGGTAGCGATCGCCCGTGAGACCTTGGTCACTAGTCGCGGTACAATCGGGGTAGATGTGAGCGCCAATCCAGGGGAAGGACCAGCGTTTTTCGAGGGTGGCCGTGTGGTTGGAGGGGAAAGCTGATGTCAGCGATAGCGCTGCTATGGACACGATGATGGTAGAGAGCTGCATGTCTGCGATACGCGAGGAAAGGATGACCGAGTTTACGGACACTGAAAAGTCTTTGAATATATTTGAAACAAGGAGCACTGAATGGATGACTTTAGAAAATGGGAAGGCGGGCTCTGTCTTGATATAACTGGGATGTTATGCTAATAGTGAGCCAATCCCAAGCACAATGCTCTAATTCAATCATTCTATTCGAGGATTGCCTGTGGAAGGACAGACAAAGAAACCCGATTGCTTCTTTGACTCACAAACTCCACGATAAAGCGGACTTATTTGGACAATCATTGATTCTTGGCGTTACTGAACGAACATGGAGAGCTCTGAAAACAGTACATGCATTCAATAGACGAGAGCACGAGTGGAATTCGCCTCACTTCGGGGTACTTCACTCCAAAATTCACCCCACTTCTGAAATGACCACCCCAATGACACTCTTTTAATCAACACTTTAGACACTAAGAAAGCCATAGATCACAGTCTGCGCAACTGCTTTCAAAAGAGCATAGATAAGTGCGCTGTTGTTTAGCCCAAGCGAGTGTATGCTCGTGTAAGAACTCATCCCAGAAGCAGGATTCCTAGTATTCACACTTTGACTAAGAAAACGGTCATCGCTATGGCTTCTTCACCCGACGCCACCCCACGCCTAACAAAATTAGAAAAAGAATATCGCAAAGCGTATGGGGACATAGGTGTCAAATGTGAGCCACACTAAACCAAGATCGAGTCTTCACACTGTGTACATACTCACTAAAATCCACAGACCGCATTGACAAAGTCCAAAAACTCTACATCCAAATGCTCGACGAACGAGAAATCGACGGCATCGCCCGCATCAGAGAATGGCACGAACAACAGATCTTAACCATCAAGCAAGACCTTGACAACAGCCGTGACGAGTGGACGAAAGCGGTCGAAAGCTAAATGAGACGGCTCGCGAATGCGCGCCGGAGCAAGCACTTCAACTAGCGAATCGAGAGCAAGAAATTTACGAAAAGATGGATGTGAAGAGGAAATGTATGCGCTACGAGTTATTCTTGGCGCGTTTTCGCACCCTGATCTTTCAGAGCCGTGTCACGGAGGCTGTGAAGATCTATTGCTGGGATCAGAAGACAATGACGGGTGAGGAGCTGTGGTGAAGACTTGGTAAGGGCTGTGATGAGTGTCTGTGTCACGATTGCTGTGGCGGTGGCAAAGTAGGATACTTAGCTTCAGACATGTGTTACTGTGGGAATTTAGTGGTGGGTATAGAAGGAGCGCTGTTCTCTGACCGTTCCGTCTTCTCGTATGATCATCATTATCAAGCAACGTTGAGACGTCGTTAGACACTCTGAAGATATGATGATCTCCTTAAAATGCTTCAGTGCTTCACAAGCCGGCGGTTTGCCCTAAGCCTCCGTAGATTCAGCGTCCGAGGAACGAACAAATCAACTTGATTAGGTCTTCAAAGTATGTCTGGTCGGATCACACACGAAGATCAATTGCGAATTGCGAGATATCTGATCTCTCCCTTGCGACGACGCCTGAGTGGTACGTAGCTAACAAATGTCCCCCGCTGTAACAATTCACTGCGTGTGTTTCGTGAGGGGTACGGGACGACCAGTCATCATACCTTTGCATTCGCTTCCGCGACAACGCCTGCTTCAGACCAAGTGAGCAAACACCAGCTATGGCTCTAGGTGATGAAGGAGCACGGAAGACGTAAGACCTTAAATAGGCAGCCTCCTCCAGAACTCTGCAACAAAGCGTCTTCCGTAAACAACCTTCGATTCTCCCTTTTTAGTATTCAGAAAGTATGGACCACATTTCTATGGACTCGCAGCTTGCTACGGAACTCGAGAACAAATATTTTAAAGTCTACGCAAATTTGCAAAAAGCTAGACGTCACGGCGCAGCAGAGCGTATTGCTCAAGGTTAACCGCTTACCCCAAGCTTCAGCTACTAACAGTTCGACTAAAAGGCAATCGCAGACATCATCGATCAAATGAAGAAGATCTACGAGCAGATGGTCACGGAAAAAGATACAATTGGCATGGATCACATCCAGCAGCAATATAAGCGACAAATTTCAACCCTCAAGCGGGATAGTAAGAATGCGATTCATCACTTCGCGAAAGCGGCGGATTACGGCACGAAGGCGAGGAAGGAGAAGTGGGGAGCGGAGGTTCAAGAAACCCTGTTATTGATTTTACTGGATGCCAGGAGAGATGTGATACTGAAGTGTCATTTGCGAAGAGACGAGGAGGACCTACAGTCATTCCGAACAAAGGCCCGACATGGGAATTCTGGCTGGAAACGTTTTTGGCTTTGGGTAAGAAGAGGGCGCCTGAAGAGGAAGGAAGGTCGAGTGGACAGTCTACGTAATGATCTTGTCCGGTGAAAGGCCGTACATTCCTGACGCTCTTCGAAGCAAAGAATGTTTGTACGAACGCCCCAATTTAGAATCACTAGTTGATGAAAGATGGACAAAGAGGTTCGGGTCATCGAAACACAAAATGGCATCCTTTGTTCTCCATGACAAGATAGTCTGTTTGCTGAAAACTCATTTGATCACTGCATGAATGCGGAACTCTGAAGCGCATTCCCGAGCTTATAAATTTTAGATCGTTCAATCAGACCGGTAGTATTCGAGTTTGGCACGATCTCCTATCGCCATATACCAAGAATTCATGTCGCGACAACCCCTGTCTCATCTACAGCCAAAAAATTGCGCTTGTGACATTGAATTCGCTGCATCTTAGGTCCGTAGGGAGTCCGAAGTGGTACAAAAGAAAGGTCACGCAAGCCACGGAGTATCTTCAGCGAAACCATCAGCCGTCCCTATTCACCCCTCATCTCTACACTATACACTTATGAGTGCGTTGCCAACATGTACATCCATGAAGGGGTCATTCGGCTCGAGACAGAGCTCGAGAAACAGTATCGCAGAGCCCGCAACGATCTGCGAAAGGCGCGACGTGAGTACAAAGACGACAAGACTATCGAAGGTGAGTCCTGGACCTACTTCCCCTGCTAATCGATATATTAACACAGTTGGCATGCACAGATCTCATGACTCACATCACAGCAACTTACCAACAAATCCTCGAAACAGAAGATTCCATCTCCATCGACCATATCGATAAACAACACAGCAGGGAAGTCCCATCGATCCAGCGCTCTTTTGAAAAACTCGATAACGAGTTCAGGGAGGCAGCTTTGATTCTCAAGGAGGCGCAAGATCGCGAATGCAGCCGGAAGGAGAGAGACCCTCTGTCATATCGGTTTGATATTATTTGCAAGTACAGGATCGAGGCGATGACACAGTTGGGGGATGAGCTGCAGCTGCAGAGATTTCGTAAGGAGGCCCGTCGCCAGTATCGCTGGAAACGTTTTCGGCAGTGTTTCTTTGGATGGCTTAAGACGAAGGAACCCAAAGAAAAGGCTTCTGAGAGAGGGCAAGAAGAAGAGGTGAATCTTAAGTCTCGTCCATAGAACTCTACCTAATCTCCACACCCTCCTTCTTCCCCCCTCCCCCCTCATTCCAAACACCCAGATCCCCCCCGCACATCCTACACACACCCCCCATTTCCATTCAACGCCCTCCACTCCGCCGTCGTCGCAGCATCACGCAGCATTACACTGATGATACCCGCCCACCTTCTCATTAACGCTCCCATCCCCACCCTGCACAAACAACTGCTCCCCCGCCCCCGCATCCGAGTTCGTCAACACCGCACAAAATGGGCCCGGCAGCCACGCCCCCTGGGCAACACCATCAGCATCCTGCTCCCGCACCGGCGTCTGGAACACCACAATATCCGGCGTGATCGTCCCCACGGCATTCGGCTTGCCGTTGCCATCAAGTTCCGTCGGCGCTATGGTGCCGGGGTACGATATCGGCGCGTAGAGTAATACGCCATCTTCCCACTGGCACCCCTGGGCGGGTATCACGGTGTAGGAGGATGCGACCATGGAGAGGGCGAATTCGCGCGGCCAGCTTGGCGCTGGGTCGGCGATGTCGGATTCGGTGTTCTGGTTTGTGAGGTAGTATTGGTACCGCGTGCTTGCGCCCGACTGAACGAGGGAGATCGTGTTGGCGTCCAGGATGTGCGCGGTTTCGTTGGCTGTGGCGCAGGTGATCCCGTTGGCGGGGATGTGGCTTGAGGGTGGGTTGGTTTGTTGGGATGAGGAAGCCGTGGATGAGGTGGAGGTTTTGGGTATGGCTGGGGGTGGGGGTGCTACGCCTGGGTGGGCGAGGGCGAGGGTGGGGAGGGTGGAGAGGAAGAGGGGGAGGAGGGGGGTGGTGGTGAGGAAGTGGTGCATCATAGATATTCGTGAATAAGGCTTCAAGGCTGCGTACTGCGACTGGTTCGTTGTCTTGCGATGGGCGTTCCTCAAATGGACGAGCTGGGGAGTTGATATACAATTGTCTCGGGTAGAAGAGCGCATGTCGCAAAGTCTGTTTTGAGGCTGAAACTACGATGACGGGCTTTATGTTGAACAGGACGACCAACTAGTGTTGGAACACGGACGAGCTGCTTATAAGCCAACACCGGCTCGACAATGCTCATTTAATTCAATTCTTCAGGCGGCTTGTTGCGCAGTCACTCCTCGCTTGCGTGAAACGCGCAAAAGTGATTCTGCGCTGATAAGCCATTCCATGTCAATAATGTGTGCAGAACACGGAGATCATTTCCCCTCATCATCGTAAAATCCTAAAGATTCAGCTTTGGAGAGTTGAAGATCTGCTTCATCTTTCTCAAAGATCGATGTACGTTGCTCGCAACCTATTTAGGTCTCAGCGGCCAAGATTATGTCAGGAGATCACTCGAGGAGTCCAACAAAGGGGGTTACTCCATTGACTGTCCCTCCTTGCGTCTCATCATCGGCTGCCTGCTCGTTGAGGACGAGAACTCTAAAAGCTTGTGGACCACTAGGCCTGGTCTGCATCAGAAGTGGCGGTGGGATCACGTTCTTGTGGTCTACACGAGCTTCATCATGTACCATGAAAGAGCGTTGCAGTCGCGCTCAGCTGCTTCTTTAGTGAAAGCAATTAAGAGGGTCTTGTAGCACAATGATGAGTTTCCAATCCCTCGTCTCGAGCAGAGGCGTCTCTGACTGAATTGCAGGATGGGGGCCTTGAAGCCGAAGCCGATGTTTCACTTGTGAATACGTAACATTTGTTGTACTACATAAGCAAATGGTTTGAGCTCATTGGAGAAGCACCTCGAACAATCTTTCTCCAAGAAGAACATATAAAGCGTGAAGTCCTCGCTTTGTTTCTGCAATCCTGTGACTTGCAATCTACCGCACTGTCAAGTCTTTTCTGTAAAACATTCGACTTTTTTCCTCGAGTAAAGGATTCTTGGTTCGAAAGCCCTCTTACCTGAGCTTTACTTCACAGTCTCGATTGGGATCATCATAGTATCATGCCCAAATCGTTTATCAATGAGATGGCGGAGAAATCTCGCAGCACTTCACCAGATACACCTCCCCCCAAATGGGGCATCACGGAAGGCGCAGTAATACAAGAAAGTGAGCATTTTCTCAGATAAAACTTATTAAACACTCACTAATGAGCATTGAAAGTCCTCGATCAAGTTAGGCGATCTCAGGCTGAGGATCTCGAGAAAATCGCAAAGCTACAATGTGATGCGGATAAATTGGTGGAGAAAGCGGACAACGTTACTGAAAGCATTGGGAATGTTGAGCGAGCAGGATTTTTGAAGGGGCTGATGCCTAGAGCTCGGAAAGAACGAGACGACATTATGCGCAAGGCAATCCGTCTGAGGTGCGAAATCAAACTTTTGCAGCAGCACGTTGAGAGTCTGAAGCAGATAACTGCAGTTGATGGTGGAGAATTGTACACCAAGTCTTTGCGTCCATGGTCGGGTGACAATGCAGTACATGAACATGAAACTGTTGAGCATGATCATTAAGGACTAAGAATACGGTACTACGCTGCATAGTCTCGGTAGTGAAACGACCCTGTACCTAATTGCCTGATATGAAAGATTTAGGACGTGGAACATCAATGACCCAACATTCTGTGAACAAGGTAAGAACTTCGAGGTTTTCAGGAATGATAAGATGTCAGCTTTCTTCTTTGTGAACAAAACGAATGAAGAGCTTCACGACATGGCCGAGTGAAACTTCGCCCAATTTGCCACGGTATTATTGATCCAATAGCTTCTGTGAAACCCAAAGGGGCTCTCACATTATGACCGGGCAATCAGATACACCGCTTTGAATCACGCATATGTTTGAATCATGCATATGTTGTTGAAACCAACTACGACCGCAAATCAACAGCCGCGCTTTGCTGCTTCCAAAGCGTAGCGATGGAAGAGACCTTGCGAACGGAAGTTCTCATTCACCATTAGAAGCGTCTACGGCCGAGTTTCAGGGCACCATCCTTGGCATTGAAGGCGTTGTTTCATTGGGTTGGACTTCGGAGTCTTTGTACGACATGAACAAAGGATTGAAGGTCTTACGTCTAGTTTGGAATATTTGTGAGAGACGGAATTCAGGGAACGGATATAAAGGATGAAGTCTCTCTTTGTCTCATTTCGTCACTAGCAGCTCATTCAATACCACATCACATTTTCACTTAATCACTCAGTCCCTATTCTAGCTGGCCTACCCCCTAATACGGACGCTGCCCTACGCAAAGATCCTTGGAAGATCTTCAACAGTCTCTCGTGAGATCATAATGGCAGAGATCTTTGCTGAGGCCCTTCATAGACGTCGCGCCGCCCCGCCAAGCGTACCCACAGCAGCGTCAACCGCGAAACTCGCTGCGACAAGAAATCAACGTGCGTCTGAGGTCTAGAATGGGAATGTCTGTACTGCCTGCTAATATCCTGTCATAGTCATAGATTATACCAAGTTTGAAGAGGCAAGTCGTCTCGAGGAGAAGGACCGGCTCCAAGCTCAAGCAAAGATACTAAAGAGGGAAGTGGACGGGCCTTGCAAATGGATCAAGATGCTTGAAGAATTACGACTCTACAAGTTGCTGTCGTTGAAAATTCGGAAGAAGCGTGAGGCTGACCAGCAGGAGCTGGATGGGATGCAACGCGATATTAAGGATTTGGAGACAAAGATTGAGGGTCTCAGGCAAAGTAAAGAGCGTTTTACTCAAATCGGGCAATAGAAATGCGTTGGTGAGACAAAATTGCAGGCACCTCAACATTAGGTGTGACGTACTTAATAACAGTTCCTATGATTCAGATGCGGGTTGTCTGATCATTAATTAAGCAATATCATTCGTATGGAGCTATTTTCCTCAATATCTCTAAAGCCAGATGATATCAAGAGTCTGCTTAGGTCATAGCAAATTTGGAGCTAAAAGCTGTTCTCACATATGACCTTGCGAACCGAAAGTGCTCCTTCATCATTGGAAGCGTCTAAATCTGAGGTTCAAGGCACTATCCTTGGTATTAAAGGCGTTGTTTCACTTGGTAGAATTTCAGGTTCTTCGTACGACATGGACAAAGCATACGAAGTCGTACGTAAGGCGAACTTCGCATAAAGAGCGAATGTTCCTTATCTTCTTTGCTCAAAATTAGCAGTCTTTCGCCAGATTCAGAATCTGCCACGCAAGCACAAATTCCAGCTTAAATATCCTTCTACCGACGCTGGCCCGCCAAAAGGCCCCTACACGATCCTCAATAGACGTCCGCCATAGATGGAGACACATACAAATCGCGAGCACTTCAAGGATGCTCGCGCCACTCTAGTACAAGAATTCTGGGCAGATTCAGGTGTTGACACTAAGAGGATGAAAGTCGATTGTGAGTCCTCAATAGAGAATCCGACTTCTTCAATATCCGCTAACTAGCCTGATTCTCGATTGTAGTCAAAGAGTCCGTCAACAACCGGAAAGTAAGATATGTGAAAGAGCTTGACCCACTCCAAGCTCAAGCAGAGGAATTGGAGCAGCAGGTGAAGAAATATTCCATTTTCAAGAAAGTCCTGTCGTCGGATGTTCGGAAAGAATATGAAGATACTCAGCGGAAATTGGATGAGGTGAAGCGCAGTATCAAGGGTGTGCAGGCACAGATAGAGGATTGTAGGGAAGGGTTGGCGTTTTATGATCGGCTAATGAGGTGCTGAACGAACATAGCCGGCACTTAAAGCGCAGTCTTAGTCCGCTCAAAGGGGCTTTTCAATAGTTCAGATTCGAACTGTCTGATCATTGATTGAGCAGTATCAGTCGTATCGAGCCAACTCCTTGATGCATCTATAGAGCCAGATGGCACTACGGGTTTTCTATAATTCAAAGCAAATGGAGAGCTCAATTCTACCCTCCCATGAGACCATGCGAAACATGACAGAAGAACACCATCTAGTTTCTCTTTGAAGGTTTTCGAAGGACTTTGATGCACTCGAGTGGACACTTAAAGACGACTCATGCTCTTCATGACGCACATTTCGTGACTGCATCGGAACCACCAGTCACAGCAGCCTCGAGCCGTGTGTCTTTGTAATTTTGCGAAATAGACTGGTTTCAAGACAGGCTACCCGGTCTTCTGTTCTGGTGATCCAGGCAGCTTGGAATTGGTATGGAACAATTGAGGTTTCGCTGTTTACGCCATACGAGCTGGAGATACGTTGAATGGTTGCGTGATGTACGGATATGTAATTTGCCTCTGAGGTGTATAAATGAGCGCTTTGCCCTGGACTTTTCTTGTCTTTTTCCATAATTCTTGACCTTTTAAAACTGCGCAATCTTACACAACCTTTCATATTAAATTCACACAATCTAAATAATTTCATATCAAGTGCCTTCCTTGCTAAATGCTTACCATGAAACACGATCTTGCATACTACGGTAAGTGATCTTCAATTGTAAACTAAATATGCTGGCTCACTCTTGCACAAGACTTCGACAGTGAAGGCAACGAGTTATGCCATGGGCAGAAATATTTCCGTCAAGCGATCATTAGCAAGCGCACTGAGCTTCCAAAATTGGACAAACCAATGGAAGAAGCAAAGGCGTTGATGAAGAGATTGAGGGCGAAAGATCCAGAACTCAACGGCCCCTATTTTTTCCAGCAACCTTGGGAGACGGCGGAGCTTGCTTGGGTTAAACTTCGAGACGAAAGAAATACGATGAGGAAAGAGTTGGAAATGGACGAGTTCAAATTGAGGTTTCGATATAAGGAGGCATTCAATGAGAAGACGGAGGAGTTCGAATGGAAAGAACACAGTGAGCAGGAGCTAGCTGACATCGAAGAGAAGGGGCACGGACACTGCGGTATGTAACCATACACTGTCCATAAATATCAAAGATTTACTTAGCCAAGGCTAACGTCAACGTACCATTTAGGCTGTCAAGATTATTTTCAGCGGAGAGAACACGGTTTCAAGAGACAAACATACAAGTATTTGATTCCATACTGTCCAGGGACCAAAACACGCCGCGAATACGAAATGATGTTCTGCCGGGAATATGGGGAGCATTTCAACTTCAAGACCCGTCGCTTTGAGCCCCTGCCTTCGAAGGATAAGCCTCTGCCTTCGAAAGATAAGCCTGTGTCTTCGACTAGCAAGGCCTTGGATTCAAAGAACGAGGTCGTGGACTCGAAAAACGAGGTCGTAGATTTAAAGAACGAGGTCGTGGACTCAAAAAACGAGCCCCAACCCACATACGACAGTGCGACTTCATATTCGGCCTTGGGAGTATGTGAAGCGTGTATGATGAACACCAATATTGACCGCCCGCCTTGTCATTTATGTGCGAAATAGTGTCGTGTACATATCTGCCGAGTACAACGTGCAAAGCGCGTGCCTATGAATGATTGATGACCTAGAAATTGAATACATATTCCTGGTGGAGGATGGCGCACATCAAGAAGCATTGCACGTTTGTGTTGAGTTCTCACTGGGTAGCGAATCAGTCGCTCGAAAGCCAATGCCCGGTCAATGAAACTGGTTCACAGCTTCAGAGATAAATGAACCTGTGTTGAATCTTGCAGTGGAATTCCCTGTCTAAATGATGGAGTAATTGAGCAATCAAGCAGGTTATTTGGACTTTGGGAGTAAAACTTAAAACGCATGGAATGAAACACTGCTTAGCATGGCAGTCTCATAGTGTGTCCCCATAGACTCGGGCTTGGTAGAGAAGGCGTCTAGGCTTCACGTGCTGGAACTGATGTTTCACTCGTTTCAAATTTATCGAAGGAATCTGTCATGCTCAGCTCTGAGTTGACAATTCAGGGGAGACTACTCTGAATGAGGATGTATAAGTATGACCTTGGTCCTGGACATTTGATACTTCCTAAACATTTGACAGGAATTGACGTTACTCAATATCACAGCTTCCCACACTTGAGATATACCGTTCATCACACATCAAACCAAAAACATTCGCTGTAAAAGATTCATAATGGAGCAAGATTACAAAATCTACCGTGAGTCGCACTCATAGTACAACATCTGTACATATACCTAACTGAAACTAGTGCGTTACCTAGAAAACGAATCGATGGGATTGACCGACGACCAACTCAAGCTGCGAAAAGAGGTGATGCAATACTATCAAAGTTCAGATGCAACGGAGGGTGGTCGAATGCTCGAAGTAGCAGAGGAGAAATTGCGATTCCGGTACAGAGAGAAATTGAACAAGGAAACGCTCGCATTTGAAGAGACCGGGTTGATCTTCGAAGAGCGCGCTTCTAGAGAAGATGTCGGGCACAAACACTGCGGTAAGCTACTACGCGCACTCTAATATGCACATGATTTGAACCACTCATCGCTCATGTTACTTGCAGGGTGCAAAAGTCTAGATCAACAGCGCAGTCATCGCGAGGCGCGAGAGTCAATCAAACAGACGAGCGCTGACCTGGTGGCGAAGATTGTAGCTGATAATGAAGCATGGATGAACTTTCAAAGGGAGCTGAAGGTCCAAAAGGAGGCTGGGGAATATCGGGACGAGGCGTGGAACGCGCTCTGGCATTATCAGAACTGTGTGGAAGATAGAAGAACGGCGCAGAAGCGGTATGATGAGGAAGCGGAGCAAATACGTGTGGACTATAAAGAGGCCCTGAACAAGGCGACCGGCGAGTTTGAGCATCTGCACTCGGACAAAGGTGGTTCGTCAGAGTCGGTGGCGGGGAGATGCGAGATGTGCTCCATGGATAATGGGAGTGGTGGTCCGCCTTGCTATTCGTGTTCGACATAGTGTCATGATACGTATGCCCGTACGTCTGCCTAGTACAATTCTACTAAAACTGAAAGACTTCTAGATCATACAATAATCAATCTCCGAGGGAGAACACAAGCCTAGACGGCGCGGAAGACAAAGCTGCCGTATGTTTCATTCGGTGCGCCATAGTCCAGACACTCGCATCTTGTGGACCACTCTCGTATTTTAGGGATGAGAAATTTGAGCAATCATGTAGACTGCTTGATGTTTGGGCACTGTTCCTGAGATGAAGGATTGAAACAATATGTGTATGAGCAGAACTGGGATCTGCTGTCCCAGGCTGCATGAAAAGCCGCCCTGCCTTTTCAGTTTCTTGTGTTTCCCGGCGATTATCTACTATTACTACGGCTGACTCTATTTTCGTCATCCACTGATATCAGAACAAATAGTCACTATGGCGAAAGCTGGACATAAACAGTCAGATAGGCCACACCCCGTACCACATGCTGACTGTGTACAAGATAGCTGACATCGAGCTTCTGCCTAGGCTATCGGGGCTTGCAACTAAATCTTCACTACTTGTACCTCCATGTGAGGATTAGAATTGCTTACTCGATTGTCAAAGACAAGATTGAGATTTGCGAGGAAGGGAAGAGAAGTGTAAAAGAGCAAAAGACCAAAAGATATGGCATAGTGCTTGCGAAGGCTCAAAGTCTTCAAGCATTCAGAGAGAATATGCGGAGAACGGAGGTGAGGAATATCATGACCTTAAAGAGAAATTGAGAACAACGTTCGGGGAGAAGTTCAATGAAGATACCAAGAGATTTGAGGCGCTGGAAAGCAGCTCAGATGTAATGCTTTCCTCGGTGATGGGATAATGTGATGATGTAAATTAGCATTGAGGAGGAAGACCTGCCTTAGAGAACCCTACAAAACTTGCTAGCATCCCTGGGACTCGAGCAGAGAGACGATCGTTTGAGTCCTCAATAGTATTGGTGGTGAAGCGAGCCGAAGATGGTTTCAAAACGCCGAAGTCAGAAAGCTATTGCGTGTTTTCGCATGAAGGCAGTATGCCTGATACTCAGGAACCCAATGTCACAAGGTCGTACTTGTTTTGTTTTGACACCTGAATGATACAAGCAGTTTAGCAATTCTAACTAATCATTGAGGTGTGAGTTGTATCACCCGAGACGAAAAAGGTGAGACATTACCTGTACGACCAGAGCTGGAATCTACTAATGAAATTCCATAAAGACTGGCTCAGTCCTCTTCGTTCTTCCATGCTCTGAAATATTTCTCCCGTCGCACTCAATTGAATTGATCCTAATCCCAATGTTGCTGTAACTAAATCTGTCTTCTCATCGTCTCCAATACCTTCATATCAAGCATTCGCTATGGCCGAAGCTGAGCACAGACTTTCAGGTCAGTCGCACTACCTACCCTAAATTGTCTAACAAACACTGACCTCACACCTAGACCATGATCTCATTCAACATCTCACTGAGCGCTTGCTCCTCCACTTCCAAGTCGTGCGCGCGTACCGCAAGCTGAAGACAATCATCGACGAATGCGACAGAAGGAAGAAGAAGAAACTGGAAAATCAGAAGGATAGGGATTATACCAACGAGCTTGTGAGAGTTCACCATCATTCTAGCTTTGATGAGAACAGAATTGCATGGGCGCGAAAGCCGTTCGATACATTGCGCGAGGATTTGAGGGTGAAGTTTGGGGAGGTCTTTGTTGAGAAGACAGGAAGTTTTGAGCATGAACGATCTGATTCGAGTGTAATTTTAGGCCCAGTAAGAGGGTGATATGGAAGATGATCAATAAATTTGAAGTGGAATACTTGCCCAGGAAACGTATCTGCTAAATCCACTGCCTTGCCTATCTGTGGGCTCAAGAATTCAATTTGCAACCTATGGTCATAGTGATGAAACGGCACGAGATGACTTCCAGACGCCGCAGGCTGGCAGCCGTTGTAAAGCTATGGCGTGGCGATTAGGGAAGATCTCACATCGACTGGCAATTTTTGTTTCTAGTCTGTTAAATCTTGCGAATGACACCGCACCAGACGCCTACGGTAGACAAGCTTCCCATCAGCTAATATGTTTAGAGCGTCAGGACTCATCTTCGAATGGACGTGTACGTCCGATCTCGTTCTTTGGATGATACTCGCGACCGAGCAATTGTGTGAGATCATGGAGTTCTGACCTTATAGTCTGAGACATGGTGATGAAACGCTGTCTGTGCGGAATCATAGCTCAGATTTGCCTATACCTGCTCCGCTTCTCTATTTTCTGAGATACTCAATCTTCATCGGATTCTTCAGACTCCTCGAATTATCACTGATATAGTCTGGCTTCACACGTCAATCCCGGTTGGTATTCTGGAAGCAAAAAGAAAGGCATGCCTCAAGAAGAGTACAAGGAGTCATGTAAGCTTCACGACGCATTCAAAGACCGTTCCAGTTACGATTTTGCGGAGTGAACACTGACCAAGATCAAGACTCATCGAGGTATACCCTTCATCCTCGCCACTTGCACCTTCGTGAGAGAGTCAAAGAGGCGTACGTGTACTGGCAGATATGTACACACGAATCCAAAATCGAGATGTCAAAGCACGATTGGCACTACTGGAGAGACGTCAGTGCGGAGCAGGATTTCCGAGATCCAGATTTGGCTTTCCATCCTCGTATTGGACCGATCTTGGGTCGGCTTGGAAAGGCGGAGAAAGCCTACGATGACCGTAAAGAGGAATTGAGCAAGGAATATCAGGAAGTGTATGTTGAAGAGACGGGCGCTTTCGAGCGGAAGGGTTTAAGCCTAGTGCTGGATGATGGTCAGCGTTAGTCAGAAAGGGATGGGAAGCCTACGATAGGATTAAGGGAGTACAGAGTGGAGGCACTGCTATCATGTCATAGGGTTCTGGTTGATAGAATTAGCCTGCTCCGATTGTGAAGTATTCGAGGTCTTACAAATGCTATGAGATATGCTTTTGGAGTGAATTAGTTTGACTTGTATCTCATTGCTCTCTCGATAAAGTGACAACAGTCTTTTCGGTGCAAATGACTCCTGGGCTGCAGCACAGCGGTGACGGAATGTCTGGTGGTCAAGATACCACTCAAGACACAGGCGTTGCGCTTCTCATCCTAGTGAGAATCCAGATTTGGATTTAGGCATCGTCAAGGCGTAAATGATGTCTTGTTCTACTTCGATAAAGATGGCAAGTGTACGACATATCCAACGTCTCCAACCCTTTCAGTGATCGAGTGAGATAACGTTTGATTGAGACTAGAGGGTCAGGTTTGACAGACTAAACTCGATCAACGTAACTGATGCGTCGAAAGAACGGGTCATCGATCATTTCGTCCAATTGGTGTGGGAGCTGTACAATCAGGCAGAAGCGCCAAGCTTCTGCTTGATGGCGGGCATCAAAAAGTGCAACATATTAGATTACACAGTCTTGAGCAGACTTCTCCTCGGTGCTAGACTCATAGTTGCGAACAAATCGAGACAGTGTTTAAAATGACAAAGAATGTCATGGCATTAAAAGTTCTGTATTTTCGATAAGGTAATGCTATGATTATTCGACTCTGATTTTCTCACCAGTACCTAAGATTATCAACACCAAGAGCTAGTCATACCGACATATTATTCCGTGCTGCCCACCACTTTCATACACGTCGACTTCTCTAAAGCATAGCAAAGGCCCAGACGGAAGACAACGCTGCAATGATGACAGCATTGACAGCAGTGATCTTAGTACCAGCACCAGTGAAAGCAACAGTGCTAGTCTCGCTGCCACTAGCACCACTGGTAGTGCTCGAGCCACTGCTACCAGACCCAGACCCAGACCCAGATCCAGACCCAGAGCTAGTAGAACCACCGGAGCTCGACGAGCCACTGCCAGACCCTGACGACCCACTTCCACTGCCGGAAGATCCCAACCCCGAAGACGACGACGAGCCAGAGCCAGAAGTACCAGTGGTCGACCCACTGCTGGACCCGGACGATCCACTTCCCGACCCCGACGACGAGCCCGCCCCCCCGTACTCCCCGGCAACCCCGCACTCGCCGTCCCCGACCCCGTCCCCGATCCCGACCCCACGGTCCCATTCCCCGCATTCACAAACACGCCCCCCTGCACACTCTTCCCAGCCGTACTAGTCGTATTGACCGCAGCCGCCTTATACGCCTCGAGGGTATTCTTCCCCGCCGGCTCATTCACCACCATACTCATACCCTTCTGACAATGGGTTCCCGTGGTCTGCGCGCAGAAGATCCAGATTGGTTTCGTATCCTTGACGGTGACGACGAAGTTGCGGGGGCCGGGCCCGGCGGCGAGGGGTACGAAGCCGGAGAAGAAGCCGGGGTCGAGAGCCTTGCAGGGGGCGGTGAAGGAGGATTGGACTACGCTGTGGTTTTTCGGGAAGAAGGAGAATGTGAGCGTGTCGCCCGGTAAGGCGGTGACTTTTTCGGGAGAGAAGCGTAGGGCGGCCGCGGCGCCGACGGTGATGTCGAAGTTTGTGGCGGAGGTGAGGAGGGGGAGGAGGGGGAGGAGGAGGGCGGTGAGGTACATGGTTGGTTTGGGTTTGGTGGTGGTGGTGTGGATTGGTGGTGTGAGGTGGTGGTTATTGAGTGGTTTGGGCTGTGGTGGTCCTGGTGAAAGCGAGTGGGTTTTGCAACAGAATACTGATGATTCTTTGGTTGAGCTTCCGGACTGATGCAGAGGTACTTCCGTGGGACTCCAGGACCTTTATAATCATACCGGACCGTCCAGGCTTGTTGTCAGCAATGTAGCGTATGATTATTATTGATACCCCAGCCCGCTAGCAGGCTGTTCCTGAGCGTTGATTCCGTCAAGCCTCTCAGATCTTGTACCAAAGTAGCCATGCGCGCCGTTGTTGTATAAAAATACTCCCATCCAATCATCTGTCTCGGTCGTCAGCACTAAGGACGAAGCGAGGTCGCACTACGCCTGCAAGGGCGCTGACGAAGCCTCCAACGAGGTCAGCGCTAGCCTTTAGCGAATAGCTCTATCCTGGGAGTCCTGCAGGAACACGCACATTCCGAGATGAGGTACAATCTCGGTATCCTGACTTGTTGGTGGGAGGACGTCGTTTGTGACAGTGGCGCATGCGCCTTGCACAATCCTTCGCCCGAGTACACGGCTTGATAGACGTTCCAGAGCGTCAAAACGTTGCATTGCTGTCCTTCCGTCCGTGATATTGGAGGGCTGGCCACATCACTGTGGCAGTGGAACAGTCAGCTCCCGCAGACATGGGGCCAGCTGACTCTTAGCCTTAGAAACTGGCCTCGGACTCGCCTTTGCCAGCAATCTTGCACGGTGGGAGTGGCGGGCGGCGCACTAGACTGTCGTCGCACCACAGGGCCATTGTTTACAAACAGGACTGTGCCATGTTGGGCGTGGTCTTGGAGACACATTGTCTTCATAGGGACACAAAGAATACGATAGCTGATGAAAGTACGTTCTGTAAGAAGTCACAGCTGTCGCTCGTTGACCCAATTCTATCGTGCGGTTTGGGTCGTGTCATCTTCTTGTGGTCACATCCATTCGCTGAGTGAGCCGTCAACATTACTCTTTCTAGGACAGATTTGCGGCGTACAGTACGGATTCTTTCGAGATCGCGAGCTGATTGATATGGGCGAATCAGCTGCCCAGCACCCCCTCGATCTGCATTTTCTAGGGACCTGGATATCAACGAAAGCGTCCAGGCGTATGGGCGCTCTCCCAAGCCCGAGTGTGGAGAGAAAAAAACAGGGGCAATCTCGCTTGGTGTTAAGCGAGATCCTCCAGGTTGACATAAGCATATATTCGCCAAAAGTCCACTCCGATCACTTGTTTCACATTTTTCAGCTGGCATATCACTAGCATCGCTAAGGATGAGGTCGTCTGCAAAGCCATGTCGTAGAGTAGAAGCGTCTTTTAGATGAATTGCCGACTGTTGTGGTAGAAAGATGGAAATGGTGTTGCTTCGCATGACAGACCTTGTCTTTATAGGGAGAAGAACATTTCCCAAGATCATTTCAAGGACAAGAAAGTCATATCTCGCATCTGCATCCGAGTTGGAATCTATCGTTCTGCGCTACTATGAAGTCCAAATTGGGTATGGTCACTGAGAAACGCGCAGTTGAACTAATTCCCTAGTCACCCTCAGAGTTTCATTCCAAAAAAATTAGTTTACCAGTCTCAATTTGTACCGATTGCTGAAGATTGTAGGATTTGTCTGCTAGGTCTGGACGACACTCACAGCACTAAAGCTATGAGTCTGATGGCCCTCAAAGATATTACGTGCGTAAGCTGTGCGTAGAAGGCTGAGTCTATTGTGATACATGAAGATACACGCTGAGATTTGTTGCCTCCTGCATACCTTGATCTCTATCGACTCTGTTCAGTGGTATCGGATCCTGTGATTGTAATTAGACGATATTCACGATGAGTAGCCTTTGCCCTGCCGTGAACATTCGCGGCTTGAATCTGAAACAAGTATTCCAGACCTAGTGGACCGATATGAGTCTTCCACACTCATAGTGTAGATGAGAAAAAGATACAGCTGAAAAGTTTGGCCCGAATTCTTGTCGGAAGAAGATTTGTAATTTTAGCTGCAGGACAAAATTCCAACATACCAGTGATCATCAGCGCATGAGTCAAGCCACCCACACCACGTTTCGTGTTCTAGGTCGCATTCATGTCCGCAACTTTCAGAACAATCTTACCCCTGACTCTCCCGCTCTCGACGACTTCCATGGCTTCTTTCCCCTTTTCCAGATCATAGACTCCTGCAACAACTCCTCTGACCTTCTTCGCAGCCACCAAGTCCATGATCTTGGCGAGTTGCCCTCCATCCGGCCTCACAATAAAGAACTTGAACTCGATCTCTCGCTCTTTGACCTCCAGCGCAGCTTTCTCGCCATTTGGTCCACAGTCCTCCAAGCCCATAGCGAGACTGACAGCTCTGCCTCCCTTCCGAAGCACTTTCTCGCTTAGCGCCTAACAGTCTTCAAGTCAGCATCGCTCGACCAGGAACACGCCCTCTCTTTTCTCTGAACTAGAATGCCCAACCATCAAAGACAGAAACGAGATCCACTCACCTGCACCAGCGTCTCCTTCCCAACCGTATCAACGACCACATCCACGACCCCGAGCCCCTTCTTCTCAAACCCGTCCTCCAGGTGCTTACACTTCGTATAATCCACCACCTCATCAGCGCCCAACCCCCTCACGAACTCCTCATTCCTCCCACTCGAGCTGCCCACGACCCAACACCCGGCCGCTTTCGCCATCTGCACGACCAAGACCCCCACACTCCCCGACGCGCCCGTGACAAGCACCTTCTTCTTCCCCTTTTCAAGCCCATCAAACACCGCGTCCACCCCTGCGTGCTCGAAAAGCGCCTGCCACGCACTCAACCCACTAAGCGGCACCGTGGCCAACATATCCCACCCCTTCCCCTCACCACCCTCCTTCCCCTCCGCGTCAAGATCTCCCACCAACCCCACCGGCACACCCGCCATCTCCCCCTCCTGGGCAACGACCTCCTCGGCCGCCGCACCCCCGCGATTAAAAGCCAACAGGCCCACCACTTTATCGCCCACCTTGAACTTCGTCCCTAGTTTCCCCGCCCCGCCATCAACCTCACCCGCGGCTGCAAAAGTTGCTTTGACGATGCCAACAAGATCATGTCCCGGGATCGGCCCGGCGAGTTCCGAGAACTGCGACGGCAGCAGCGTTTCGGACCAGGTCAGTTCGTTGTGCGTGAGGGCTGTGTGGGTGACGCGGATCAGATATGTGACTGCGATGCTGGTCGTGGAGGGGGGGGGGAGGGGGATGGCGAGGGGAGGTGTGCGGAATAGATGAGCGCGGATGGCGGGGGGAGTTTGGAGGGGAAGGAGAAGGGGGCTGTGGAGGAGGGGGAGGATTTGAGGCCAGGGAGGTGGAGGGCGCGCATTGTTATTGAGGTTGGTTGGTCGATTGGAGGGATGTTGTGAGGCTTTTTGTGTGGTGTCGTGGAGGAGAGGAAGATATTGGAGGTTGGTTGGTGATGGGGGATGGGGAGGGAAGGGTTTTGACCTCGGCGGAGAAGGGGATGCATGTCATCATCTTGCATGCATCTGGTTCCGTGGCTAATGCACTGACGTGCATGCAGGCAGCTATTACATTCAATTCTCACAATTAGGACAGGATGATCGTGTCGTCCCTACTATGGAAAATATGAAAGGATTGTAGGCATAGACGACCAAGGGACCTTCTTCCCCACAAACCCAGGCAAAAATTAGACTTTTGGCGTGCAGTTCTAGCGCCGCACTAGAAACGCCACAGATCTTTGCTATATATAGACACTTCCCTACAATGGCTGGAGCATCAACTTGTAATGCTCCAACGCGCCTTTTAAGTGACTCCACAAGCAACAATCTTGCGCACTCACCAAACAGGAAATCCTAGAAGCTCTCCTTACATCCCGTCAAAAGGTACCTTACCCCAGAGGACCACAAAATCAGATCAATACTAACAAACACCAGCCCCCGACCAGCCTCCCTGCGACCTCTGGGATCAAGATGCCCGCCAACCCTCCGTACACACAAGCGGAAAAAGACTGGCTGCTGCTTCAGTACCGGTGGACGCTGGGAAAGCCTTGTTTTGCATGTCCACCTATCTAGGTAGCGATCATCAATCATAGCTTGCCATCCATGAGCATAAGTCATGCTATCGTCAAGTACTCCCTCCTGAACACATTCTCCTCCACGTCCTCCAAACCCTCCCGATTCATCAACACAACCCCCATTACAGCAACCCTGCTACCTCCATAATTACCCGTCACAGTCATCGAAATCTTATCACGGTCATTCCAGTCCGGAAAAAATACACACAACGCCAAATCGTACGCCGGGAGTGAAGGCGGCTTAACCGGGCACCAGAAGAAGTTCCATGGCTGCGTGAATTTAAGGTAGCCTTCACACGTGACCATCACCTGGTTCGATGGTCCAAAGACATCGATGCAGATCAAGCTGGTGAATTCGTGGTAGAAGCCTTGCACCTGTAACAATAGATGATATCAGCTCGACATGGAAAATGCAGGAGGATAAAGGGATGCAAAGGCTTACAGCTAGATGTGCGTTGCGAACCCGCACATAATTGAGGGGAGAAGCGTGGTTGGGCCTGTGACAGTTACCTCCAGGTACCCCGATCGGTGCGGCCACGGGAGCAGCATCGTCTCTTCGCTCAACCTGGGTGGCAGCAACCTCACTCTGCTTTCTCAAGACTACTCCATAGTCTGTGACAGGCTCGTCGTCAATGCTCCCAGAGACACTCATCCAGATTGGGGTTTTGTCGACGGCAGAAGGGAAATATACCGCTAAATAAAGTCTGTAATATGAAGGTCGAGAGGTTGTCACTTCTATTGCAAATGGTGTGAATGGTGGTCTGAATGTCAATGGGCCAGATCTAGAAGCTAGGAGATGCTCGCCTGGGTTGAACACGTCGAGGCAGATGAGACTCAGTGTATCATCGTAGTATCCAGAGACCTTGAAGCTGTCAGCTTAATACGTTCATGGATTTTCAAACGTTTATGACACTCTTACAGATATTTGGGCTACAGGTACCGGAGTCTTCTCGATGATGTAATCACCGAATGAGGGGTTGCAATTACCTCGAGCTGCTAAGTGAGTAGAAGCAGAATCTGCATCCGAGTCTCTTTTCTCCACTACAGTCTTCGAAATTCCATCATTTCTAATCGGATAATCTAGAAACTCAACCTGGCGACCCAAGTAGCTTCCTGTTACGTCCACGTCAATGTCGTGCTGATCCAGGTGATTTGGGAATCTGAAATCAAGTTGAAGGTGATACACGTCACGATAGAGGAGACAGACCATAGGCTCCCAAGGATCCTGGAAAATTAAGGAACCTTCGCACGTCTCGAGATAGGCTGAGTCAAGCGCATATATGTCCACACATAGGTCTCCGCTTGAGTCTGTATAATAACCGCTCATCTAGTGGGCATATGCTCAGAAGAATTTTCGTTAGAGGACCACTTGGTGAACTCACCCAGAAACCTGCCTCAAAGAGAAAGAGAGCAGTAAACTCGTAGGCGCCAGGCGGCGTTAGGCAATGAATTTCGAGCTCATTGCTTCGCGGCGCAATCATGGCATCATCCCTCTTTTCCGTAGCCAAAGCGGATATCTGGCTGGCACCGCGAATCTTGTAGCCTTGGACCGCCACTTGACGGTTCCTATAGATTCCAGTAGCGTCCATGAAAATGATTCGACGATCGTTGTGCATGGGAAAGTAGAAACTGATTTGTACACGATATGGCTCAACGGTAAGCGTGCACCAAAATCGCGTCCATGGCGCTGCGAATTGCAGAAGGCCAGCACAAGTGAGTACATGCTCGGCGCGCGAATCGTACAGACTTATGCAAAAGGAGCTCGTATCGTCGGCATAGTAACCAGCGGCCTTTATATTCCATAACAATCAGCATTACCGTATACTGGACTGGAGGTCAGCCTGTCCTCACATCAAAGCCTGCCTGGTCGAGTAAGTAAACAGTGAATCTGTATGCGCTGGTTGATAGACCGCAGTGGTCATGAGCTTGCCGATGTAATGTGTCGTTTGAGAATGAGAGAGGTTTCAGGACCGTAGGTAGGGCAGCTGTGATTGGGATGAAGGGCACGAGCAAAGCCCAAAGACGCCACGGCCATGTCATTTTGCCATTCAATAGCATCAAACAAGACGGGTGCACGGACAGATCCGCGGTCAACAAGATGAAGATAAAAATATCGAATGGGATTTCTCATCGATGATCATGGTGAAAGCGGAGTGCGGGCTTTCCACAGGACATGTCTCATGCAGGTTGGATGCGCAATACAAGCGTCGCATCTAGGTTGACTTGACTCAGGGCAGGAAGGTCTCATTAGTCAAGACTTGACCAATTGTCTTCTCGTGGGTGCAGAACAAGCTCTGAAAGTTTATAGAAGCCCCTATGACTCCAAGTCAAACGCGTAGCCACAGTAAATTCGGACAGACCGAAGTTGTCCGCAGCTGTCCAGACGCGAAGATCCGCGGTCGTGGCTCAGTCGAGAATGCAAGCTCATTTGTGTGAGCCGTGACCATCAGGCGGATAGTTTTCCATCGTTAATAGGAGGTAAGGAGCTACGCGGAGGTGAAGTAGCTTAAAATACCCACCGGCGTCCTTCCACACTTGAAGTGTCTGCTCCTGGGCTGCGTTTCGAACCATCAGTCGTTCGTTATGCTTGTGTTCTGAACAACAGCAGACAGACATGAACAATGGCTGCGGGGTGCTCTTATTCATCAAATCATAGATACTGTGTTACTGCTTTGGTGTAGCCCAAAACAATCTCGACCGTAGACTCCGCGGTTTCCTCTCTTCCCCTGGCGATGGTAGCTCTGCCTGCGATAGCGTCTCTTCAGTCTCGCCAGCGACTCCAAGCTCCTCAAAGTCATCTTCTACTGCCAGCTGTGCCGCCAGCTGTGCCAGTTCATCTTCTTCAAATTCCACCATCCCCTCAGCCGCAACTTCCTGCCCAGTCCTCTCCTTGTCTTCCAAGACCCTTATCCGCTGACTCAATTCGTTATTGAGCAGAACACCCACGATAAGAATCAAGACATTGCCGACAACCACGAACCCCAGAGTGCCAAATACCAACCCAAATGTCAAGGCCCTCGCTCTTTCGTACCAACTCCCCGTTTCTCTCCTCTCGAGAATCCTAAGCCTCTGATTGGCAACTCTCAGCTCCTGATTACTCTTTGATAGGGTCTCATGTTGGCGTTTGACCATCTTATGGGCTTCTCTGAGCTCTTTCACCACCGTGGTCTCTTCTGCCATAGCATCATTCTGGGCGTCGATGACAGGCTGGATTAGCTGCTCAGGTGTAGACGCTGGAGGAGGTGTCGGAATTGTGGACTTGTTGGAGGATACAGAGGCCTTAGGCGTCTTGGAAAAGCCGACGGCATCTGGGACGGCCTCGGCCTCTGCCTTCATGAGCTGTAGGTTCGAGGAGAACGCCGTCCGAGAACGCCCGGTGGCTTTTGAGTAGTAGCCTGTCTCGCGGGACTGGGAGAGGCGAGCGAGATTGTCGAAGGTGGCATTGAGACGATTGCTAGTGTAGAAGCTCCGTTGGCATTGGCAGTAGGCAGGTATGATAGATCTGGAGGGCAACATGTGGGATTTGGCCGATTGAGGGAGGCAGGAGGATCGGTAACGGATGGGTGTAGACTGAGTCTGCGAGTTACGAATGAGAGACGCCATTGCTGGTAGGAGTGAAGTCTCTCCGGAGTGGAGAGCAATCATTGTCGTGGCCGAGACTAAGTCTACCCCACTACGTTGGGCGACAGAAGACTTTGTAGAACTATGGCGCTGGTTTTGAGTAAAGAGACAAAAAGCCTGCCGTAATCCTTAGCATCCTATACATCGATAGACCACAACGCTTAAGACACACTCCCACCAAGATGTTCCAATTCAGCTCAAGACTACGATTAAGATGTTGTAACCAATCTCGCTCGCGCGACCACATGCTCATCCCCCCCCCAACCTTCAGAACAGCCAAGCAACAAATTTCCTGTAAAACGATCCTCCCTTCCCTTTCCCACCCTTTTCATCCATCTCTCTGTCCTTGTTTGCCAGAAACTCTTCTTCTTCCGCATCAATCACATCTTTCCCAGTATAGAAATCGGCCTCCAGCGGTCCCCATGTCTTAGTCTTCATCCTAAACTTCCAACCGAAGATCATAAACAAATACAATGGAATACCCAAATATCCAGTGATGAAATTCTTGTAATCAAAACCTGGCGGGTCTCGTGTCGATACATGCACAAATGCGTCGAAGTTCTTGAAGATGGCAATCAAGATGCAAAACACCAGGGCAAAGTACGTGCCATACAGTCCAAATGGCGCTGTGTAGGCCATCTGATCCTTTGTAATACCTTGCGCGCGTCGAGCTTTGACAAAGTATATGTGAGTCACCAATATCGAGATCCAGGTCAAGAGACCAAAGATGGTGACAAGATTGACGAAATAGCCGAACACCTTTCGCGAGTCATCCGAGACGTTTAGGAAAGCGATGCAGGCGATGAGCGAGCAGAGCCCCAGAGAATACATAGGGAGACCGCGTCTGTTGGTGCGGGCAAAGATGCGGTGGGCTTTACCTTCTTTGGCGATGCCGTAGAGGGTTCGAGTGCCGATATAAAGATCGGAATTTGAGGCGGAGAAGACGAAAATGAGAATGCAAGCATTACTGATGCTTTGTGAGAAGGAGCAGTGCCAGTGGATGAAAGTGAGTCAGGAAAAACAGAGACTTACACAAAACCAGGGAGAGCCTTGATACCGCTCGACGCGATTGCAACTACGAACGGAGAAGCGGAGGCACCTGTGCTCTGCTTATTTGCAAAGGAGAGGCGGGGCGAGTTATACGGCACGAGGGTGCCGATGAGGAGGACTGAAAGGACGTAAAAGACGACGATACGCCAGAAGGTCAGCTTGATCGCTCGTGGGATGACTTTACGCGGGTTCTGCGCCTCGCCAACGGTTACGCCTTGGGTACGTGTAAGTAATGAACGTCCATTGTCATTGAGTGTCGTTGAAAGCTTACCAACAAGTTCAGTACCCAGATAAGCAAAGACGGCGGTGACCATGGTGGACCACAAGCCAATGAAATTGCCTGCTGATCCCTCTGATGGCACGTCAGCCGTGGAATTTACAAGTTCGGCGTGGCCTACTTTTATACAGCGGCTTGAAAGCACCAGGATCATTCCAGTATCGAAAGCCTTTGCGATCGTGGTCTGGTCCACCACCAAGCATGAGGATCAAGGAGAGCAAGAGCAATCCCACGATCGTTAGGACTTTGATTGATGAGAGCCAGAATTCGAACTCTGATACATGTCAATCTTCATTTCACAAGAGGGTGGGTAGGTTGGCGTTGACTGACCTCCGAAGAATCTGATACCCAAAAAATTGATGAGAACGATCGCGACCAGGAAGACCGCTATGAAGACCCCCGGATTTACTCTGTCCCTATCAACCCAGTATTGGATGACCAACGCTCCAGCTGTCAACTGATTAGGCGTTGTGATGAGATCTGCCCATGAAGTCAGCTTCCTTCATCCCAATACCTCCAGGTCCATCACCAGCCTACATTTAAACAAATAAGTATATCCCAGCGAAAACCCCAGCGCCGGATCGCAGAACCTAGCCGCATACTACGAACCTTTTCGTCAGCAATCCTCCACCCCACACTATCCACCACCATTCCCCGACATGGAAAAAAAAGGGGTGCGACGTACCCCAGTAAACCCACTCTCCAACGGCAACCACGCCGCCATCTCCCCCAAAGCGCACATCACCATATAAACGACAAACCCCACAATGGTATAGGCGATCAAAATACTCGCAGGCCCCGCTTTCGCGAGCGCGGCGCCCGTGCCGATGATGAGACCTGTCCCACTATATTTTCCCTTCCCTGTCAGCAACCCTTCCCCCATCCAACCGCCAAGTCAAGCAAATCAACTCATTGTGGGAAAGAAAATGAAAAAGGGAATGGGACGAGGGGGAAGAGACATACATAGCACCCCCAATCGCAATCATAGTGATCTGCCTACTCTTCAACCCCCGCTTTAGACGCGTCTTGGGGTCTTTCATATCGTCCAATTCCATCGTCTCTGCGGGACGACCGGGGGTGGGGCTGGAGGAATCGCTGCTGGAGAAAGCGTGGACCTTTTTCTCGCTGCCGGATTTGCGGCTGATGAGGCCCATTTTTGTTGATGGGCGGGGATGTTTTGGGCCAAGGAGTCGGGAGAGGTGTCGAGGAAGATGATGGCGGGTCAGGATGATGTTGACTTAGGCTCGCGGAGCGATTGGGGGTGGGGTACCTGTAACCAGAGCGCTGGGTCAGGATGTGGTGGTTGAGGCGCTGGCTGGGGCTGAAGTATATATTTATATACACAGACCGAACTACCGTATCGATCGTATCACAGCAAGTTCCCACAGTAAGATCCTCTCTTGTTATCGTAACGTGCGTCTTATCACTTCACCTCCCAGACGACTAGACAGTGAGAAAGATTTTGTAGATAGCGCTTCTACCTACGTCCCACCGCCCCGTTTTGACTGATAGCGAACTCGCTCCCCCCAACAACCTGGCAGATAATGGTCAGAGTTGTTGCCAAGCACCCCCCAGCAGTTGCAGTCACATGTCTCGTGAAAAAAGAGAATTTATGTGGGGATCGTCGTTATGCGATCACGCCATTTGCGTACGCCCAGCCTTGCCCAGGACTTGGCGAACTGGGATATCCGCGTTCTCTTGTAAGGTAAGGTAGGTCCGAATGCTTTTGCCAAGATGTTTTTGGGGGGGAGGATCTTGCTTATCTGTGAGTGAGACATGAAAGGGTGTGTGAGAGTGAGGTGCGTTTAGGGTCGTGATGAGAGGTAGTGGCCCCACTGTGGTCATGGGGCGCTGGGGGTGGTTTTGTCCAGGGCGCCAGACCTTGGGACCCAGGGGCGGCTACCCTAGAGCACCGCCTAAGTTCCCCCGGCGGCTTAACAATGCTTCCGAGGCTACCTTAGGGGCAGTTCGTCTCCTCACGGTATATTAGCAATTTGTTCATATGCAATGGTTAATGACTTACGCCATCAATGGTGTCGTTTTAGGAGCAGCGAAGTCCTGGGCCAAAATCTTTCATTGGCGCTCGTTCGTTGCTCTTGATGGTATGCTATCAGTGGTCTGTGTCTACTCTAGTATAGAACAAAATGCAAATACGTTTGGATGAGGATTGCTCGCTTACGGGCTTCTTGGAGATGTCTTTAGAAGGTCAAGTCAAATCAAGAGGGTTTCTTGGTACTAAAACCAGGTCGAGCGAAACCGAAGTATTTCCTAGTTTGTCCATTGACGCAGCTTGCATGCGCGCTAGTTTCCTTTGAGCGACAGTGATGGCGCCTGCTGGAGGTTACAATCGTGTTCTCAGTCAGATTGCAGTGTAGATAGGCTGCCTTGACAACAAGGCGGTGCAGGGAAGCCTAATTTCAGCGACGGCGACTTGCATAAATGGCAAACATCCTCGCGGTATTTGAAATTGAGATTTCCACTTCCAGTCTTGTCGAAATTGAATCATGATATACAACAAGTCTTTCTCGTCCATGAGCGGTACAAGCTCACCACCTTCTCCCATAACTAAGCAAACGAACGCAAACTATGTATAAAAGCATTTCTAAGTGCTTCCAACTCATTGACCCCCTCACCCACCGCACACGCTATGCATCCTCCTAAATTCCAACAAACACCGCAGGCTATGCAAGATATCTCAGTCACTCTTTCAACCCCTCTTTCACCCCCACCCACCGCACAACCTATGTATCACCCCCCAAACTCCTCCAACCGTCCATCTCAACAATCCCTAGTAAACATCCCTCCTCCCCCTCCTCTTCCTCTTCTTCGGCTTCACCACCATCCGACTGGGCTGACAAACCCGCCGCTCAATCGGCTTAGCCGCCTCCCTAGCCTCCCACTCCCGCTGCTCCCTCTTCAGAGCAGTCAACCCAAACATATAGCACGCTCTCTTCGAGCCCTTATCATTCTTATTCTTCACCCCGTTCCCCGCGTTACGGTACCAGAAGTGCGTGTTTGCCGGCGGCCACGCCAACATGCCTTCAATATCCTCCTGGATCTCCAAAGCCTCATCAGCAGTACGAGATGATCCGGCAGCGGTGCTGGCGTCGTCGTCGGAGGAGGAGGAGTCGAAAATGACCAGGCGGTCACGTTTGCGCGTACGGGCGCAGAGTTGCGGGAAGAGCGGATGCTTCGTGATGTCTAGCTCTTGGGCGGAGAATCCTTCCCACTCCGCGTCGTCGTCGGGGTTGGGGTCTGTCTGCTCGTCTGTTGGGGAGGGGGAGGTTGCGTTGGAGGGTGAGGTGGGGTTGGCGGGGAGGGGCGCCGAGGAGGAAGCTTGTACGCTACCTTCCCTAGATGTCGCTGGGGTTGGAGAGGGCGCGGAGCCCGGCTGCGAAGCTGCAAGAGAGTTCTCCCTGGTCGCTGCCGAGGTGGAGGGTTCCTCCGCCGGTCCGTCGCTGTGATCGCCATTGGTCTGTGCAACGGTCTGGTCACGCGTCTGTGGTGCTTCGTGATAGTCTGAATTGTCACTGGCGTCATCACGAGGATCTGGTTCTTTGTGGGTGTCTTCTTGGGCGCGACCAGCCATTGGAGCTGGTGAGTTTCCCTGGCTGTAGCTAGCGAGAGGGCTATCTTGCCCATTGTTCTCATTTGGGTTAGCGTTCTTCGCGAGTTGTCTCGCATCTATGGGAGAAAGAATTCCTTTCATGATATGAGACAGCTCGATTTCGATGCCGTTAGTTCCTCTGCTTCGCGGGGTATGGTTGTTGACCGGCGGATTAGTAGCTATGGTTAACTTCGGACCGGTTGCCTGTGCTTTCTTTGCCCTTACTGCTTCTGCTTTCTCTGCCCTCGCTGCCTTTGCTTTTTGGCGCTTCATGGTTGATTCATCGGGGATTATGGGTTTCGCATTTGCCATGACCTGCGTGTCATAACGCTTGTCTGTTGTGTTTTTGAGTTTTTGGCCGCGAGTTCGCGATCCGAGGACCTGAGGATCCCACTGAGCCTTGACACTGGCTTTGTATTTGTCGCTTTCTTCTTCTGTCTGCTGAAGCCAACCATGCCATTTTGATGCACATGAGTCGCAATACCATTGCTCCTGGGGTGCTGATTTTAAGCCCACGCATTCGACGTGATACGACTTTATTGTGCACGAAGTGCTGGCACACGCAACGATCTCACCATCTCCTTTACCATTGCACGTGCAGATGTTAAGAGCGGTTTTAGATTGCAAATTGGTGCTATTGTTGTCATTCGACATGGCTTAGAATTTTTCCGTCTGAGGCTACGCGTTCTGTGCGGGGAGCGGACAGTCCAGCAATCCTGTTGGGAGCAACTGAGCAAGTTCAGAGACGCGTCTGATGGTTGACGAATGCTGAAACTGATACTAGGTGTGCGAAGAGCTCGATTGGATCGAAGTGGTCCAAGTTCTGTCGGCGTCAAAGATGAGCAGTGTATGACGATGACGGTGTCAGAGTGAGCGAAATTCTCCAAGATAGTCTGGAGCGTTCTATGCGTCAGGATCACTACAATCGTCGCACAGCTCCCTCCAGCTCTACTGTGACCCGAGTTCGCTGACAATAGATGTCCCTACCCGTCTGACAATAGGATTCTGTTCTTAGGAAGATTTTTAAAAGTATCAATATCGGGCTACCCCGAAAGGGGAATAGTACACTCAAAACACCAACCTCTCATTTCCTCGCTTATAATTGGCGGTAATGCCTCAACCCAGGACAACTTCTAACAGCAATCTTCAATATATCTATCACGATACCAAAAATAGTCAAAAGATCTTTTTTCCATACTTCACCCAACGTCAACGACACAGTATGGTCTGATTACCTAATGGGCGCCAAGCCACCAACATGTCCTTTCCAAAAGAAAGGAAGCGACTAGAATCACTAAGCTGGAAATCTGCTCAGTAATGGGCAACTTGCTTGCACTGTTTGTCATGTCAGATCATGCACAGGTGACTTGTTGCGATTCATCAGATGGCTATGGAGTGCAGTGCCATCCGAAGGAGAGGGAATTGTGGGCAAACTTGCCTTTGATTATCCCCACGAGACAGCTGGATGCACACAAGTCAAATTGAGCTACGTACATAAGCGTATCCTGTGTTCAGCTCCCTTCTTCCTCAATGAACCTTATCTTACTGAGAATCCCCCCAAAGGAGCGCAGGGAAGTGCTGTCACTGGCGATCGAAAACCTCCCGTCTTTCAGGCTTCGGAACGAACAAGGTGGTACAAATTTCTCGTTGTAATCCTCTGCCAGCTTTTCCCTCATCATATCCCTTCTTGTCTTAAGATCATCAATACCCTCGGCTATGATGGTGAATGGCTCAAGTGGTCCGCGAACGAGCCTGGCCGCTGCTAGTGTCAACCCTTCCTGGCTCAACTTGTCTTCCCACTCTTCTATCATTTGGTGATAGTGTTGGATGTTTATCCTTGCAACGTTATGCACGAAACACTTGAGTCGGTCATCGCAGCCTGGACATGAATCAGTACAGCCACAGAGAAACCTTCACATGAACTTCTCAGGCGGGAATGCTTCTCACCTTCACCACAGTTCGAGTGACCTCGGCTGTCTCTCGTTAGTTCCAGAAGAAGTTTAACGACGCTTACTTACACATTCTCGTTTTCGATGGATTCCATTGTCGAGGTATCCAAATTGTATCGCCAAGGTTCTGACAGCGCTAATTGTTTCTCTTCCAGTTCTCCTAGTTCAGCTCGCCATTTGTCGCAAATCTCCATTTCCTTCGACTCCAAGTCCTTCAACTGAGTTCGCCAGCGTGGGAACATATCCCCAATCTTCATTTTCTTCACACCAAATCGATATCGCCAACGGCCTAGAACGACCATGATGAGCTCCATAATTAGGGTAAGGTCAAGTCTGCCTGAGGGTGAGATACTGTGGTGCCAAAAAGCTGTGAACAAGTTTTGAAGCTTGTGGAAAAAGGCAGTAGAGGGTTTATACTTATACGCCCAAGGGGTAGTACGCTTCAGAGTCGTACACTTTCGGCGGAAGAATCTTGTACAACGTCCCACAAGGCAGACTTCCTTGACCCCCGTATGTCACTCTCGAAAACGATGTCACGAGCTATGCATTGTACGACTGGGAGAAGTCGTCGAGCTCGAAACGTCGCACATGCATTCTCGGCTCCCTGTCCGACTCGATGGTTCTGTAAACAATGGTTATTGGATGGAACTGAAGCGAGCTAATGACTAGAAATGCCTGTAGAATACGTAATACGCTGACATGTATGAGAGGCGTTGAAGATTAGAACATACTAACGACAGCTACAATGACGTCTTAGTCAAGTACTCAGCAAGGGTTTTCCCTCAACATTCTCCAACACGTGGTCTATCTCTATGGGCGCATTCAGGCAACCCTTGTCCCTCGAAAGAATTACAAATCGCCTCAGTTCCTGATTGGTCTGATCAGAACGACAAAGCCACCAATTATATCTCCCCCTATCTTCCTTCCACGACTGTTTCCCGCAATCTTTGTAGGATCGTTGAGCTCTCTCACACTCCTGCTTAACGACCCAGTGGACAGACTGGTCCTATTTCAGCCAGGGTTTTGACACTTTGTCTTGCTCGCAGGCCTTCTGCATCGCTTCCAGTGCATCTGTCGATTCTTGATACCGACCCTCCCATTTATTGTATTCTTGATTAAGTCTTTTGGTATCTAAATGGAGGACCTTGTGGTGAAGGCGATGCGTGAAGCTTTCACAACCTCCATATGAGATATGAGCTGAATCGGAGCAGATCTATGTGTCTAGTCTTGCACAGGCGTTACAGAGTGAGAGGTTTTATTTAGTCATTGACACTCAGACGTTGCTGTAAAGCCTAATTAGTTTTCAAAGTGTTTCCGATTGGGGTAGGAAACCGACAATATTCTGGGGGTAGACAAGTCCTCTAGCATATGAAAGCAAGCGAAAGAGACGAAGATATTATTCACGCGGTCTCAAACTGCGTCATAAACGCGTTATCAATGGCACGTCGTATAGGGCAGGGCCTACATGTCTCAAAGCATGTGTAAAACCTCGAAAACTGCAAAGTATGAGTAGGCTATCTCTATCATACAGAACCCTATAGTATGGTAGCAGTACCTCCCCTCTTTATTACTCCAATTCCATCGCAGTCTCTCCATTCCTGACCATCGCTAACCATCATCCTGCACTAGGCCCAAACTTTCCCACCCCAAAGCGTCCGGGGTCAGGCTGAAGCTTGGCGCTCACTGCTGCCCAAGTTCCATCTTTAGTCACCCTCGCTTCATCTACCCATCTTAGATGTACATACGAATTTTGCTCTAAATTCGGTGGGAACTGCATTTGCACTTCATTATTTGATGGTTATTGATAGCCCTAGACTCTAGATGCTCGATATTTCGATCCTTTGTGTCTGCGAATCACCTTTATCATGGGCAATCATTGAGGCCTATTATGCTTCCGATTGTCTGCTACTCAAGTTGTTAAGCTATTACGACGAAACAATGTCACCCTGCATTTTTTGCCAATATATCCCCGTGAGCTTTTTCCACTCAGCTCCTGATAATGCGGAACATCGTGTGAGAACTATTTTGGAGACTAAAATTCCGGTTCCCTCGGTTTTCGTCTTGCGAAGATCACAATGGGGATGTCGTCTTCGCAAGATTCTGGTCTCTAGTCAATGTGTTAGAGGACTTCCTGGAGAAATGTCCAACCGTCCTACAAACCTTCGCTTGGCTATGATAAAACCTCACCAAGGCTTCGTTCTCTGCATTGGCATCGATGATCACAATCATGTGTTCAACTATCATATGCCAGACTCGTTCAGTAAGACTCGCCTCATCAGAATGAAGGTCATTGCTGTGCACCTGCTAACTCCACCAAGATAGGCAGCTCCCATTGGCGCAATTATCCGAATCGAAAGACGACGTTCTATTGATGAGATCTTGGCTGAAAGAGTGTCAAGACAAGCACATCCTGTGCAATGCAATCGATGAGCTATTTACACCGAAGAGAGTATTATTCCTTGAAAAAAGGCTTAATAAATTACGCATCAAGCTAATTAGTTCCCAGGATGTTAAGCTTCAAAGACCGGTATACGCGATATTAAGTCATTGCTGAGGCCCCGACCTCGAGTCTTGGGTTATAACTACGACTTTGAATCTCACAGAGAGAATAGGGCACATTGAATTTGAAACCTTGCTATTGACATTCCAAGACGCTGTGCAAATTACAGTAAAGCTAGGAATTCACTACCTTTGGATTAACTGTTTCTATATTGTCCAGGACTTTAAAGAAGAATGGGCCCAAGAAATCAGAATTATAAGCAAAATATACGAGCGGTCAATAATAACACTTGCAGCATCAATATCGAGCAACAACAGTAGGGGCTATCGCGTAGAGAGAAGCACAAAGGTAAGGGTCAACCCCCTAATTGATATTGTAAAAGCTTCGAAGAGAATTCGCATCTTCACTAAATCTCTAGTGGATTAGAACGATACCTGGGGCCAAAAACCGCTTTATAGAAAAGCATAGACTTTATAAGAGCGCCATCTATCACGACGGAGTCTCTACTTCGCCGACGGTATATTGCTATGAGAATGTAAAACGTCGAAGGCTTCGAGCGAGCTACCGTGGTTGCAGATGGATATCCAGGATCCACCGCCATTCCTAATGCCCAATTCGACTGATGAGAAATCTGAATACTCACCGTCATTGATCAAAAGAGAAAATTGGTTCAAGCTTGTAGAGGAATACTCACGACGGAATCTGACTCATGAAAAGGACAAGGTGCCAGCAATACTGGGACTTGCACAAGCTATGACAGCGGAGTATGACACTTACTGCGCAGGATTATTCACCAGCCAAATACCATCATCACTTCTCTGGAGGACCACAATTGAGTTCTTGGATGAGGGCACTGTGCTAAGAAGGCCCTTTCAATACAGCGCCCCTAGCTGCTCCTGGGCCGCAGTAGAGGGACCAGTCTCTTTTGACAGCCAAAGACTCTTCAATATCGGAGAAGGTCTCAATTATGAACATAGTCCTGATGATTTTGGTGATTTCACATTGCTACAAGTGTTCACTAATACTCCAGAAGCCGAGAGCCTTACGCCGGATCGAAAGAGTTTTATCCAGCTTCGTGGCCGCTTTATCTCATGTCAAGCTGCCCCTTCACCCCTTTTTGAAGGCGACCGTACGGACACAATTTTTACAGCAATGGATCGCAAAGAGCAAAGGATAGGACTCGTCCACCCTGACATACCCACTGAATTGAAGCCCTACCAGGGATTCTTTTGCCTAGAAATACGAAAAGAGCACTATGCATCTAAAGACATCATGCCTTACGAACTGTTCGGTCGAAATATTGAGCTAGAAGACGAGGAATCTTCAAGAGCGATGGTAATGGGATTGGCACTGGTGAAGGATGATGAACGTATTGGTGCGTGCAAGCGGATAGGACTCTGCCGCTGGATGATAAGATCGTGCTTTGCCAACGCGGAAATTGTCGATATCAAGATCTACTGAGGCAGATTGAACCACCTGGGTGTGCGATAGTGACTCGGCTCATTTATCACATTTGATATAGCTAGCGAGTAGAGTATTTCAGCCATGAACCTCATCATATGGGTAAAAGATGAGGCCCGAGTCGGTAAAATGGGGGCCTATGATTCAAAAGACATGTTATTGAATGAATGAACGAATAACAGTGCAGCGAATCAAGATACATAATCACAGCCACCAACAGCAATGGCTATGCTGGTCTGGAGGTCATCTCAAAGAGACAATCCCACCCACTCCTTCAGCAGAATCTATGACACTTATACGGACCCTTCACGATTTTAATACGTATCATACAATCCGTCAACGTCGTCTTTATCAAAATCGAATCGCGTCTCCAATCAACTGGGCTCTCAATCGGGACCTCGCACGGTCTTTGTCTTCTCCTTCATTCAATCACCAAGGGAAATAACGGCAATATTGAATCCGATGCGCGAATAGAACGATGGAGCATGGATGCATGTTGACTCAAGTAATCGCGGCTCTAGATCTCGGATTCTGATTGGCCATCGCATGATATGTTCTTACATCTATCAACAAGCGTGCTATCTATGACGGTAAGCCGAAAGACGTCCCATCATTATCGGGTTCATTGAACACTAGGCTCCAAAATCATCAAGTCTTCTTTCACTGCAAGTGCATGCTGCATGTCCTAATCCTCTTCATCTGGCCAAAGAATACAGCTCATTCGAATTGAGGCCAATACGCTCCAGGAGCACGAATATTAGGGTCATCGCGTCTTTGTTTCGCAGTATCCCACTCCTCGTCGACCTGCTTCACGTGCTCCGCGGCGTCTTGCACATTTTTGATGAGTGCTGGTCTTGGGAGGTAGCTCCTCTGTCCTTGGTCGAATGCTATGAGAACGTCGCTAGCATTGTCTCTAGCCTTTCTTGCATTGTCACACTCCTTTTTCTTGTGCTCGGGAGCATGTAATTCTGCCGAAAAAAGTTAGAGATGCTGAAATTTCTTGGAATGGGGGTTGTTTGGCGATATACTGCAGTTTCCTTCAATTTTTACGGGAGGATCTTGATTTTCCGGCCTGGAGGGAGAGCTCAATAAAGCTTCATGGTTGTGTGGAAAGCTTTGAGGCTTACGCAAATCTGGGTTCGTAGGCTGGGCCATGGCATTTAAGTGCTGCGGCACCGGTCGTCGGGTTGTAGCCACATCTTTCTTGAACCAGGTAAATAATACACCGGCCCTTGCATAGCTCCTCAGAATATACTTCTGTTTTTACTCGACACATGTTGAACTGTTTTTTACTGTATTCAAAATTTGTGCTTGATCGAATTGTGATGGTAGAAAAGAACGGGATTTGAAAGAAAAAGGAAAGCTTTATAGCACGAGAACTCAATGCTCAAACACCCCTGCATCATACATATACCTCTGTGTAGCATCTTGAAGATGTCAGTGTGCAGCTCTTACCTGTCATTGGACCAGATACAGAGGCATCTTGCAACTCTGTGTAGCATCCTGAAGATGTCAGTGTGCAACTCTTGCCCGCTATTGGGACCAAGCACAGAGGCATCTTGGCTCGAACCTGACAATGGAGTCCGATGAGAAGAAGTGAGACTTGTATTGCAAAGCAAATCGAGCTAAGGCTTGACGGACTTGGTTCGTAGATTGATCGAAAACGTCTCACCCCGACGTGTTTCATGCCAATGCAGCTCTCGCATCAGTCCTCTAAGGCCACCAATAAAAGAATACAGCTGACCTACAGTCAACCCAACTCCAACAACGCCACGTACCAGTCAGCCAATTTACCAATGCACAGTGCCAAACGAACAGATAAACCGCTCCTCTTCCATCATCCTTCGTCACTCCGCCTCCGAGTGCATCAACAATTCCACCATCTAGAGGACCTTGACCCTTATCCCCTTCGAATCCAGCCTCGCGAACGGCGCGAAAAGGTCATGCACGATCTCGACATCGCTATCGTCCGTCTCGTACAGCTCGAAGTTGAACTTCCCCGGCGCGAACACGGACGCGATGGTTAGGTAGAGTTCGCAGTATGCGAGACTATATCAAACATGCGTCAGCAATGCGTTTTTCTCCGCGTCTTCATTTACCTTTTCTCCATGAGAAGGGCCCCTTCACTCTGGGCGGGAATAACGGGAAGGTCGGGAAAAGAGGTGGTAGGGAGAGTCACAGACGGGATAAAGGAAGAAGGGGAAACGTACTTCATACCCAAACACGACCGACTCCCCTTACTAAACGCGACGAGATACTTCCGGAGACGGCCGGCGTCGGGCTTGAGCCAGCGCTCGGGCTTGAAGGCGCGCGGGTCCGGGAAGAGGGTCGGGTTCCAGTGGATCAGGGGCGCGGACATTGATACTGGTGTCTTTGTTTGTTTGTTTTTGTTAGTAGAGTAATGGTGATGGTGATGGGGAAAGAGAAAGGGGAGGTAGGGAGGAAGGGGAAGGGGGGAAGGAGGGAGGGAGGGCTTACACCAGCGGGTATGCTCCACTCTTTGAACTGCAAATCCGCGTCGGGCGAGATGCGCGCGAGGTGGGATGTTACGCCGCAGGACCACCTTGCTGATGTCAGATCTAGGGAACGTGACGAGTACATATCTCGATTTACCTGAGGCCTTCGGTGATGATCGCGTTCTGGACATCGTCAGTGATTTGCAGGATGTACGGTAGGGAGATATGTTGGATCGTCAGCGCACCAGATACGGCAGTTTCTCTAGCTCTGACCACCTGAGCGGTGGTTTCGACATCTCGAGGGTAGCTCCCAGCTCTGCTTGCAGGTTCTCGCGCAACTTTTGGTCTTTGATCAGGTGGTAGGCTATGATGGCTAGGGTGTGGCCTGTTGTATTCGACCTGGTAACTGAAATGAGCACTGCATCTGCCGTAGGATGTTTTCTGCTCACCCCGCCGTCATAACAGACCTGCCTTCTCCCACTAGTCGCATGTCTGACTTGTCCATCTCTGAGAGCTGCTTATTCGTCATCAGCTCAGAGAAGATAGTGCGCTGATTCGGGCTCTCTTTGCCGTCCTTTGTCTCAGCGCGCAAGTCTTCGACTCTCTTCTGGCAGATCTGTCTCTGTTAGTCCCTCGATCTAATTCAATCTCAAGGTGTCATACGCACCGTCGAAATACTCATAAAGGTAGCGAGTCTCGGATTCATCTTGTTAGCTACCGACCGCGGCATACTCCTCATCAGCTTCGACAGCCACCCGAACTGCTTGAACACAGGCGACATCTTCAGCGCATTGAACATCGCCTCCGCCCAATCGCGCCCCAGCTCCGGCTGCTCCAGCCAGCCCTGCGGCGAACCAAATGCGTATTCGCAGATGATGTCGTTTGTCAGTGCAAGGAATGCGTGGAAGAGGTCAATCACAACGCCGGTCTTTCGCGCGTCGCGGAAGCGTGCGTTGAGTTTTTCGATATCGGTCTGGATCAGGGGTTCAATGCGGGCGACAGAGGCGGTGGAGAAGAAGGGGGCTACGGCGTTGCGGCGGGCGCGGTGGAGGTCGTGGTTGAGGGTTTGGAATGTGGAGGTTTGGGGTCCGAAGGCCTTCATTTGCCATTCGTACTTGTCTGTCCGCCGAGGGCCGTGAATGTAGAGCTCGTCGTAGTAGCTAGGGATAAGATGAGTGAAATGAAGAGGTGCAGGAGCAACAGGTGTTGGACTCAGGATCATTGATGTGCAGCTCGTAAGGATTGATCCGCACAATTGGGCCTACATGCTGGTGTCAATTGCCGTCGTGTGGTACAATGCTGCTTCTTCTCTACGCACCGTACTTCTCGTGCATCTCAGCAATCTTCCAAAGATACCTTCCCTGCTTGCGGACATCATAGATGAATTCGTACCACAAAGTTGCAGCAGCTATCTTGGGACCTGGAAATTTGGCAAGCGGGCTGAAATAGAGACGGTAGACGACCAATCCGAGTAGGTAGGCGGCTCCAGTAACAAGCAGGATGCCCAATTGATCCAGAGTTGTGATTGCCATGGTCTTGGATCGTCAGTCAGGAAGTATGAGATTATCGAGCCTCTTGAGGCATGGGTGCTGTCTATGTACGAGGAAAACAAGCAGCCAAACGCGGGGCAGTTGCATCTTACCTACATCGAGCTACCCTCATTTGGGCAGGAGGATCATTCATTGGGGCTGAACGTCATATCTGCGGCCTATAAACGGCTCGGTTAAGGCACTGTGATCGCCACACTAACAACCGTTAGGGAGTAGTCCAGACACAAGAGGCGACGAGACCCGAATCGCAACGGAGTTGCCAAGAAGCTTCTTTTGACCGTCCGATTGCTTCAACGGTAAGACATCCCTAAGACTGTTGGCTGAGCTGTTAGGATCATTCTTTCAACATAGACTTGACTTGGCTTAATATGCCTTCAGGTATGGTGTATGCTGAGACCAGGCCTCATTCCAGAAGGAGTGTAGATCCTTTGCTCTTGTAATCCATATTGGCAACCCTCTGCTTCGCCAACCTAGAGCTATTTTCCAAATGTTCACTACCAGCCGTCGCTATGGGATCGTTCATTCAATTTTCTACCCAGTCAGCTTCAATCAGTGATGACCACGATTTGGTGCAGGGCATATTTGGAGGCTGCAAAGATGACCGTAAATGCGTACGACGCCGGTACTTCCAAAAAATGAGGACAACAGCTCAAGCCTCACACAATAACGACATCCATGCGGCACGCAAGATAATCGTACACGACGAACTCGGACGAACATGGCATGTGGAACAACCGGTCATCGGCGAGGCTTCCACAGCACACAGCGGACAGCCAACGCATAGATCGCAGGCCAAGTGACTTCATCACCATTTCAAGTGCACATGTTCTCCCCACATATATGTCCTAGCTCTTAACCAACCGCACAACCCCCCTTCCCCAAACCCCTTTACCAACAGGCAGGAGAGCACAGCTCAGCATGTGCACATCTGCGCAGCCATCAAGGCGCACAGCAGAAATAATCCTCTCTGCAGCCTCTTTCGCGATTCCAACCGTCTTATTGATCCAGCCTCTGCCCAGCTCTTGTAAAACGCCATGCGCATCGGATCCTCCTTAGCCCCAGCCATCTCCCCCCCGTCTCCACTAGCACCAGGGCATCCATAATGAGGCACGAGAGAAGGAAGGAAGGAAGGGGTTCAGGTCAGAGGCAGCCAAATCGAGGCCAGAAGGTAAGGTGGAGGCTGTGAGCAAGCGGTCAACAAAGCCGAGGGGGAGTGGGGAGGGGCGAGGGCTGCAGCAATGACGCAGAAAATCCGCGAAAGTAGCGTTAGGGATGGAGCAGCGCTACATGGCCGTCGACGCTGCCTGAAGCGTGCTCAAAGTGGGGACTGGTGGGAGTGGGGAAGATTGAAATTCTTTTGGGTGCACGCTCTGGGAAAGTGTCTGGTGGGTTTTGCACGAGAGGTGCCCGGCGAAGGAGGAAGGTACGGCGAAGAAATCTTTCGGGCATGCTTGTGAAGCCTTCATATTGTATTTTCTCACTCTCAATGCGTAAACACTTCTATAAGCTATGAGACTTCTTTAATAAATCTCGAGACTCGACGTATCTGCGGCTAAAAACCCATCTCATTCAAACAATCTCTGCGCCTGCTCCCAACCCCGAGTTGAAGACTTAGGCACTCCACTCTGACTAGAACTAGCCCTTGCACTTCCAGACAACAACGCCGTATCATTCGCCGCGCTTGCACCAACTCCATCTCCTGCAGCTGACACGGTCTCATTGTTACCGGCACTCATCGTTCCATTCCCCACGCTCACCGTCCCGTTTCCAGCAGCAAATCTCGACCCGTCTTTCGTACACACCACGCCGTCCTGTTCGACGTACAGCTCCGACCCCACACACGGGACGCAGTAAAACAGAGCGTTGGGATCGTACTTTTTCTTCAGGTTGAGGAGAGTGGGGTAGTTGTCGCCCCAGAAGACTTGCTGCCAGTTCGCTTCTGTGGGATCGCCCTGTGGAGTGAATAAGTATGTGGCTCAGGTAATATGTGTGATTGGGGAAAGATACCTCGCTCATGTATGCTCCGGTGTTTGGCGCGAGCTCGCGCAGCCCTGCCACGCGCGTGTCGCGGAGATTCGATTGGATGGCTGCGGTTGCGGCGGTGCTGTTGAGGAGGCTCCACGGCGCGGACATGGCTGGCGATACTTAGCAAAATGCAATTCAGGCGACGAGGGAAGACGAACCGGCATGCACATAGCTGAATCTCCACGCCGGCAGAACGGCATTACCGCCCCCAGCGGGCCTTGCCTCTCGCACGCCCTTCCCAGCCGTCAAATGCCCAAACAGCACATTCCCCGGCGGCGTGCTCTGCTCTAGCGCTATGCGCAGCTTAGCTGGGTCGGAGGTCAGAGCTTCTTCCGTGAGTAGTCGGGAACCTAGTCTGCCATCGTTGCCGACGGCTTCTGCGGTATTGGCACCAACCGTGTAGGCGTAGAGGTTCGGGTATTGGTTGGGAATACCACCAAAAGGCGTGGTGAGATTCTGCGCGCTCCACGAGCCATTCCGCATGCCAGCCTGCAACGGCTGCACCAGCTCAGTGGCATTGACAGCGCCAAAGGAGACGAAGATGCCGTAAAGCGAGCCGATGTCCCCCCCAACGCTGGGCTTGATGTAATAGTAGCATGTCAAACCCGCCTCATTCAGCTGCACGAGCTGCGTGTGGAAGTAAGTGCTCGCGTCCCACAGCGCGCTGTTATTCGTGCTATTCGTCTGGAACCCCCACGTCGTGACGGGCTCCATTGGGTACGCGCGCACCGTCACATCAACGACGACTGCGAAGGTGGATCCGCCGCCGCCGCGGAGCGCCCAGAAGAGATCCGTGTTCTGGAATTCGTTGCAGACTCGCGGCGTGCCGTCCGGGGTCACGACATTGAACTCGAGGGCTTGGTCCGCAGCGAGCCCTTTCTGCGCCGTGAGCGGTCCGTGGCCGCCGCCGAGGATGAGCCCGCCGATGCCCACGGATGGGTTGGAGCCGCCTACTACCTCCACGTTGTTTTCTGACGCGGCTTTGTAGGCTTCGCCCCATTGTGTGCCGGCGGAGAGGGTCATGGCGGAGGAGCCGGAGGACGAGTTTGAGGCGCCGGTAGAACCGGCGGGTGTGAATGATTGGTGGAAGACGGTGCTTTTCATGTTGTGAGTCCAGATGCGCAGGGAGTTGGGAGCGTTGGATCTTTGCGCGTGATAGATTAGCTGATGTTGCATCTCTCAAGGCAGGAGAACCCCTACCTGAAATTGTAATCATGTCCGGTCGCTTTCACGACCACCCGAATGTTGTATTCCTGCGCGAACTTGACGGTCGCCTCGATATCTGACGATGTTCGAGCGTCGACGACGTAGTTGGGATAGCCCTCCAAGGAGCAGTTGGCTCTGGCGTCTGGAAAGCAAGTATCGTCGTTGTAATCAAATGAGAAGGGATTTTGAGCGTGGAAGTCTTCCGTGAGCCAAGCACCAAGAGTGGCTTTGCATGCACCCTCATTGTAGTTTGGCTGGTCCTGATGACAAACACCTCCTGGAGGTAGCGCCTTGAGTAGCTTGCCCTGCAGAGTGGAATTTAGGGATGTCCATTGCTCGGGGCTGGGCCAGCCAGCTGAACCAGGCTTGTTCTTGCAGTCCGCTAGTACTGATACTGTAAAGGAAAGAATGAAAAGGGTAGTCCAGCTACTGATGGGCCTTAAACAGAACATAGCGATTGCAAGCGAATGAGGAATGAACGAAATTTGGTGAAAGAGCACAACGAAGGGATTGACAAGAAAACAAGAAATGAATTGATCAGAGATCAGAATATGTCACGAATGCTTTTATCACACTTTGCCATGTTTCTGCCCCCCTATAGTTTCATGGGGTTGTGTTCGATGCTTCTAGGAGTGCGGCTATCCTGGCAGGCTTTCTGGTCCCGTCAGTGGTGGGAAGGCTAATTTGGAAGACGAACTTCCTAGTCGGGCGAAGATACTGATCGTGTTTGCCACGTGCATGATAGAGAAATCGATATCATCAGCGCCTCGACTGTAGACTATGAGTCGATCAGCCTGGCGATACTAGTGGTTTAACCGCTCTTGCGGCAGTCGAGGTAAGGCTCATCCCGGGTAGATCAAATTGCAGGAGAATAGTAATCCCTTCTTTCTTGCATCAAGACCGTATCGTATCGGAAAACTACCGTTGCGATTCTTTTGTGTTCATGGAATGTCCTTACTCATTCTCGGGTGACGCTCCTTCGTCCAGGAACGGACCCTGCTGATTCTCTGCGTCCACATATTATCAGATAGAATCTCGTGGCGATTGTGTTACTATTCCATGCTGTCATTCCCGGCTGATCATGTACGGTAGCGATGTTGGCCCCATTGGTGGACCGAAGGCGCCTAGTAATTTCTCTCCAGGGTTGTCATCTCATGCTGATACGGCGCGAAAGAGAGAAATGGTGCCGTCGATCAAGCAGCCTGTTGGTCAGCCTTATGCTTCTGAGTATGCAAATTGAAACGCGGCTTGTGGAATTGGAGATGTGGCTGTTTGAAGATGGAACATAAGATGCCTCGCGCGCTGCCGCCGAGGAAATTGAGAGCTCTCGGAGCGGGCTAACATTTCCCCGAGATTGCCAAGACCGAATTTCCTTCAAATCTTCCCAAGTTTTCTTCATACACATGCTCTGTAAGACTGCGTTTGTGGTGCGCTCGACAGCTTCTGCTGTGTGGTCGGAGAGTCCTGTGTGGCCACATGCATGTAGGCTACTCGCTAGCCAAGGCGATGTTGATGTCGCAATACTGAGCTCGAAGCTTGCCCTTTCGATGGGAGGAAGAGGATGAGTGCCCCGATGAGAGCACGATCAAGGTCTCATACAATGATCGCAAATTCGAGTAACACTTTTATGCATGACAGGCACAGTCAGCCTGTCAAGTCAAGTCAAGTCACCCTACCCGCCTAACAGATGGCATGGAAATTTCCTGAGATCAAGGTATCACAACCACCAGATTTTAGATCATTGCATATTGATCGACGAACGAAACTATCACATGGAAGATTAGGTTACACGATATCTTCAAGGAAAACAGCGCCACCTCAATTAATTAAAGCGATCAGCAAGCACGTAAGATTGAGGCATGTTGGATTTGCAATGCTGACTGCAGGCTTGGCTTTGTGGCACGAAACGTTGGGAGACCATGACAGACTGTCTAGGCGAGTCGAGAACCCTTCGCCAACATCCTGATATGTCCTCAACGTCCAGATACACCAGCGGCAAGCGAGCCCAATAATACGATCCCCATCAGGTAATTACAGAAGTCTCTCGAACCCGAAATTTGAATATCCGAGGGAACCGTGACGCCTTAAGGCCTGGGCAGTTCGCCTAGGGACCACTAGGCTCAAAGCCTAAGCCTTATGTTCCTGTGGAGCCCCCGGGTAAAAGCTTAGTGGAGAACCCTAAGGTAGTATTCTTGGGCGGTGTGGAAATCGTTTTGGCCCTGTCTGCGTTGGCAAGCATGCCTACCAACAGATAGGTTCTCGGTCTCCGCCCTATGTGGTGGCACTGATGGTGGCCTTACTCATCCTGCATACTGCATTCTGCAGGAGGCCTGATACCGCCAGCAATCACAACTCGAGCTTGTCTACTGTTGCAACGCTTCTGGGTGGCGGATTCTAATTAGGGGACTCTTGGCAGGACGCCTCTCACTCTCACGAAATTTGCATTTCCTAAACAAGCATTTGACTGGTGGGTATTTCCGCTCCACCGCATGAACGGCGGTGATCGAACCTCCCTGGGCTTTAAGGCCACCAGCCAAGCCAGTCCCGCCCTGAGTAGTGCAGATACAACGTGCCTGGGCCATAATAGGAGTCGTCGCCAATTGGCGGACTCGCGTAAGGCCCCAAATTGATTTGTTTCATCTTGTCAGCCTCAGGTCAGTGTTTGCGTCTGGACCACTGCGTCTTTTGTATATGTAGCAAGATGGCCCTCCACGCAGAATTTCTTCTGTTGCCCAGCATTCTCGTTTGTAAGTCGTTCTTTCGCCGTCTTTTCATCTCGTCACGTCGAGTCATCAACAAGCCATGCAGGGTCTGAAGAGCCGCTACCGAGCCTTGCCTCTCTTTGCAAGTCCCCTTGAGGAGGAGGAGCACTCTCATCACCATGGACACCCCCCACCTCCAGGGCCGCTCAAGCACTCCGAGTCGGAGTTGTTTGTACCCGACAAGCAGTTGAGAGCAGAAGCCAGCGAACTCCAGGCACCGCATGAATCGATTGCATTTCGGGAGCGAGAGGAAGCCAGCTCCATCGAGCTATTCTACGACCTGTTCTTCGTTGCCAATTTGTCCACCTTCACTGGTGCTCATACCATTGACAATGAGACATGTGAGTCTAACCCAATTCGCGCACCTCTGCAAGGCCAACTGACGCCTCCCAGCTATCAAATCGTACATCGGGTTCTTCGCCCTCCTGTGGTTCAATTGGCTCCAAGTCACTCTTTACGACGTACGCTTCGGCGTCGACTCAATATTCGAACGTGCGTGTAAAGCCCTCCATCTCGGCGTCATGATTGCCTTCGCCGTTGTCGGCACGAACTTCACACCTACCGACACCGCCACAAACGTCTCTACATTCCGCCAATTCAGTGTGATTCTCTTGATCAGCAGGCTCGTCCTCATCGTTCAATACAGCTACATCCTCCTCTGGGTCCGAGGACACAAGAATGTCATGCTTCCCATCCTTGCCCACATCGCTGCCTTCGTAATTGGCGCGATTATCTGCCTCGGTCTCACCTTTTCCTTCAACAGTACCACAACCAGCGTTTCATACCTGGGCTGGTACGTCATTGCAGCCATGGAGGCGCTGGTGGTCTTCACCAGCACGAGTAGATGGCGGAGCATCAGCTTCAAGCACACCAACCTCAATGAGCGCTGCGGTCTTCTCACCCTGATCATTCTGGGCGAAGGCGTGATTGTGCTTACAAAAGCCATGACCAATGTAACGAAAGGCGAAGGCTACACCGCAGCCATGGTTGGGCAAATCATTTCCGCCGTCCTCATCATCGTACGTTCGCCCCTAGCCTCCACCTCTTTATACCCTCACTAACACCCCGCAGTACTTCATCTACATGCTCTACTTCGACCAAGTCGACGCCAAACGCTTCGGCACAATCCGTCAACAGTTTTGGGCCCTGGCCCATTTCCCCTTCCACATCTCCCTCGTCCTCCTCCTCGAAGGCTGCTCTCGCTTCATATCCTTCCGCAACGCCATCGAAGTCGTGCTAACCGTCCAAACCTACTTCGTCGACGCCTACGGGTCGTTCGTAGACCAAGACAATGTTTCTCTCCCCGACCTAGGCGCCAATCTCACCAAGATCGCCAACACCTACCTCAAGGACAACCTCCAAGCCGATCTCACAAAATACAACATCACGCCCTACGTCGACGCGCTCGTGGCATCCGGCAACGCAACCAGCGACGAAGCTTTCAATGACGCCGACCAGATCCTCAACACCATCACAACCGCCATCTTCAAGTACTTCAAGATCGAAGCGCCCAAATCCATGGCCAAAAAAGCTTCCGGAGACAAAGACCCCTTCTCCGACCTCACCACCATCCTCTCCGTCTACGATCTCGTATTCCAGTACTTCTTCGCCGCCGCCGGCTGCACCCTCGTCATGATGGCCATCATGGTCGCGCTCTCCAAGAAGGGGAAAGTGGCGGGCGACTACGCCGTCATCTCCATCCGGGCAGTTATTGGGGCGGGATTGGCGTTGGTGGCCCTCGTGAGCACGAACTACACTGCTAGGGATAATTTCCTGTATACACCGTGGATGCTGCCGACGGTGCTGTTTGCCATTCTCATCGTGGTTATCGTGGATGCAGTGTTTGGGTACCTGTTGCCGGCGCCGAAGGCTGTGGAGGCCCATGGACATGGACATGGAGGTGCGCATGAGCATAGTGTGTAGAAAGCCATTACTTGGGTGCGAGAAGGTACGGCTGGCGTCAGGACTGACTTGTTTCGTCTTGAATTAGCGAAAGTGGTTTGTCGAGATCGTTGGCAAGGTTCATCGATGACTTTATGATATCTTCTAATCTATTCACTTGAGCAAGAAGCCGCTCTCCCCTTCCTTCTGTGCTGTTCTCATGCATGAGTCCATTCTGCTAAATCTGCACCACTTCGGCTGGCGTGGTCTTATCTTCCACCTTCGCCTGCACGCCTGCTGACACGGTGGCGTGTCTGTAACGCTTTCCCTCATCCATCCCCAATCGACTAGCAAGGTCGCACAGCAACACCACTCCAGTAAGCACAAAAGAACTTTCAAGTATGACACAAGTTGAGCTGCCTGGCTTGAGCGACGTGCTCGTACCAGTCTGTTCCTTAGCAGCCCCCTCCTTTCCTCATCTCCACCCCCATCCCCATCTACTCCCGTGGTGTCTCCCACTATAAGGCGTTTGCCAGGCCTGTGTTTGCGAAGCCGCCTGCACCCTCCCCACCCCTCCTTGCTACTCGGTGTGGCTGATGAAGCTCCCCCCTCCTCGCCCGACGTGCCTCACATGTCTCGACGTCCGCGCCGACAATGCCCTGTCCAGCAGTCTGTACAATCCCTCTCCCCTTCCCCCCTCCTCTGTCCCCATCCTCACAAAATCTTTCCAAACGCCCTCAGATGCCTCTCGTCCTCCACCGCACCCAGGATGCACAAGTCCGCCATAAGCTTTCTTCATCGTCCGGCTCTCTTCGCGGTCGAGAGATGGTCGACGTGGCGGTTGGGGTCGTTTCGGCTTCCTTGTGGCTTTGGGGGTACGCTTTTGACGTTTGTTCATGGTCGTGTTCGCCTAGTGGACGAATTCATTAGCGGGATAGGGGGGAGGAAGGGGCGTGGAGGAGGGTTACTGCGGTCTCTGCACGCTTTTTTTCGTCGGAGTTGTTAATGCCGGGTGGTGGGGTTGCTTTGATTTAAAGGAGAGTGAAGCAGGAGAAGGGGGTGGGGACGGGGAAGGGAGGGAAGGGAGGGCGAGATTCATGCCTAGCTAGGCTTTCCATCACGAGGGCGCACTCTCACGCCTGTTTACCGAGGATCTGGTTACGGGCGCAGACAGCGTGGGTGTGGTAGCCCACGCAGCGAAGCGCGAGACGTTCGGGTGCGAGGAAGATGTTCTTTGGTGCTTTTGCATATGATGAAAAAAGGGGGGTTGATGTGTGTTCGTTTGTTTGGCGAGGGCTGCTGTCTGTGGGAATTTTAGGGAGGGAAAAAGGGAAGGATGGGAAAGGGGAAGGATGGGACCTTAGCTCAGTTGAGAGAGAAGCGATATACCGACATAAATATATAGGGTGCTGAACTCAGTCATATGGTCCGAGTTGTCCACGATGTAAGTTGTATATCCTCAGTATGAGACTGTGTAACTTCCCAGTATCCCACGGTGTAGCAGAGGTAGTGTTTCTGTGCTTGTAGCAAACCTAGGTCACCCTTAAAGACGAGATTTTATTCCTGCGGGGGCTTCTTCGGAATCCTCAGCAGCGCTCGCAGGCTCGTGGTTCAAGGCTTGAGACACTACGCCAAATATAGGCTACACACAGATAGTTGCCGCGTCATCATCGTGAACTCAACATCTTAGCACGATCAGCAAACAAGAATTCCGAGTGTAAGTCAGATGGGCAAAAGATTAACAGAGCGAAAGATTGCCGTCTTCGCAGTCGCTCTGGCATTCGCCCCTTCCTCCTACCAGCGCCTTCCACCACTACTCACCTGCATCGCAGAACCCAAACCCAGCCCCACATCATCTGCCACGCATCTCACGAAGCAAGTCGCGCCTTCTTTCACGACGCAGGCGATCTCCATAGTGAATATCCTCAAACCGCTTCCAACCGCGCCTTGTCTTCCACATCTTCCACAGCGCGCAAACTCTTCTGCAGCTCCCCGATAGTCCTATAGCTCTTTGCGTCCCTCGTTGCCATTGCCAGGGTCTCGCGGTGCTGGTCCATCACTGTCTGTGCTTCTTGCTACAGGCGTAGGGTATGAGGGTGATTGTGGGTCCCTGGGGGGTTTGGGTACCATCTCTAGGGATAAGAGCGGTGAGGTGAGAGGATGCTTGATTAGGGGAGGAGGTAGAAGGGAAATGTCCTGCAGCGCCCGTCGAGTTGGCGATGAGGATTTCTGTTCGGACGTCGTTATTACAGTCGGAATAGTGGCACGAAAGATTGATGGACGGATTCAGACGTAGGACTAGTGGGGATGCCCATCACCACGACAGTCTTATGCTTCTCTTTTGAGCTTGTAGGTCTGTGGCTGCTTTTGTCATGGACCCAATATCCGAAGCGTTGGAGGGAGAGGCATTGAGGAGCCTGGTAGGCGCCTCGGGTGATTTTGCGCGTGATGGAGAGTTTCTGTTTCGTTAGTTGATTGCGCGCTATCGCAGTTCTAGAGATATAGGTATGATGGGATTCTATGAGAGGAAGGAGGAGGGGCTGCAAGATGCTTGCGAGATCACCAGGCCCCTTGGTGCTACTAGAATCCCATGTTTCTGGTTCTAGCAAAATCTAGTCTGCTCTATCTTCTCACTTTCAAGATGAAATGAAACTCGTTCGCAGCTGCAAGGGACTGAAAGAAGATAAGTAAATACTTTCAAGTAAAAATTTGCATTGGAGAGAGGCGTGTTAGCTATCTGCAGACTTTGAAACAGGCAAGTTTAGTAGCACGAGCCAAGCCAGGGAAGAGGCTTTGGATTAGTACCCTCATAACCGTAAGATGTGCGAATGACGATGGTAAGTATTGGACGTAGTCCGAAGAGGAATATCAGCGAAATCGCTACTACGACTGGCATGAGGATTGACATTTCTTACCAGGTGCTTCGAGTCCACCATTAAGGGATGACCTATCGAATGATCAGAGGGTCCTGAAACACCGGCAACTTCGCTATATGATATACCGGAACCACACTTAATGACTCGGTCCTCGGGAACTCAGTGAATCAACCAGTGGTCGGAGAGATAATTGGATGATCGTGTTATGCTGCCGATCATCTATCATGATTCGTCGCACAGACGAAGTGTTCCCGTGTCTTGGCCTAAGTTTGCATCACCGTGCAGGAAGGCTTGCTCAATAAGGGTATGACCGCCTGTCGAGTGGTGTCCAACAGTCACTAGCATCTTCAGCATCGACGCTGAGTATGAGATGGTAGGGCAGAAAGGTCGATGTGGGAACAGGGCTTGATCCTTTATGCCCGTCATGGTTGTGGGATCACCATGCATACGGCCCGTTGCCCCCGGACAACCCTTCCCCCTTCGTCATCTTTGCATACGTGGTAGGTATTTCAACTATCGTGCCGCCTCTTTTGAAACATTTTCCACTTTCCAATCAACTTTGAATTCTCGTGAATGAGGCTTTAGATCCTGTCCGTCTGTGGTAGGTCTCATCTCGAAATGGCGGCACAAACCTACGTAGTTGTTGCTCCCACCGATGCTGCTCTACCCCCGCCGCCTGGAATCGTGCCCGACTTTCAAGACCCCTTCAGCCTGAGGCCGTATAGCAATGTCGCGGTCTCCCTGGGAATGATCTTTTCAGGCACATTTCTGGCCGCGAGACTGTACACAAAAGCCTGTATCATCAAAAGTTTCAGATGGGAAGATTGTAAGTATGGAATTTCCATCTTCAGTTACATTGCTAACACGATCGTGAGACATGTGCATCCTTGGTTTCGTGCGCAGTCATGAAATCCACCAAAGGAAGTGTTCTGACAAAAACAGCTGTTCTATTGTGTATGGGCAGCCATTATAGTCAAGGTCGTGAACGCAGGAGGGGGCACTCACCAATGGAACATCACATCTCAAGACCTCTCTGAGCAACTAAGAGTACGTTGATTGATGGTCCAAACCTAGATGCTGATACCAACGATGAATAGTACACCAACTACGAAGACATCATTTACAGCCCATCAGCATTGTTCACTAAACTCTCCATCATTCTTCTCGTACAACGTGTCTTCTGCCCCCAGGCCCGCGATCCATGTTACTGGACGCTACAAACCCTAAACGCCGTCAACATAGTTTACTACACCATCTACCTGATCATACCGATAGTGTCATGTAGTCCGCGACGGAAAATATGGCACATGGAGCTGCCTGGGAAATGTATGAACATCTACGTTCTCTATACAAGCTCTGCGACTTTCAATGCGCTCTCGGACATGGCAATGCTCTTTGTGCCAATGTGGCGAATCTGGCACTTGAATATTTCGCGATCGCGCAAGTTGGGGATATCGGGTATCTTCTTCTGTGGAGCCATGTAGGTGTTGATCTCCTGCTGCTTGGAACGTGCCCACTTGACTGACCTACCGTAAAGTGCCATAGCCGCCAGCATCTTCCGGCTCTTCTACATCATCATGCTCTTCCATGCTGTAGACTACTCCTATGTCAAGGAACAATCAGTGATGTGGTCACATGCAGAACTTGGATTCGGAATCATTTGCTCCTGCTTGTTCGTCTTACCTCGACTGTACCGCCACCTAGCATCGATTCCACCCTACGGTAGCGACGACTACGATGAATACCAGCGCAAGAAATCTGGAACCTGGGTAGCACATCAGTCGCAAAGCAGGGGAAGGAAAGTTTCAGCCAAGTCTCCTCATCTAGGTGGACTCGACAGTGATATTGAGAGACCGCCTGTACCGCCCAAGACGTGGCTTGGAGAAGAGACAAGAAGTCCTACCCGGGAATATATGCGCATGCTTTAGATCGCGTTATTCACTCAGGGCAAAGAAGAATGATCCCAACGCTCCGTCCGGTCAGGTGACGCTTATAACAGTCAAATCTACGCTGCTCCAGGCCAGAGAAGGAACCGTACCATGTTCTGCTCGATCGGATCATGCCAGCATTAGTGGCATCAAAGAGTACTTTCGAACGTCCTTCAGCCAGCAACTAGCGACTAACTTCAAAGATCGCGCAAGGCACCCCTGCTGCGAGGTCAAGGAGAGGCGAGCGCTCTCAAAGTGCCGCTGCTCATGAATAGCCCTTCTATCTTGGGCATCTAATCAGATGCCCAATCCTATCTTAGCACGTCGATCGATTAAGAGACTCTTGCTACTCGGCAAGAGGTCAAATACTGGGAGAAATGGTGGTGCTTTATGTCCATCAATGCATAATTGACCGATTCCACAACCTCGATGAGAGCACTAGTCTTCCCACCCAAATATCCCCAACTGTGGACTTTGTTAAGGCAACAAATCAGGAGTCCGCATGCGCTAGTCATGTCTTGTGCTCACCACTTTTTCATATCTCAGTAGCATCACTCCGCCAAATACCTCATTCTATCACAATTCCATCGAGCGACACCGGCTGGTCAGCTGCTTTGTAGAAACGGCCCAGGAGCTCTACCTCGGGCGTTGGGGGGCACGGTCTCCGGGTATACTGATATCCGAGCGGGCTTGGCACGGATCGGTTCCGTCGCACGAGACTCCAGTATTGTCCTCCATCACCTCAGCAACTTTGTGCATCTTTTATCATCTCTAAGTAGGACTCCAGCAATGAGAATATGGAGAAGGGCCTATTCAAGTGTATCGATGCAGATGGGTAGTAGTGTTGAAGGGGCCTATGGTCAGTATGTCATTCGTGAGGAATTAAAAGAAAACATGTGGCGGGCTCAGTGAGATGCTCCACCTTCATTACGCTCTGCGTTGCTCATTGCCTCTTGCAGAAGTTGCCTTACTCAGCAGAACGTCGTTGTCAAAAGCGCAGAAGACCATCTCCTCAACAAGGAGCGCAGGACACTCAGGCGTTTTGGTCACGTGCCATCTCTCCGTCGCTTGATCGACGAAGTCGCAGAGCCTCCGATGCTGGTGCTGGAGTATCTCGAGACAAATCTGCTCACTGAGTCTGGAGAGAAGAAGCTTCAGCCATCAGATGTCAAAATCGTTGCAAAAACTGTTCTCCAAGCTTTAGCTGCACTGCATGAAGAGGGGATTGTTCACACCGGTAAGTGGCATGCTGATGTTGCAGAGTTCGTCAGTTCTGAGACGAACTATCCCAGATATCAAACCTGACAATATACTCGTCAATCGTGGCGATCACAATCATCGTTTCAGCGACATTAAGTTGGCAGACTGCGGCGATAGCACACACATCGATGACGTCGTTGAAGACCACATCATCTGGACTGGGGGACTCCTACTGCCATCTGATCATTAGGAGCTACGGTATGGTTCCCTTTGACAATGATACATTGTTCTGCTAAAGACAAGTAGCTTATCAGTTTTATCTGGGGGGAGCATTTCCATATTTTCAAGCCGCGAAATGTCAAGGCGACAGAGCCGACATATGCAGCAGAGGTGATGCGAAATCAACACAAATTCTTCGGACCATTTCCCTTGAGCTATCAGAGTCTTTTGGATAGCGAACGAATCGAGATACTTTTCATGATCATGGAATTAGTGGAAGAATTACCTCTCGAGGGATGACAGAGAGTCTATTTGCAAGCTCATGAAGCTAGATCTAAAAGACAGACCCTCCGCCAAAGTGCTACTTCAGGATCCTTGGATTGCTGAATCAAAGCGTGAGAAGAGCGCAAATATGCACCACGCAAGAGCATGGCAGCAAGATAGCATCTCCACCCGCGCCAAACTATGTTACAGAGGCTGCCTCCACTTTTATCGTATATTCAATAATATGCCAATCACACCCTTTCACTAAAAGCCAAGCTTCCACTGCGCGCGAACACAACTGTGCTACAGACTTGAATCTTAGGATGTGAACCAGCGATCAGCCAAACGAAGAACGAAGGTGACGATTCAGAGTCACTAATGCAGGGTTTTGTCACTGCAGAAGCCGATTTTGGGCGACCACCAAAACGCCTTACCCTGTAATCCTGCACTTGGACTGAAGACTATGGAGAAAGTCTAGACGTCTGTGATGTGGTGTAACCAGAAATGCTTCAAGTGAGTACCAAAGAATGACACTTGGGCGCAGTTTTGATCTTGTGCAGAGCCTTTCGCGGCCACCTGAACTGTGAACACAGGCACAAATTGTTGGATTGATGGATGCTATTACCTATTGATTAGCATTTATTGGTCACGGGAAGAACATGGAAAATCTCCGGCAATGTGATGCACAGAGTCAGCGGTGTCTCTAGGAATAAAACCGAAGTCCCATCGGTGTAGTGCATTTTCAACAACCTGTAGCGTCGCAATTCAACCCTTGAGACGGCTTTGCGTTAAGAGCTTCCCCTTAAAGCGAGACCGAAAAACCACGATTGATAAAATAAAGATGCCTATGCCGTCGCAAGTTTTGTTTTTTGCCTTAAGCGAAAGCACATGCTGGGCTGCATCGATTGCGCCGTCATCTTTGTCTTAAGGCGATCGGGGGCCCTGTCCACACCTAAGTCGTTTCAGCTGATGTGCGATGATTCAAACGCCGAGAATATTGGCACATGTGGGGAGGCACTAGGGCCTACATCATGGATTCTGAAGAACGCTGGAGCATTTCTCATGCAGGGCGAGCCACATCGGGTGATCGGTGGAATTGTCAATACATCCGGTAAGTGACTGACTCAGGCTCGAGATCTAGGCCTTGGACTGCAGGGTGCACTTACCTGAAGACGCTACTGCACGCTCAGCATCTAAGTCAAGGGTGGTCGCGAAGCGAGCCGTGGTTTTCGTAAGGAGCCAGGTTTGCGAAGCTTACCTGGCAATTTCCGTCTGCAATCAATCTATTAGCAGTTAACGTGATTAGATACTGCAAGAAACTGAGAATCAAGAAACGTGGAAGGAGGGGATCCGGAGTTAGAATAATCATTGCTTCTAGGGGTCTTTTTCATCTACCGCATGCACATTTTCGACTCTAGCCTTGAGATTCCCACCGGCTGGCTGACAGAAGATCTGAGAGCATTGCTCATACCCTTTTCGTGTCGTGCGAGGCACAAAGCCATCGGCCATTGCGGAGCTGAACCACGTGCATGAATGGGTCTGGGTCGAGCGCCGCCCTGCATATATGCGCCAAGCCATTGCTCATCTCGTACCTTGGGTCATCTTTGCTGGCTCGGAGTAGGATTTCAGCTGATATTTTTGTTCTTTAGCGCTCGACGATGCAAGATGCAAGCCACAACGCCATACTTTACCGTGAGAAAGGCAGATCAAGGCATCCATGTCAGCTGAATATGCCCTGCAACTGACTTACTTCGCCTGAGCTCGGTCTCTTCAGTCGTTGTAGCCTGATTATTTTGTCCACCAGATGCATTTACATCGCCCTGCAGGTAGTATATCAAAGACTTGGTCTTTCTCTCGCAAGCCTAGCGACTCTGCAAGCTCAAGGATCAAGTGCATGATTCATAAGCAGACCAAGATTGTGATCTCTCTCAGCTGGTTGCACCTATTCACCGGGCCCAGACAAAGCACCAAACTTCGCAAGAAGACCTCAATTTAACTATGATTCTGCTCATCTCGTTAAGTTTGAAGGAACGTGGCTGCAGATCGACCACGTACGAGATCAATAGTCTCAGTCCACCCTAAGATCCGACCGTAGTGAGTTTGGGTCTGCCCACAATGCTCGCAGCGTGATAACTCCGAGTCAAGAAGCGGCGTCATGACAAATCAGCATCCCACCCATATTGTTCTCGACCAACATATAAACTCTCTCAACTCCCATATCGCCCCACAAAACACCAGCACCCAAAACCCCGACCCCCCAAATTCGCACCAGCAAACCACAGCTCCCTCTATCCCCTTCACCATCTCAATAGCACCCAGCAGGCTCACTCTTCCCATCCATACCCAGCTAAAATGCAACTCTCCCTCCTCAACCTCCTCGCCCTATCAACCGTCCTCACAGTGTCGACCGCCACCCCTATCATCGAAGGCACCCCCGCCCTCGCTTCCCCGCTCAAAAAACGCGCCTGTCCCGCCGACTGCAACAACCAATACCCTCTCGCGCGCAAACTGGGCCAGCCATGCGGTGGCTCCTGCGACACCACATACCGTGCCGGGCCGGAGACTTGCTCGTGCAATTTGGGCGCTATTGTGAGTCCCCTCCCCCTCCCCCCCCCCCCTGCCTCCGTCCAGGAGAGTTGTGAGAATTGCCACGGACAGGGAAGGATTGGGAAGGCAAGGCTGATGTATCGTGTGTGTGTGTGACGTAGTTGTTGTGTAAAGACGGGTCCTGGCAACTAGTCGCCGATTGCGGCAAGACGGGCCAGGTCTGCTTTAATAACCAGCCTGGTAATCCTGCTGGAGGGAGGACTTGTAATCCGAAGTGAGGGGAGTTGGGTGGATTGCAGTGTTAGATGATCGGAGGGGGGGGGGGAGGGGGATGCTAGTGGTCTGGTCTGGCTTGAGCGGGGTGGATTAGGTGTGGGAGGTTGGGTCAGCGTTAGTGATTGTTGGGGGTGTAGGCGGAAAGTTTAGGTGAGTTGAGAAGATGGTAGACTCAGTTGTCGGGGTGACATCGAGGTGTAAAAGTGTTACGAATGCATCGAAAATCTTGCCAGTTCTGTTTACTCATACCCGTCCTTGAGCCGAGTTTCTGATCCTGCTTCTCGAACACTGGCAAGAGGACTGCGAGCTGTCTGCATTGCTTCGGAGGCGTGATCGCAGGACCCATGCAGTTTAGGTCAGGAAAATTGATTGGAGACGCTCCCTGCGCCTCAAATTTGCTGATTCGGAGGAATTAAGCAGACAGAAGTAATAAAATTATCTGTGGTGCTGCTGGGGACATCTGTATTTTTCAATCCCATTAGAGACGCAAGCGAGGAAGCTAGTACGTCCCAATCCGTTAAATTAAATCACTATAATCCCTCAATCTATGTACGAATCTCCTCCACATCTCACAAAACTCTCAAAACTGATACCCATGCGCAGCCATCGGATCCTGCACCTTCTTCACCGCACTCCCCCTATCCCACCAGAACACGCAAATCAACGGCTTACCCATCACAGCAGCCGTAACGTCCTTGCCCTTCGGATCCGCCTGAAAGTCCGTCAAGCGCAACGCCCCGCTCTCTATCTTGCCCGTAACACAATGATTCGGCGTCGCCGCGTACCCCAGCCCGAACACCACACCAGTGGGCACTTTCGCCTTCGTCGTCAACGTCTTCACATCCACCACCGCATCGTCGTCGCCAACGAAATCTGCGTAGTGCTGCCGATCCCACACTTTGACCAGCGTCTCGATTTCTTCGGGGTTTACGCCTTTGGCCAAAGATTCCCCTACGGCTTGTGTGTTGCTGAGGTTCCAGTGCAGTCCCATCGCTACCACGGGGTTCTCGGCGAGCTGCGAAATTATGGTGGTGCGCGGGGATGGAGTGCCGGAAACGACGTTGCGGACGCGCCAGATGCTGGTTATGACGCAGTCGGTTTTGACGACTGCCTTGACCTTGCTGGGTTTGGTGGTAGATGTGGGCTTTGATGCGGGAGGAGGTTGAGTGGCTTGTGTTGGCTTTTGGGCGGGGGCTGGCTGGGAAGAGCTCGTGCTGTTTTTGGTAGTAGACGCGGGGTTAGTTGGGGGAGGAGGATTAGCTTGCGTTGGCTTCTGTGCGGGGGCTGGTTGGGAAGAGCTAGCTTGTGGTAGGGGAGTAGGAGCTTTAGACGGGCTTGGTTTTTGCGCTGGTGCTGCTGCGCTGGAGGACCCGGCTTGTCCAGGGGGCGGAGGAGGGGGAAGGCCAGACGGTGCGGGTTTTATCGGAGGAATGGGCTTGGAGGAGCTGGGCTTGGCCGCTGCAACGGTGGATGAGATGACTCCGTGCGCTATTGTTGTCCCTACTTGTGCTATGAGGCCTGCCCCAGTGGCCGGCTTTGATGGCTTCTGTGACATGATGATTAGACTTGAAGAATTGTTGTAGTTTTAATTCAACGGGTACGGCAGATGTAACTGGCGAGATACTTCGAAAATTCTTGGCTCAGAGGTCAAGAGATGTATTTGAGGCCGCTATATATCCCCAACCACAACGCAGGGCGGCTTTAGTCAGCTCGACGCATGAATGGAATCGCCCCTCGGCAAAGCCTTAGTCATGAGATATTTCCGCTGACAGGACTTCGATTGAAGCTTAAAGTAAGGCTTTATTTGCCAATCCGACGTCAGCATGCTCTACATTGCCTCCATTGTCAAGGAGAGCGAGTTAATTTACTTCCCTAGTGCAACCAGGGAGGACAGGTGACTCGATTTGTGCAGCATTTCCAGAGCAATGTCTCTCTCCAGCTCTCACTTATTAATAAAAACCGTGTAAGAGTCTTAGTGTTGTGGATATGACCCTGTAATTCAGAAAGTGGAAGGATAGCAAGCCAATTCCGCTAAGGCTAGCATTGACTTGAAGCTGACGTGCTGCATCTATTGAAGTCGTCGAGCTAGGAAAAGGATAAGATTCGAACCTTTGGTTATGTATTGTAGACGATTGAACATTTGAAATGGCAGACTAATTGATGAGATCTTACGTTTGGGACATAAATTATGTCGACCGGATGATTTGGCCGTCTAGGAACAAGCGCTGATATAATCTCGGAACTTTCTAGGATAACATTCTTCTTTGACAAATACTTTCCGAATATCCACTATCAGTGCTGTCCGTATTCTCCAACAATTCATTGCCATCCGGGTTCCGACTATGCTCAAATGCCGTCAAGTCGACCCCTCAGCAACATTCGCACCCGACTAATAGTCCATTATATTTCCGCACAGCTTATGACGACGGATAGTAAGGTCTATTGTCAAGAATGGCCTGTGAATTTCCATCACAAGAAGAGCATTGGTACATCTTTGTATTTGTCAGGGTTTCCACTTGGCGTGCCAGATCTTTGACCAGGGAAGCTCCGAATTCTGGTATTTCGCCGAGCACGCGGTTGAAGTCGGGGCACTTGAGGAAGTCGCTGATGTGTCGAACTGCAAGTTCCGTCATCATGTTCCGTAAGTCCCGTACTGCTGGATCTGAAGGAGGAGTATTATTAAAAATAACTTCGACCGCCTCCGAGAAATAGGCGATCTTGGAGGTGAACCTAGTCTCGCCCGGTTCGTAGGTCTGTTGAGATGAAAACTTTTCTTGGGCACGTTGTTTCAGATCCGGCAAGCCATATTTCTCAGCTATGACATAAACTTGGGCGTCGAACAGGAACTCAAATTCATAATCGTACGACTCAATGGCTGGCCGCTCGTAGTCCGCATAGTACATAAATTGTATCATGGCTTCAACTACGAATGAAACGTCCTCTTTAAGCTCGACCTCGCCTTGAGCGTTCTCCTATCGTGGTGTCAGCGGTCAGTAGGTAAGATCTCCAGAACTGTCGACGGACTTACCTTCCAATCACGCTGAAACATGCTGTTGAAGTAATCAGATTGCGAGGAGAGCACCGCTTTGTGTACTGGAAAGCGCATGTCTTGACAGCATATCACGAAGTCGCCTGACGTCTTGCTGGAGGCATACCATCTGCGAAGATCAGTATCTGGATTGACCTTGACTGATGGTCTGACTTACATTTTCATTCGAGCGCAGTGCGCTTCCGCCGGTGATGACATGTTATGGCAATGAATTGAGGCAAGAGACATTTAGTTGAAGATCAGGGTGGGAGAAGTTCAGCAAGGCCAGTGAATTGAATTTAAAGGGAGTGCATTGTAGTGGGCCCTGAGAGTATCGGATAACAATGCCTTTGATGAACAATAAGCCCCTGCGTACCCGGGGTCCAGGAGAACAAAGCGTATTTGACTCAATGATTGAGCCCCCGGAAAGCATTGACGAAACAGTATTGAGGTAGGTTGTACTGAGATTTGAGGTTTCGCGTCTGATTGTGCGATGTTCACTCGACACCATAGGCTTGAATATCTAAGACTGGCTTTACGAGCTGACGAAATCCGCCATCAAGAGACATAGGAGAAAGTGAGAGAGGAGAAAAGACATCTCAAATCAATACAAGGCAATGAGACTCAGAGGAAAATGCGTCTCGAATAAACATCATCGCGCAAGGAGACTCAGACTTCTTCACTTGTCTGCCCTCGAGGCTAGGAAGGCTTGCTACTAACGCAATTGAGTCGAGGAGCTTCCCATCTCCTAGGTGATACGTTGGGTAGAAAGAGCCTTGACATAGAGAAAGCGCGGCTTCCTCAAAGCTTTTCGTAGTCGCAACCTAGAGATAATCGTTCTGCCACTTAATTCACCGCATTACACCTAGACACGAGAGTCTCCTCTGAAACCTACTCCATTGGTTCGTCAGATCTTTAGAGCAGGTTCTCAGCTGAAAGAGTGCGAGAATGGATGCTGGATGATTTTCGGTCGCGTCACATTTTGTACGCGACGTGACAGTGACGTCATCCGTCACCAATAAAAGAGATCTTATCGATAAGATCTTTGTTTTGTCAACACTCGAGTAGCACAACGCAATCATCTTAGTCGAAATCAGCAAGCTGGTGATCATGTTCTGATGATGAAAAGTATCTGTACGGATAGTAAGACCTTACCGTATCTTTATACCCAGAGTCAAGTGGCTCGAGTGAGAAACTTGCGCTGCGCAATAAGACGGCGTCAATTGCTGTGTCCCACGAATTGCTAGCTGGAGAACCTGCTCCCCAAGGATGGCCCACTTCTATGATTCGTCATCCGATGAGAAAAGCGATGATGAACGTACGCCGCGAGACATCGTGAAAGACAACTTGCGCTATTGCATCAATAACGTTCATTCGACAGGGTCATTCGCGACCTTCGGTGTTGTAGAACGCTTTGCTAACCCTGGTATTTCTATCGATCCACTTGGCCTCATCAGGCTCCCGCTTTCAGAAGAAGATGCAAAGGCTATTGTCAGGGCGAGCAACAAGGCCCCGTTCGGTAAAGGTAACAAGACGCTGGTGGATGAGTCAATCAGGAAAACATGGCAGATAGATGCTGACAAAATACAACTTCTCAACGATGGCTGGCAGGAATGTCTGAACCGCATCGTTGAGCACGTATTGGGCGAACTCGGCGTCGCTTGTGCATTGACCAATGTCCGTGCAGATTTGTACAAGATGCTGCTCTATGAGGAAGGCGCAATGTTCAAGGAGCATAAAGAGTGAGTGACTTTTAATGCATCAAGATCTTTAGCTGACTGTCAAAAGCACTGAGAAAATCCCTGGAATGTTTGCAACTCTCGTCATCTGTCTTCCGTCGCAGCACACGGGCGGGGCTGTTCGACTGCGTCATGGGCAGAAATCGCTTCAGTTTGCCACAAGCGAGCGTTCAGCGTTTGACGCCACCTTCATTGCTTGGTATGTCTCTTATTTGTATGTCTCTGATTCATCGCTGAGTTCATGCACAGGTACAATGATGTAACTCATGAGGTATGCCGGCTCACACAAATTTAGCGTTCAGATGTAACTGACAGGTACTCTGGAAGATCGAGCCAGTTCAAGGAGGTCGTCGCTGGGTCTTGACATACAATCTTATCAAAATTAACCACCAGATCGATCAATCCGCTTCCATGCTCGATGCGCAGATTCAGCAAACGGAGTCGGTCTTGAGGCAGTGGTCAAGCTTAGACGATGCCCCTCAAGCCCTTGTTTATGCCCTAGAACACAACTACACAAACAGAGGACTGACTTTGGCTGGACTCAAAGGTGCCGACTATCACCGTGCCCGCCATATGACACAAAGCTGCGCTTTGCATGGCGACTTCTTCACCCTACTCGCTAACCTGGAGATGCATGTCACGGACATGAACGGAGAAGACTGCGAAGAGACCCAGTCTGAATATCTGCTTCCTCACATCGTGGACGTCAATGGAAATAATCTCTCAGTCCATAGATCTTTCAGGATACCAGACTCGCTCTTTCTAGATTTGCCGGCTTATAAAGACAGAGACCCAGACGTCCAACATGGTGGAAATTACACCGGGAACCAGTACGCGGAGATAGAGCAGTATTTCAAAGACAGTGTAAGTCTGTCCTCATAGACTATGCAACAGTATGACTAACGTTGCCCATAGGTGATGATTATTGTGCCAGCGCGTTTCATTGCCAGATTCTTGCTGACAAGCAAATATGGTCCTGGACCATTAGCCAACCTTGTAAAATCGCTTGTGTATAAGCTGAAACAGAACGATGACCAAGACCTGCGCAAAATGCTGCATCAAGTTTGTGAATGGCAATTATCCCGCAAATACAAAGGCAAAGGAGCCAACGATCAGTACCTTGGTACCATCGCTGTCGCTGCCGTCTCTCTTGAAGATCCAACACTTTTCACCAAAGTCGTGAACGAACTTACCGACAGCTTCTCTGAAAGCCTCTATGATCAATTGGGTGGTCTTCTTTGGCTTGATGACATGGTTGTGCCAGAAAAGGAGTGAGCTTCCCCAATTCGAACGTCTTACTGCCACTGATCCAGACAGCGTCATTGAATGTCTCACAAAATCTGGCAAGCTCTCTCAGATCAGCAAAAATATCGAAAGATTTCGTTTAGGGTATCTCCGAACAGATCCTGCCCCCTTAGACGAGCTTGAAAAGTCACGTCTACGGAGATGGGTGGACACAGTAGTGTTTGGTTGCTTGCACAAGATTGAGGATGTTCACGATGAAGATGCTACCACTTTGGTCGATATGATCGTAGGGCGCGAGGAGGAGCCCTTCAGTCAATTGTAAGAGCCCTTCCCTTTTATGGTAGCCCTGGCGGAACGTCCGCCCTTCGATTGCAGAGAACGTTGTATGAAGTATGAAGGAAACGGCAGCAACAACCCGTGGCTAAACCTCGAGGCTACAACGCCCTTCCGTGTTGCCAAATCATTTTCATTAGAAATTTGAGACATCGCTGACTCTAAACATAGTGTTCTCTATCAAGGCGCCAGAGTCTTCGCGGCATACTTTGCAAAGGACCTAACTTTCATGAACGCTTTGCTAGTAGAACTCTTGTATCGCCTAGCACAACCGTCCCAGTCCAACATCTATCTCGAAAGCCTTCTCCAGCGAATCTTGAGTCCAGCCTTTTCAACCTTCAATCTCAGCTACTATGCCTTATCAGTGAAAGCTCGCGATTCCCGTCTCAAAACACTTCAAATGGAAATCGCTGGTCCAGCCCAACAGCTCTACCAGCGCGCGACCGCCCATGAAGGGAAGTTGCCGTCACGATTCCTCAACAAAATCGAGGATCAAGTCCCCAAGCTCACCAACGAGCAAGTGAAAGAATTCCTCACCCCATTTCTGCACAAGATGATCAACGTCATAGACTCGTCTGCTCCACAGGCGCAAAAGACCGCCCAAATACTCGCCGCCACCTACATCCAGCGCTTTGTAGGAATAGAGCCCGCTAAGCCAACGGACTGGGCTCGACCCGAAGAGATCATGGACCCCACCAAATGCGACACCAAGAAACAGTGCAAAGAGTGCGCAGAAATGAACGCCTTCTTGAAGGACCCCGAGCAGCAAACTTTTCAGATCCCCACCAAGCCGTCCGGCGAAATCAGCAGCCACTTGCGATACCGATACGACTACTTCAAGAACTTCGAGCAAGAGAAGGGGGTGGGGGTGGCTGGGAGGTTCGCTCTATTACGAAAACTCTGAAATGGTGGGAGAAGCGGCATACACAGTGGGAGGAGCGCGCGGCACAGGCTGTGAGTGCGCTGCAGAAGCTTCCGCAGCCGGGGCTTAAGGAGTGTTTGGGGAAACGGTATGATGAGATTGTGGAGTTGAGGGCGGTGAAAGTGGGCGCGATGGAGGATGTTGGTGAAGGGGGAGGGGAAGGGGAAGGGGAAGGGGAGGGGGAAGGGGGGCGTAAGCTTCGCTCGGGAGGGAATGTGGAGAGTGGTCAATAGAGGGTCTGCGTGGGGGCTGTGATTGGAGGCAAGGTGCTGCTGCTCTGTTCACGGTTTAGCGAGGGAGTTCTTGGTGGAGGAGCACAGTCTCTGGAGGTCCCGTCTTGAGTTTCTTGCTCATAAGATTAGAGCGTGCGGGTGCTTGTCGATGAGTGCCTGCATGGCATGCAGAATCAACTCCTTGATGCGAGTATTAGTAATAGAACTCGTAATATTGATGTTAGATATACATGGTGACTGCATCCCGTGTGCGACCCTTGGCCGTGGAATTCGTGTAATCTATTCATTCACGTGACCGGCTCTGAACGGCGTCGTGGTGGCTGCTGCGACTGAGGGCTCCGCCCGCTTGATATGGGGGTGGTAGGAGGAGTGGAGAAGAATCGTAAATTTCATGTGATTTGATAGTGCTACAGAAGGTGCGCTTTGGGCTCTTGAGCCTGTGTGGTATCTTCACTAACTTTCATCCATAGGTGATGTGGTGGCGATTCTGATATTTCCAGACGACAACTCAGGCCTTGATCTAGTTCTTCTGTGGCTATGGAGCATGTGCAGACAATGATACCACGAGCCAATCTCTTTGTGTGAAAAGTGCACGATGGCACTGGATATGCGGGAAGGAGTGTGACTATTCCTGCTCTGCGATCGGCTGTCGTTGATGGTGCACTTGGTGCCGGTATCGAAATCAGTAGTGCTCGTTTTTTGCGGATTTCAACGAATCGATTGGTGCATATCCCAATCACGACGATCTTGCTGTAGGAAATGTCATGTATCATGAAATATGTCCGGCCGTGCGTTGAGTCTGGCTGTCATTTCTGCCTAGTTCGAGATGGTCAATGGTGCCACGTTTGTTGCAAATCCTCGTGGTCTGGATCGATAGTGATTCAAAACGATTTCATGATCCCGGTGTTTAGGAAGACATTGTTGGAAGAGGTTGCAAAATGGTAAGATTACGTTTCGCGGCGTTCATACTCGGGGTCAAAAGAAGAAGGGAACGAGTGATTTTCGTTTCTCTATCATTGAATGAATCTTAAAATCACATGCCTTCCCTCCTAAGTGCATCAAGTTCCCGCCGACAGTGATTGGATTAATGTGAATGTCTGGATTATCGTCTCATCCTATGCTTCTCGATCCATGATGCCGAGGACGCACGCTGCGCAGACGTTTCTGTAGTGATCAAGATTCAGCTGGGGTCTGATGATAAATGGCGTTCGGCCGCCAGCGAAGACGCATATCACATCGCCAGATTGAACTCGCTCGTCTGCTATTCCTATTTGCATTGTAATCGAAATAAAAAGCGCTCGGAGTCGCAAAAAGGCCGGTTTCAAGAAAATTTCGTCTTGATGTTCCTCCGAATATGACTCCCCTTTTTTCTCCCAAGAAGGCGCCTGTGGTTCAACATTTGAAATCTTTTGCGTCGACTTTCGGCGGTTGCGTCTGCATAAATAAATCACCAAAAAGTCTCGAGATCGAGGTGCTTGCCCAAGCAAGCATATATACTCGCGAGTAGTCTGTTTATGAAGTCCGTTCTGCTGTCTGACATAGAATATTTGACGGGCTGTACGTGTTTCAATCTGGCAATTTCAATTCCAGACAGTATTAATGTATTTTCGTGTTCAAGCGAGGTCAAAGAAGTTTTACAGAGATTTCCAACGTCTTGAAGTTGTTCACTATGTGATCTATTTTTTAACGAAGGTAGAAAAACTTTCGAAGAACTGCTGGCATCGTAGAGCTGATCTTCAAACAAGACTCGTTTCTCAGGCTGCTTGCGCCAATCAATGCACCAGCTCGGGAAACTATTGTCAGCTTCGCGAGCTTCCTTGGTTTGTAACAGAGAGAGATTCTTATCAAGTTTGATGGTTAGTCTCATTGCGTCTAAAAACACTTCCTCTAAGCTTTTACTGTAGTCGATTGGGTTTTCAGATTCCTTGATTTGACTACAGAGCCCTGTCATTGCATATACCAAGTCTCGGGGATTACGTGCCTGTGTAGATTGATTAAGAATATGGAGACAGTGGCACATATTGGGATCCATTCTCATGAACGCCATGTCATGTAATCGTGTCGCAATTCTTGAGCCATGCAGGAGTTCCCCATGGTATTGAACGAGATATTCTACCCTACTACCCTCATAGTGTTCCATCTCAATGATCTTTGCAGCGCTTCATTGAAGTATTTGAGCGGAAAAGTAAGGCCACCACATCTCAAGGTGCAAGCGCCTCTAGAAGCAAACACTTCTTGCCAAACCCACACGCGGTAAAACCAAGACCGCTGGAAGAAAGCTCCGACTGCCGTTATAGCATGTTCAGGCTTAATATCTGTATGACATACCCAGGATAATCCGGACGATCTGGAGGCGGTATGATATGGATTAGATCTCCAATCAGTGAGCCTCTGGATGATCTTTATAGCCATTTCGGAGTCATCATATGCTGGACCCAGCCACGCAAGAACATAACATGCTGCATCGTAAATGTCTCTCATAATACGAACTTGACTGTTTCTCTCCGCAACGTTCGTTCTGGTCAATACAAATTGCATCAATCCACAGAAGGGTCGACTCGTGCACCTTGCGAATGTGATCAATTGCGCAGTGTAGGTTTTTTGTAACTGGAAGTGACCGATATATGACATTTCCATCGCTTTCATCTTTCGCAAAGACATCCTTGGGATCTTCTTCCGAGCCCCAGACGTAGGAGAGAGCAATATATGTTCCCTGGGCTTCGTCAAGGGAAGCTGAGAAATGTTGTAGTTTACTGGGGTGCCTCTAGTACCCGATTGGATCTCCACCAAACGTATTTCATCGCGGCTTGCGTCAAGTGCGGCATAGGTGTATTGTGGCATCTTGTCGTCATGATATGGATGCTATTCAGACACTCATCGCCCCGCTTCACCGTCACCAAACACCCGGACATAAAGTGGTGTTAAGAATATAGTCTAGTACAGAAGAGGCAAGATCATTTTTACTAGCGTCCGTAACCTAAAATAAAAAACGCCTTTCGATTGTTGTCATGCTCCCTACACTCGCTCAGCTACAGCATTCATGATCTCCACATCGACTAGCACGAAAGAACCGAAGAACGAATCATACGACGCGCTCAGTCTAAAAGCCATTGAATTCTCAAGGATCAAAGTCAGCGCTTTGCCTTTGGCCACAACACTAAGCAGAAGTGCCAGAGTAATCAGAGCGACCTATGAAGAAGAAGCCATGGATGAAGTGGGTGCCGAGCATTCTACGGCCTGATTACACATGGCCTAGACCTACCGCCTTTGTAATCGCGACGTCAGTACCGCGGGATGCCTGGGTCGAAGGGCCGAGGGTACGAAGATTCTGGGGGTAAGTGCTGTTCCGTTCAGCCATCAGCACACTTTCATGACCACAATATATGCGTTTTCTCTCATTATGGCCGCTCAAAACAACAAGTATTCTTTGCTGACGATTCGCAATGCTCACAGTTATGTGCATCGATTCCTAGCCTGGTTCTCGAAGCACTATCAATCTTGGTTCGGCCTTGTCCCTGACACTGGCATCAGTCCACTACCATTTGGCCTCCTGCTGAAATGGCACGAGCACGTACGAGTCGAAGAGGCGTTCACAATGCGCTTGACTCGCGCCGCTGGTATGCCTGTACCTTACGTGCTTTGCTGTGGGGAACAACCACCACCACATTGGTATCCAGTCTCGATACTCATGACACGCCTGCCTGGCTTTGATCTAGCGAACTGCGGCGATCCTTTTATACCGGAAGATGAGGAGCCATGGATCAGCGAAGTTCAGCGCTGCGTCGACGCGATGCGCGCCTGGAGCAACCCATTTGGTCAGCGCATTTGCTCTGCGATGGGAAGCGCGATCGCGAGCCATCGTGTTCCATTTCACAAGATGGGTCCTTTGGAAAACGAAGCTGAGCTCAACAAAGTTCTTCTCGGCCCAGCTTCGAAGGAGACTTACATGTCAAAGGGAAACTACGAGGACGAGCTTGCTTTGGCACAGGAGATGGAGGATATCCCGCACGACATCGTTTTCACCCACGGGGATTTCAAAGCGCACAACCTTTTGCTTGATGAAATCCACGGGAAATGGCACCTCACCGGCTTCTTGGACTGGGAATGCGCTGGATGGTGTCCGGCGTATTGGGAATTCACAACGGTCCTGACGATGCATCGACGAACATGGTGGGGCGAAGCTGTACGTTATCTCGGTGGCGACCGCTATCAAAGAGAATACAGATGTGAGGAGGCACTACGGAGTCTGACAGTCGACTCTTATGTCGGTTGAATGCTATTGCTACGTTTGATCTGCCTTGCAAATTTACTCCGCTTTCAACTAAGAGATACATCCTTTCACCTCTCCTGCATGTAATCCCTTGCACTCGATGATAGTGTGAAGATTTCAGGCAATCTCGCAGGTGGTAGAGACTACCACCGGTCGTGGCTGCTCATTTTTCAGCGCGCTTGAGAAGTGATGGGCTCCAATAGTGCGACATTCTTCCTCCAGAGCATCGATACTCTTGCACCGGACCAACCCTGCTTCGACAAGTCGCTTCAGCACTGCCAGTAACCATATCCGACAACTCATGTTTGGTATTGTCGTGTGGGACTCGTCATACGATCGCATCACTGCGTCGAGCTGTGCCTCTTTACTGACCGGCACATGCGCAATCTGTATCACGGCGGTGAGGGCGAATGATCTGAAGACACCGTGTGTGCTTGCATGACCAGGGAGCCAGCCTTGTCCACCCGGTCCAGGATTTTGAAAGTGATACTTGCTGCCCAGTGCGTTCTTTCTATGATAGTAATAACCCCAATGGAAGTTAGATGGATCGTCCTGCTTTCGAAAGTGCATGATTATGTAGAGTGCACGGTCCGGGAGACTTGCAAGAGCAGCATCTTGAGCGGCTTTGATTTCTGCGCCCCTGTTCTTGGGTGGCATTTTGGATTTCGCGCGAGGATTTGTTTGGGCTTTAGCAATGTCAGCAGCGATCAAATGGGTCAGAAAGCTCCTTACATGCTTCAAATTCGTGGGATGTTATCAAGCAAAGAGAATAAGGGCCGTCACGAAAGTCTTATAGCCAAGTGCTCGGCGGGCAACGCGTGAAGGAAGAAGGCAATTGTTGCCAGCGTGGAAGTGATGTTCAAGTGAATTATTCTGGTTCAAATTCACTGTCGTCTGGTTCACTACCATTAGCGCACTCGGAAGCCTCGTCCAAGAGCCACTGGATCAGTCTGGGTCTCACTTTAGCGCTGTTGCCTAGAGACCTGGTCGAATAAGGCGGGTGCCAACCATGAACTCAACTGACATGCAACGGCGCTTAGCAAAGGGTATCGATTGACAGTGGGGTTCTTCAACCACATCCATCCATAATATAAGCCTTTCCCGTCCTCAGTCGAAGACCAAATGGTCAGAGTTGCGAGCTCCGCAACGATCGTGAGGCAGACGCACGTGCTGGCTCGGGAGCCAGTGGTGAATGAACTACACCGGATAATTCACTTTTGGCGTGACTGATGACAAGATTCACGCTCACAGCCTTGAATTGCTGCCTCGTCTTCTGAGATCGACCGAAAGCCACGTCACCGACGATGCAAATGACATGGTGCATTGTCGATCAACCGAGTCAAGTTTGGAGAGTCGAGCAGAAGGCCGCAGTTTGATATGAGAGAGAGAGCTCGTGTGGGAGCATTGTATTTAGGGAAAGCCATTTTGCGAGAAATGCGTCAGGCTTGGCCGGGATTGTCGTCAATGGGTACTAGGTAACATTGTGCTTGGAATTGACAACTAGGCTTCCTGAGAGGGACGCTGCTCTCCTATGTGTTTAAATCTGAACTAACCACGCAGCAGACATACCTGTGAAGAATACCATGGCTCTGAAAGACGAATTACGAGAAAAACAGCCATTTCATGGTGACCGCAAATGATGATGCGGTGGCTGAACTGGAAGGCTGCTAGGAAGTACTCTGGTAGCGAAAGTACACAATGTATCCATTACCGTCTGTCAACGGCTTGATCGTAATAACCAGGACTACTGTCAATCCTGAAAGGTTACGAAAAGAGAAAGAAAAGACTGCAGTACCCTGCATATATGCTTGGTCAGGACATTCAAACATATTTGTCATCATAGAAATGCACACTGAGGACATGTCTAAGGTTCTGACCATGATGTTGGTTTACAGAATCACTGGATGACAATGGCATTTCGGCCTTAGCCCGTCACGGTCATTTAGACAATTTTCGTTAAGGCCGAGCCTAAATTTGCTCCTCATTTTTATTGATGACTGTAGCCTAAACTTATTCTATGCGTGTAAACCATGGGAGCTAAGGTTGGTGGTACCTGACCGTAGTACAATCCGGGGCACGCCACCACCTCCTTTAGCAACCCAGAGCCCCAATGAGGCGTCCAATGAGATGTTTTCATCTATCTGAGGTTCAAAAAGAGCAGAGATTTTTTGACACTGAAAGCGAGGCACCAACTCTTCGACCAGCCCGTTGGTCGTTGCGGTTTCCAACCTGATCATAAAGACTCGCAGCACAAATTCGTCTTGAACAATATGAATGTGAGGATGCACATTTCGAAGACATCGACTGCGTACGATCGCTGCGCCACAATCCAATCCAGCGCGCCGCATCAGGCCTCCGACCTTAAGATACTAGTGCTGCCTTAGGCGCCCTGTGTAATTTGAGCTACTCTACGAAAAATCTCATTTGGACTCGAATAGAATGACGATGATGATCGTCTTTAGTCTAGCTTAGACCTAGGGCTCGAGGCTGCTTACTCCAGGCGGCGCCGTACTCAAATAAGGCAACCTTAATATCGATGAAACAACATCTATACCAGAACTTGACTAGATCATCATAGATCATGCATCCATTCCAATCCCTCGTGGCCTACACGCTTGGGACACTGATGCTGTTGTACCTGACTGAGGATGTATATATTCAGAGTCAGAGAACTTGCAATGTACCATCTCCAAGTCTTCCTTCGGTGATAACAGCCAAGCATTCACTCCTCGACTTGAATTAGGCAGCCTCAACCTACGCGAGAATACATCAGGATGTCTTCCATTAGGGTTACATGCACATTGCTCTTAGCTCTCTGTACCACTCTGGCGAGGGCTGGATTGATTCAGAACATCCAAGATCCTAATGCCGTAGGGCCAAAGAGCAATCCTAACCCGATAGCGCCACAAACCAACAGTGCCTGCTCTCCCGGTCTAGTCGTCAAAATGGACGAGTCCTACGGTGCAGATAAATGTCCGCCTGTGAACAAGTTCGATGATGCCACACAATCGTGTCCAGCTTATCAGCAGGCAGATGATTGCGAGGCTTATTGTGAGATCAGACAGAGATTTTTCTATGATCAGGAGAAGCCGATTGCAAACTCGATCTGTCATGGGTCAGTCTGTTTGATACACTTCCCCGGTAACGTAGACTAATAAATTGTAGGCCGCTCACATGTACGGTGACTGAGATGCAGTCTGAGACATACACATACGATGTAGGATTCAACGCAGGGTTTTCCAATGGTCTCAGCCTCGGCATCACGGGCGGTCTTCACGCTGCCTACGCTACGACCAATATGCGACAAACATCAATTCCACTCGCAGATGGTGTCTGCGGATACTTCACGTTCCTCCCCGTCCTCCACGAGTCATGGTAGGACCGTTCTCTACGTCTTTGAAGCGACGTGAAAGCTAACATTGATGGGACGCAGCGGTACAGTAACCTATTCTGCAGGGAGTACGGATCATAATTGCAGGCCCGACACAGCCAAAAACGTAGGGAATGTTTGCGTCACGCAGCCTCACCGCACGGTAGACCTTAAGCAGGTCATGGGCACCATCGTTTTCGTGAAGATAAACTGCGCCGATCATTCGCGTCTCCCTATGGACCAGCAAGACCCGGCTTACCAAAAACCAGGCGTCGCGGCGCCCCAATCCGTCTACATGAGCTTCATCAATACTATTTCTGCCGGTATCCAGGCTGCTGCGGCCGCGGCCGATAAGTGCACACCGAGCCCCGAGTGCCAGCAACCAAGTGGTCCTTTTGTGAACAAGGCTTGCACATGTACTTGCAATGGTCAGAACGCTGATCTAAAAGATGACAGATGCAAGGGTTTTCAGGGTGCGCTACCCCCTAGGCCGCCCCGCGTCTGAAGGGAGCAAGAAGACTAGGGTAATGAGGGAGTGCCGATGCGGAGTACATATATGGAGGTCAATACTTGTCGACACAAGGTTCTTTAGTCTTTTTAATACATCAATTTACGTGGATTCTGGCTTTCTTTCTTCGCTTCCATAGTAACACAGGTGCCTCTCGGAAGTGCTTTGTATTGATAGCTGGTAACAAATTGAAGAATTGACTTCAAAAGACGGCTGAATCGTGGCCGCTCTTTGAATACGACGCACTACTCAAAAATCTTTGGCTATCGCGACAATTTCATAAGACTCTCAATATAGACCTTGTCACCAGAGATGTGGCTGCCGTGAAACCCTGCTGCCAGACTTGATACAGGTACTTGAATATGTCAATTAATTGAATAGACAGATCAGGAAACTGAGACATGTGCTCGAGTTGCCTCGAAAGAGTTTTTTCTTCCGAAAATGATGTCGCGTACCGGTACAAAAACACATACAAAACCTTTCACATCTCCACATTCCAAAATATGTAGCATCTAAACCCTTCATCCCACCAGGACCCCTTAACTTCGACTTCCATCAAACATCAAGCATCACCCTAAAACATCATGTCACCCGAACCACTCATTCCACTAGCCTTATCCGACAACGGACTCATAACCCCCGCCAAATGTTTCGCAAACCTGCCATGCGTATAATCAATCGGCTGCCCAACCACATGCCAGCATCCCTTCGCATCATACAACACCGTACTAATACTCCCATCCGTGCCCATCGGCACAAAGAACGCCTTCCGCATCCACGCATCCATCATCGTCCCAATTTCCACATCCCGCTGAAACCACACCGCCACTCGCGGCAACGGCACTATCGGCTCCTTCGAGCTTTGTCCCATCACACCGTGCGGCGTGATGTATACGGGTCGGTTCTTGCCGTTCACGGATTGGATCAGCACGGCGGCGGCCGCGGGGGTGGTGTCGAAGAGGAACCCATCGCGCGGGGCGGAGTCGGAGTCGGATTTCGTGAGGCCCGCGTCCCAGGAGGGGAGAGTGGCGGATTGCCCCTTGTCTACGCGGCGGTGGGGTGTGGCGAGCGCTATTTTGGCTATGTTAAGGCAGAATTAGTGACGTTTCGTGGAGAAGGACGAGTGAGTGGGCTGTGAGAGAAGACTGTGGGGTCTTACTTCCACTCGAAAAGCCTTGCGATGAAGCAGCCATTGCAAAGTCGTCTTTCAGTGTCACTTGGATGGAAGGCATGACGATATCGGAATGGGCGATGACCTAAGAATTGAGTGAAACAATCAGCCATTACACTGTGAGTGAGTGACAAGTGAGGATGGAGACCAGGCGCCTACGTTTGAGATGTGTTCGCCCGAGGCGCCTCGGATGACTCTGGCAAAGCAGAAGTGGTACTCATGTTGGGTGAAGTAGTCGACCCAGGTGTCGTCGATCTCTACGTTCAACGTGTACTGACCCATTCTTCCAGGGAATGGGAAGAGATCGTGAAGTCTCACACGTCGCGGTGAGATTTGTCTTCCTTGCCCAGATTCGGGCAGCTGAGAGGTAGATATGCTTGGGGATTTGCAGGCAAGAATCGGGATGGGGGATCCTGACTCTTGTGTCTCGGATGCTGTGAGAATGAGGAGTCAAGCTCGTGCCGAGTGATTGATGTCGTAAGCCTTTGTACTCGAGAAGAATATGTCGTAGCGTAAGAGTAGGAAGAAATCACGGTGGATGAGATGCCTGGCGAGGAGCAAATAAGCGAGGAGGAATCACTCTGGGTCTTGTTATCGAGCAGAAACACGCCCGCGACGTGGCCTCGTGAGTGTTTGATATATGATTGTTTCGGCAAGCAGCGCGCTTCTATTGCTTCCTTGAAACAACATGTTTCATATGTGTGGAAGCAGCTAGGCGCCATCCGCAGAGCCACCATTGGAGAGACGCCCATAGGCTGTAAGCGAAGCCTCGTCATGCGATGATGCGCAAGATGCGATAGCATTTTACTCGAAATCCAGGGTTGGGGAAGATCGAAACGGAGCCTAGAACGTTTGGTCTTAGATCGTTCCCTGCTGCTAGATCGGTCCCAGAGACGAGGTGCTGGAATTGAGGATGATATGCAGCATTCTTGAGATAGTTGCCGCTTGCGAAGCGATGATAGTGCATTGTTGCCTTCCCAGACTGAAACACATATGGTGCTGCCTCAAAGTCTCATCGACATATCAGACCACCATTTGATCTTCACTTCCACCTCAAGATCAACTTGGATCCTGTTGCCGACTGTTTGTGCGTTTTTGTGGTCGTTGTGGTTCAAATAACCAAAGGATCACGTCTTCGCCCTCCAAACAAAGAAAACACGCGACCACGAGCGGCTAAGGTCGGCCAACGAGACGCACTGGATCCCATGTCCCGGAATCCCAGGATTATTGATTACCCCTAGCGTGCTAGAGGATGCTTGAGGAGAGATGCGAGATCGAGTTGCGTAAGAGACTGCCATACAATTTCATGATGTCGTGTCCATTGGGCTGCAAATGGCACGATCTTCATCGCGCGGTCCATGGAAAGTCCATCCCCAGAGGTTCAGCACTACTCATGACGAGGCAACGATGAAATAGAAACTCGCGAAATTCATGTTGATATAAGATCCTGCTGTGGAGATACTAATAGCTTTATAGTAGCGTTTAAAAGAGCGCTTACGGGGGAGCATGGCCTCAATGAACTGGTAGATTCCCGTTGCACCCATAAAAAAAGCATAAAGGTGAAAGCATGGTTCTCGTATGTATTGAGATATTCAATGCTTCCTGGACACAATTGAGATTGAATATCGTACCACGAGCTCTTGAGTGCAAAGTAGAGGAATTTGGGTACCTGATATGCGAGGGAGTCAATTGGTCCGTGCATGATTACCTCACGATTGATACTAAGACCGGGCATTCCATGTGGCGCAAAATTTTTCATGCAGATGAGCGCACGCACTCCGTGAGTAAGGTATGTTTCTTTTGCTGTTTCTTCCACTTTTATGATGTCTTATTTCACGCCTTCAGTACGATTGTTCCCAGGACATGCGTCCAGAGCTGCTTCCTCAGCTGTTATGGAGTCTCTAGTTTTGAGGGTATCTCTCGCAATGTAGTCTTATATTTGAACAAAGACTTCTGTCGCTCTCCTCGTTAGAGGCTTAGTCGTGCAAAAGCATCACCAGACTCGATAGACACAGATAGAGCACATTGAATGGTTGTTGGCCCAACAATCCACGCAGTGAGCGATAAAAGCTGTGTACGCTGAAACCTCAAAAGATCAGTAGCGCATGCGCTAGGTACATTGCATGCTCTGCGACGATTCCTGCTTTGTTGCACTATTAAGAAGCCTTCGAATGGAGTAGCCTAAATATCGACTTGGAGAAAAACCTTCGTGTTCGTTTCAAAACCATCGAAGCTCAGTGCTGAAATTGCAGGACCCATTTTGTAATCCTAAGGGGCGCTAGCCGCAGCACGCATCTCTTCTCCACTCCTTTCTAATCTTGCAAAATCGGCCTTGAAATCACTCGTTTGAATGATCTTATCGTCAGAAATCTTTTCGGGCGTATGTAGCCCCAGGTACTAGTCTCACATGTTTGGAAGTCAAGGATGTCCTTCGCAGGGGCCAAGTGTTGCACAAGCGTGCTGGACAGATTTCAGCTAATCTGTAGGACAGCCACCGCTGAAGTGATGAACGAGAATGGATCTCCATTGGCTCGTGTATGAATTCTTTACTTCTGCAAGTCATCGAAATCGACGTCGGGCTCATTGGCGGAAAGAATTAAATAGCAATCTCCGCGGAGGCAGATCCTGCGAGCCATGACAAGCTGGTTGCCTCAAGAAGTCTTACCCCGCTGGTGAAAATATGATAGCCAGTTAGGTGATATTCGTATTTAGCCCTGGCCAAGAATACTTTGACAGGCGAAATGGGTGGCAGGAGCTCCCTGATGACCATCGCAGCGATAAGCGTGATTAGGGTCGTCTCTTTAATTGGATCATGCCTCGCGGAGGTACATGCCAAGCAATCAGCTCCGATGAGAATCTTTGGTCTGCCTTGTGGGGTCATATGCAATAGAGCTGATCATTGAAGGTGAAGGGAGCTTGTAGCTTGGTCTTCATCATATCCTAGGAGAGATATGAGTGCCAACATTTTCTAACATGCATAGAGGCTGGGTGACTCGTCTTCAGAGGGTTCCTAGCGGAGTACAGTCCCTATCAATTTCCCTTGTTTGCTTTGAACTAAGTTCATCATCCATGTCTTTCAGCATTTCTTGACACCATCTTCCACCACTATAGCCAGCAGAATGCTTAAAATGACCTCGCAGTAGCATTAAAGTGGCGGACTATACATACACACTCGCAGCGTGCTGGGACAGTAAGTACTTATAAGTAACGCGAGGCCCACATGGATCAATAGTGAGAACTCCCAAATCATAGAATGGTGAAATCAAGGGGCAGATCCTGATCCATGACACCACCCTTCTCGTATTGCTGCAGTCAGCACACCCTTCCTGTTGAGCCAGCCATCGGGCCTACCTGCCAAGATTTTGGCTATGCAAGGATCGCTTGTCCAATCAGTATCCACACAACGAACTTCAGATTCCCCCGCACGCTCATTGTCGTAATTTCGACTTGTATCCTATCGCACAAACCGGTTTTTGAGTCGATAAGGAGCGCAGCGGTATTCGTCTTGTCACTTCGACTCACATCTCTGAACTCAGCCTTGCACACGTTCTGGCAGATAAAAAGTCCACTCCTTTCCTCTTTTGCGGAAGTAGCTCCGACACTCTAATTGCAGTCAAGAAGATCTACTCTCTTTCATTGAAGTCCGGAGCTTGAAACTGGACACTGACAAGGCCCACAAGTATGAATAAAACTCGCAAACTTCAAAAAACCATTGGAGGAGGTCAAGACCATGAAAAGCTATATATCCTCGTCATGGGTCTGACTGGAGCCGGAAAAAGCACATTCATTTCTATACTCACCGGGAATACAGATATTCCAATTGGCACAGCCGCGGAAATGGATGGAGGTTTGTTATGGCAACCCTGCAACCCTACCCTAAGCCGCTGACATGTCACAGTAACTCAAGAGGTCCAGGATTACATACTCTTCTACCGCCATAGAGGGCTGCTATATGAAATCCACCTTATCGACTCACCAGGCTTTGATGATGGGACCCTGGTAGATGCAGAAGTCCTGTCTCGGATCGCAGAGTATGTGAATATGAATTACCTGTTGAAAGAACGACTCGCAGGAGTTCTTTACTTACACGACATCACCAAAGGAAAAGTTGGAGGTGTTGGCCAGCGCAATCTCCGAATGCTAGAGGAAATGATTGGAGTCAAGGAATTCAAAAACGTCACACTCGTTACCACCAAGTGGGGCTGCACAAAGAGTCCAGACGATGAGCGACAAAGGGAACTTACTCTGAGCACCAACAAAAAGCACTTCGGTACCATGTTAGACAACGATGTAAATCAGTCGAACGCCACAATGGTACAATTCGATCCAAAGTCTAGAACCAAGGCGCACGAGATTATCGAGCCATTCTTAGGAAAGAGATTCACGACCCAGATCTCGAAGGAAATGGTAGACCCCAGAGGACCTAAACTACCACTTGGCGAAACACATGCTGGCAAGGTGGTTGTTGACAACCTTAAGCAATTGGAAGAGACGAAGGAACAGCTTCAAATGGTCCAGAAGGCACAGCATCTTCTCTCACTGAGATACGACGAAACCTTGTTTGATGAGTTCAAACGGAAGCGCAAATATCTCCGCCGCAAACATGGGATGCAGCGCTCCGGCCGATGGGTCATGCGCACATCTATTATTGGAGGTACTATCGCGGCAACGGTACTGACTTTGGGACCAGGCGCTGCGGGTTTTGCATTAGAGCCGGTCTATGAGCAGTCGGTTCGTGGACAGAGAAGGATGGAGAAGAGAGAGAAGGAAGATCTAGAGAAAGAGTTCAAGGAAAAGAGCAAGGATGCCAATCATCTGAAGCCTGTGGACCCACAATGGCTCTGGGACTCAAAAGTTCAGAAGATCGGCGATCTTGAGAGTCACAGCGTTAGGAGTGTCAGCTCCGAGGACGTGCTGGAAGTGGCCAGAAAGGGTGAGATGGTAGGATTCGCGGCTGATGGGGAGGATGATGAAAAGGCGCAGGAGGTTATCTTGAGCGAGTTGGTCACGGAAGCAGAGTCTGAATCAGATTGGGATAATTTAAGTAATATATAGGTCCGAATGCTACACGATCTCTAGCCAGTTTTAGTAGATATGGAAGGCAAAAAGAATAAACACATTTTAAAATAAAACTCTAACCCCTGGATTCCCTGCAATTAGCTTCAAATACGGCTGACTCTACTCAGGAAAGCATAAAGACCTTGAACTAGGGGCTATTCTTTAGCCTTTTACTTCACCCGTGACTAAGCGATCTGGGTGATCGAAGTGTCCCGATGATCCTTCACAGAAGTGAGAGAATGTTGCCTTGTCCCTCTGATTGAATCATATTGAAAGAGCCGCGAACCCCACGTGACTGCGTCGATCATAAAGCGGGGAAAGACAAGGCTGAGCGCAGATCTCTTCTCTCGACTCAATCATCGCTATTTTTATTCAAACATAAACAATATCTGAACGGCCGGTCACAGTTTTCGTGTATCTCTCCCGTCGCGAAGCGCTTCGTCAATACTCATATCCTCGCCATAAAGCATGTCGTGCGTGGGGACGAACAAAGATATGCGATTCTCTCGCATAGATGGGGTAATGAAGAAGTGACACTCCGTGATATGCAGGATCTGTCAAGACCTTCGCAGAAAAAGGGCTACAGCAAACTTCGAGATGCCTGTACTCAGGCTGCAAACGATGGTTATGAACGTTTGTGGGTAGATACATGCTGCATTGATAGGAGCAGCTGCGCGGAGGAAACTCAAATTATCAGCTCAAGGTATCGTTAGTACGGCTCTTCTGCTATCTGCTATACTTATCTCGCAGATGTTCAGGCCAAAGAGAATGGGCAAAATGCTGCGGCTGGGGATTACACAACTGAGAAAACGGATCTTAGACAGCGAGTGGTTCACTCGTGGCCGGACGCTGCAGGAGCTAGTTGCTTCCAAGAAGGTCATCTTTTACGATCAGCAGTGGCACTACTTAGGTACCAAGCAGAGTCTTAGCTCTGCTTTGACTGCTGGAACTGGTGTGCCAGACTTCATACTTCAGGGGGCGTCGCTTGCGAACTGTTCAATTGCGCAACGAATGTCGTGGGCAGGCAATAGGGAAACGAGTGTCCCCGAGATATAGTATATTGCCTCATCGGCATTTTTGACGTCAACATGCCTCTCATGTATGGTGAAGGTGTTGGGTGTCACGTAAGTCACATAGATGAGTGACATATTGCAAACGTGATACTTGCTCCTTTAAAAGTATAAGGAATTATAAAACTATATAATAATTGTCCTCCTATATATAGAATAATTCTTTAATTTAATAATAATAAAAATATAATTATTAAATTATTTTAAATCTATTAAATTATAAAGCTTAATTAATATTAATATATAGGCTAATATTATATTTATTATTATTATAATTAATAATAACTATATTACTACTTTAACCTTATTATTACTTAACTTATATTAATTATAAAAAACTTTTATTTAATAAGTTTAAAAATTTTAGAATAGGAAACTATAATATATAGTCTATTAATATAAAAACCTTATTAATTAAAAAAAAGGTATAGGGTATTATTTATAATAGGTATTAAAGTAAGAAACTTAAACTTTTAATATTATAAAATAGCTTATTATTATTAGTTAAAGCTTTTAATAATTTAATAAATAATAAATAAATTAATAATATTAAATAAGAAAATATAAATAATCTAACTTAAACTTTACTTATATAAAAGATTTATAATACTATTTGCTATTTCTTTAACTATAAAATTAGCTTTTTAATAATATAGTAGAAAGCTTAAAAGAAATATAATATTAAAAATAAAATTATATTAGTTAATAATAAGCTTATTACTATATAAATTATTAATATCTTTAGATATAAAAATATCTAAGAATATTAATTAAAAATTAAAAAGTATATATTTAAATTATATAACCTAAGAAAGATAATATTAGAAACTTAAATATTTATAGCTTTTTAAAAAGAATTAATAGTAACTTAATATCTTTATTTAATCAATATAATTAAAGGGGCTAAGCTAGGCAAATATATTCTTATTATAAATAAAATAATAAATACTTTTATAAATTAAAAGTATTATAATAAAAAAGGTATTTCCTATATAAAGGCTTTACTAATAAAAGTTAAAGGATATAGTAAATAAAATAAGCTAATAAATAATTAAAAAAACTAGAAGAAATACTATAGGTATAATCTTCTAAGTTATTTTATAAAAGATTATCTTTATTTATATATTCTATGCGGCTCAGGGTTAGGATTAGGTAGTGGTCCCGCAGGCAAAAAGGGCAGGCTTGGCGTGTGCGCTTTTCTCCCCCGCTAATTGGCCGCCAGCGGGGGAGTATGAATCACGCTGCATCTTGACCACCAGGGCTCCAATCAATATGATCAAAGGCTCGTTCTGAAGCCCTAATCAAGCGCATTCCAACGATACTTTGATCATATTGATTGGACTATTATTAAGCTCAAAAATCAATGTGCTATTTTGTTGTTTGGCAGGGCCTCTGCAGCTTGGCGTACAACCTCTGCGGCTTGGCGCGTGCGCTTTTAACTATCTACTGATTAGCTGCCGTAGGGAGGTTAAACAACTATTTATATTTTATTTAATAATACTCTATTTTTTATAAAAAGTAGCTTATTTTAAAGCCCTTACTAAGAGTAACCCAATAAACTAAAAATTAAAGTAATTAAACTAATATTAAGCTTTAAAATAAGGATACTAGTTTCTTACTATTATAGGCTTTACTTACTATAATATTATAAAACTAATAGAATAGAAATCTTAGTAAATATTAAGACTAAAAGAATAATTAAAGTTTTATTAAAAAGCCCTTACTTAGAGCTATAAAATAAGATTTTTATTTTTTAAATTAAAGTAATATTAAGCTTAGAATTTAAAGTGCTAGATTCTTAATATTATAAGCTATAAAAATTTTATTATTTAGATATTGTATATTGAATATTTTAACTAATAAAAGATAGTTAACTTTAATTAAAGCTTTATTTAAAAGCTCTAAACTAGGGCTTTTAAAAGAAGTTTAAAAAAAGTTTATAGCTTTAATATTAGTTAAAATATTTAAAATAGAAACTTTATTTAAAATAGTAAATAAAAGCTTAGTATATTACTTTATTGCAAATACTTAAAAATCTTAATAACTTATTTAATATTAAAGCTTTTTAAAAATTTAAAAAAATTTATAAAACTTTAGAAACTAAAGATTAAATCAAAAGTTTAAAATTCTTAAATTTTTAGCTAAATAATATTAAGTTAAGGTTATTTTAATATTTTATTATTTATATATATTATTATTATTATTATAATTTCTATTATTATTATTATTATTATTATTATTATTATTATTATTATTATTATTATTATTATTATTATTATTATTATTATTATTATTATTTAATAATTTAAATATATTTATATAATAATTTTTTTAATAAAATTTAAAATAAAAATAATAAAATTTTTTATATTTTAATTTAATAATAAAAGATTTTATATATTAAGTTTCTTTATAAATAGTTTTAATAGTCTTTTTATTTTTAAGTTAATTTTTTTTATTAATAGTCTTTTTATTTTAATTTTATTAATAATATATTAATTTCTATATATTAATTTTTCTTAAATAAGTTTTTAAATATTAATTTTTATTTATTAATCTTTAATTATATATAAACTTTTTTAATAATATTAATAATTTTTATTATAATAATCTTAAAAATAATAAAATATTTATATATTAAATTATATAATAAAAATAATAATAATATTAGTAATTTTAAATTTAAATATTATTTTTATATTTTTTTATTTTAATAAAAGCTTTTTTTAATATAGAATAAAATATAAAAATAATAACTAATTTATTATAAAACTATATATAATTATTCTTTCTTTTAATAAAAATTTTTCTTAATATTTAAATTTTTATTTTATTTTAATAACAGATTATATATAAAAGTATAAATTATATTTTTTTATAAAATTAAAAGTTTATATTATTTAAATTTTATTAAATATATAAACTATAATAATTAAAAGTTCTTTTTTTTAAAAATTAAAAATATTTTTATTAACTTTTATTATATATAAATATAAGAATTATTATTAAAAAATATTATTATTATTTAAAATTAAAATAATAAATTAATTTAAAAATATTTAATTTTAAAATTATAATAATAAAAATATTTATAGTATAAAATAAATTTTATAATAAAATAATAATACAAAAAGAAAAATAAATAATTAATTAAAGTTAAAATAATTAAATAAATAGCTTTTTTTCTATTATATTTATATAAATATTTTATTTTATAAAAAATAATTAAAATATTAAATTTATTATTAATAAATTTTTTTTAATAATTATATATAATAACTTAATAAAGAAATTAAAAAAATAATTTCTTTTTTATTATATATAAGTATTTTATTTTATTAATAATAATTAATATATTAATTTTATTAATATTAAGTTTATTTTAATAAAATTATATAATACGTTAATAAAAAACTAAATAAATAATTTTTTTTATTATATATAAATATTTTATTTTATAAATTATAATTAAAATAATAACTTTATTAATAATAAACTTTTTTTAATAATTATTAAAATTTTAAAAATTAATTATATTTTTATATTAATTTAAATATTATATATATAAAAAAAATTAAATAAAATTATTTATATACTTTATTTTTCATTTTTTAAAAATTATATAAAATTAAATTAATTAAAAATTTTATTTCTTATAAATATTTATTAAAATATTTTTAAATATTTTATAAATAAATATTTTATTTAAATAATAAATATATATAATTAAATAATTTTATAAAATATATAGTTTTAAAATATTACATTAAATATAATAATATTTAATAATTTTATTATTTAATTAATAATTATTATATTATTTATTAATAGTTTAAATATAAATATATAATTTTATATTATTTATTATTTAATTATAAAAGATTTTATTTTATTTTTTTATTATTTTTATTAATAATAATATAATAAAATAAATTAAAATTAAATATTAATATTTTGTTAACTTAATAATAATTATATAAATTATAGAAATTATATTTTTTATTAAATAATAATAACTTATAAATTTTAATAGCTATAGCTATTATTTAATTTTAATTTAATAAAAATTATTTATAATTATTTATAAAAATAAAATTAAAGTTTTTTTATTTTTTAATATAATTTTTATTATTTAGCTAATTTATATATATTTTATTTATTATTATTATACTTTTAAATTAATTTTAAAAAGAATAAAATTAATAATTAAAAAACAACTTATTAAAAATAAAAAATATATATAATTAGAAAAAATAAAACTATAATAATTAATATATAAATATATTAATATATATTTTAAAATTAATAATATATTATTAGTTTTTTAAAATAATATTTTTAATTTTTTATTAATAATAATAGTTTAATTCTTTTTAAAAATAAAACTATTAACTATATTAATAAAAACTATATATATAAATATTATTTTATTATTTTTAATAAATAATTTAAAAAGATTTATAGCTTTTTTATTATTAAATTTAATAATTATTTCTTTATTAAAAATTATATATTAATTAATAATATTAAGTTTAATTAAATATTAATAAAAAAAATATAATATAATATAATTTAAAAATTTTTATTATATAAAAATTATAAATATTAAAAAATTTTAAATATTTTTTTTAAATATATTTTTATATAAATATTATAAATTAAATAATAATAAATAATATAAATATTTAAATAATAAAAATATACTAAATAAAATTAAATTTTTATATATAATTTAAATAATTTTTATTAAATTAAATTAAATATTAAATAATTAAAATTAAATATTATTAAAATAATAATATAATTTATAATTTAATAATTATTATTAATTAAATATATTAATATTATTTTAATTATTTATTATATATTATTAATATATTTAATGTAAATATAAATTTTATAATTAAATATTTAATATTATAAAATTATATATTTTATTTAAATATTAATAATAATATATTATTTATAATTAAATAATAAAATTATTAAATATTAATATTTAATATAATATAAAATATATATTATAATATTTAATATATATATTTATTATTTTAATTTTATTTATAAATATTTAAATTTTTATAAATTTTATATTTTAATTAATTTAATTTATATAATTAAAATTTAAAATATATTTAATATAATTTTATTAATTTTTTTTATATTATATTATTTAAATTAATATTAAAATATAATTTAATTTTTAAATTTTTTATAATTATTTAATAAGTTTATTATTAATAATTATATATTTTAATTATATTTTTTATATAAAATCTTTATTATATAATTATATTATTTATTTAGTTTTTTATTAATTTATTATATAATTTTATTTATATAATTAATATTAATAAAATTATATATTAATTATTATTAATAAATATATTAGTTATATTAATAAGATTATTTTTTAATTTCTTTATTAAGTTATTATATTAATTATTAAAATTTATTAATTTAAATTTATATTTTATTTATTTTTTATAAATTAATATTTATTTTTTTTTAATCTTAAGTTATTTATTTATTATTTTAATTATTTTATTTATTTTTCTTTTATTTTATTTTATATAAATTTTTTATATTTTAAATATTTTTATTATTATAATTTTAAAATATATTTATAAATAATTTATAATTTAATTTTAAATAATTAATATTTTATAATATTTATATTTATATGTATAAGTTATATAAGATTTTATTTATATAAAATTAATTATTAATTTATAAATTTAATAATAATTTAATTTATATAATTAAAATTTATAAAAATATTTTAATTAAATTTTAATAAATCTTTTATTATAATTAAATTTAATAATTTAAATATATTATTTTTTTTTTTTAATTATTTTATAAATTATTATTTTTAATTTTAAATAATTTATTATAAAAATATAAAAATAATATTTAAATTTAAATTTTAATTTTATTTAATATATTTATATATATAATTTTATTATTTTAAAAATTTTATATTTAAAATTATAAATATTATTAAAAAATTTATATATAATTAAAAATTAATAGTTAAAAATTAATATTTAAAAATTTATTTAAAAAAATTAATATATAAAAATTAATTTATTATTTATAAAATAAAATAAAGACTATTAAAAAAAAATTAAATTTATTTATAAAAATAATATATAAAATCTTTTTATTAAATTAATATATAAAATATTATTAGTTTTATTTTAAATTTTTAAAAAATTTTATTATTATTATTTTTAAATTATTAATAATAATAATAATAATATATAAATATAATTAAATTATTAAAATAATAATAATAATAATAATAATAATAATAATAATAATAATAATAATAATAATAATAATAATAATAATAATAATAATAATAATAATAATATATTAATAAATAAAAATAATTATATATATAATAATATATATAATAATATATATAAATAATAAAATATTAAAATATTAAAACTTAATACTATTTAGTTAAATATTTAAAAATTTTAAATTTTCTATTTAATCTTTAGTCTCTAAGGTTCTATAAATTTTTTTAAATTTTTAAAAAGCTTAAATATTAAATAAGTTATTAAGATTTTTAAGTACTTGCAATAAAGTAATATACTAAGCTTTTATTTACTATTTTAAAAAAGTTTCTAACTTAAATATTTTAACTAATATTAAAGTTATAAACTTTTCTTAAACTTCTTTTAAAAGCCCTAGTTTAGAGCTTTTAAATAAAGTTTTAATTAAAGTTTTTTATCTTTTATTAGTTAAGATATTTAATATATAATATCTAAATAATATAACTTTTAAAGTATATAATACTAAGAATCTAGCACTTTAAATTCTAAGCTTAATATTACTTTAATTTAAAAAAAAGAGCTTATTTTATAACTCTAAGAAAAGGCTTTTTAATAAAACTTTAATTATTCTTTTATTTTTAATATTTATTAAAATATTTATTCTATTAGTTTTATAATATTATTATAAGTAGAGCTTATAATCGTAAGAAACTAGTATCCCTATTCTAGAGCTTAATATTAGTCTAATTACTTTAATTTTTAGCTTATTAAGTTACTCTTAAAAAGGGCTTTAAAATAAGCTACTTTTTATAAAAAATAAAGTATTATTAAATAAAATATTAATAGTTTTTTAACCTCCCTATAGTAGCTAATTAATAAATAGCTAAAAGCATATACGCTAAGCCGCAGAGGTTGTATGCCAAGCTGCAAAGGCCTTACTTTATAACAAAATAGTATATTAGTTTCTAAGCTTAATAATAGTCTAATTAATATAATTAAAGTATTATTAAAATGCGCTTAATTAAGGCTTTAAAACAAGCTTTTAATTATATTAATTAGAGCCCTAGTAGTTAAGATGTAGCGTAATTTATACTCCCCGCTAGCAGTTAATTAGCGGGGGAGAAAAGCGCACACGCCAAGCCTGCCCTTTTTGCCTGCGGGACCACTACCTAATCCTAACCCTGAGCCGCATAGAATATATAAATAAAGATAATCTTTTATAAAATAACTTAGAAGATTATACCTATAGTATTTCTTCTAGTTTTTTTAATTATTTATTAGCTTATTTTATTTACTATATCCTTTAACTTTTATTAGTAAAGCCTTTATATAGGAAATACCTTTTTTATTATAATACTTTTAATTTATAAAAGTATTTATTATTTTATTTATAATAAGAATATATTTGCCTAGCTTAGCCCCTTTAATTATATTGATTAAATAAAGATATTAAGTTACTATTAATTCTTTTTAAAAAGCTATAAATATTTAAGTTTCTAATATTATCTTTCTTAGGTTATATAATTTAAATATATACTTTTTAATTTTTAATTAATATTCTTAGATATTTTTATATCTAAAGATATTAATAATTTATATAGTAATAAGCTTATTATTAACTAATATAATTTTATTTTTAATATTATATTTCTTTTAAGCTTTCTACTATATTATTAAAAAGCTAATTTTATAGTTAAAGAAATAGCAAATAGTATTATAAATCTTTTATATAAGTAAAGTTTAAGTTAGATTATTTATATTTTCTTATTTAATATTATTAATTTATTTATTATTTATTAAATTATTAAAAGCTTTAACTAATAATAATAAGCTATTTTATAATATTAAAAGTTTAAGTTTCTTACTTTAATACCTATTATAAATAATACCCTATACCTTTTTTTTAATTAATAAGGTTTTTATATTAATAGACTATATATTATAGTTTCCTATTCTAAAATTTTTAAACTTATTAAATAAAAGTTTTTTATAATTAATATAAGTTAAGTAATAATAAGGTTAAAGTAGTAATATAGTTATTATTAATTATAATAATAATAAATATAATATTAGCCTATATATTAATATTAATTAAGCTTTATAATTTAATAGATTTAAAATAATTTAATAATTATATTTTTATTATTATTAAATTAAAGAATTATTCTATATATAGGAGGACAATTATTATATAGTTTTATAATTCCTTATACTTTTAAAGGAGCAAGTATCACGTTTGCAATATGTCACTCATCTATGTGACTTACGTGACACCCAACACCTTCACCATACATGAGAGGCATGTTGACGTCAAAAATGCCGATGAGGCAATATACTATATCTCGGGGACACTCGTTTCCCTATTGCCTGCCCACGACATTCGTTGCGCAATTGAACAGTTCGCAAGCGACGCCCCCTGAAGTATGAAGTCTGGCACACCAGTTCCAGCAGTCAAAGCAGAGCTAAGACTCTGCTTGGTACCTAAGTAGTGCCACTGCTGATCGTAAAAGATGACCTTCTTGGAAGCAACTAGCTCCTGCAGCGTCCGGCCACGAGTGAACCACTCGCTGTCTAAGATCCGTTTTCTCAGTTGTGTAATCCCCAGCCGCAGCATTTTGCCCATTCTCTTTGGCCTGAACATCTGCGAGATAAGTATAGCAGATAGCAGAAGAGCCGTACTAACGATACCTTGAGCTGATAATTTGAGTTTCCTCCGCGCAGCTGCTCCTATCAATGCAGCATGTATCTACCCACAAACGTTCATAACCATCGTTTGCAGCCTGAGTACAGGCATCTCGAAGTTTGCTGTAGCCCTTTTTCTGCGAAGGTCTTGACAGATCCTGCATATCACGGAGTGTCACTTCTTCATTACCCCATCTATGCGAGAGAATCGCATATCTTTGTTCGTCCCCACGCACGACATGCTTTATGGCGAGGATATGAGTATTGACGAAGCGCTTCGCGACGGGAGAGATACACGAAAACTGTGACCGGCCGTTCAGATATTGTTTATGTTTGAATAAAAATAGCGATGATTGAGTCGAGAGAAGAGATCTGCGCTCAGCCTTGTCTTTCCCCGCTTTATGATCGACGCAGTCACGTGGGGTTCGCGGCTCTTTCAATATGATTCAATCAGAGGGACAAGGCAACATTCTCTCACTTCTGTGAAGGATCATCGGGACACTTCGATCACCCAGATCGCTTAGTCACGGGTGAAGTAAAAGGCTAAAGAATAGCCCCTAGTTCAAGGTCTTTATGCTTTCCTGAGTAGAGTCAGCCGTATTTGAAGCTAATTGCAGGGAATCCAGGGGTTAGAGTTTTATTTTAAAATGTGTTTATTCTTTTTGCCTTCCATATCTACTAAAACTGGCTAGAGATCGTGTAGCATTCGGACCTATATATTACTTAAATTATCCCAATCTGATTCAGACTCTGCTTCCGTGACCAACTCGCTCAAGATAACCTCCTGCGCCTTTTCATCATCCTCCCCATCAGCCGCGAATCCTACCATCTCACCCTTTCTGGCCACTTCCAGCACGTCCTCGGAGCTGACACTCCTAACGCTGTGACTCTCAAGATCGCCGATCTTCTGAACTTTTGAGTCCCAGAGCCATTGTGGGTCCACAGGCTTCAGATGATTGGCATCCTTGCTCTTTTCCTTGAACTCTTTCTCTAGATCTTCCTTCTCTCTCTTCTCCATCCTTCTCTGTCCACGAACCGACTGCTCATAGACCGGCTCTAATGCAAAACCCGCAGCGCCTGGTCCCAAAGTCAGTACCGTTGCCGCGATAGTACCTCCAATAATAGATGTGCGCATGACCCATCGGCCGGAGCGCTGCATCCCATGTTTGCGGCGGAGATATTTGCGCTTCCGTTTGAACTCATCAAACAAGGTTTCGTCGTATCTCAGTGAGAGAAGATGCTGTGCCTTCTGGACCATTTGAAGCTGTTCCTTCGTCTCTTCCAATTGCTTAAGGTTGTCAACAACCACCTTGCCAGCATGTGTTTCGCCAAGTGGTAGTTTAGGTCCTCTGGGGTCTACCATTTCCTTCGAGATCTGGGTCGTGAATCTCTTTCCTAAGAATGGCTCGATAATCTCGTGCGCCTTGGTTCTAGACTTTGGATCGAATTGTACCATTGTGGCGTTCGACTGATTTACATCGTTGTCTAACATGGTACCGAAGTGCTTTTTGTTGGTGCTCAGAGTAAGTTCCCTTTGTCGCTCATCGTCTGGACTCTTTGTGCAGCCCCACTTGGTGGTAACGAGTGTGACGTTTTTGAATTCCTTGACTCCAATCATTTCCTCTAGCATTCGGAGATTGCGCTGGCCAACACCTCCAACTTTTCCTTTGGTGATGTCGTGTAAGTAAAGAACTCCTGCGAGTCGTTCTTTCAACAGGTAATTCATATTCACATACTCTGCGATCCGAGACAGGACTTCTGCATCTACCAGGGTCCCATCATCAAAGCCTGGTGAGTCGATAAGGTGGATTTCATATAGCAGCCCTCTATGGCGGTAGAAGAGTATGTAATCCTGGACCTCTTGAGTTACTGTGACATGTCAGCGGCTTAGGGTAGGGTTGCAGGGTTGCCATAACAAACCTCCATCCATTTCCGCGGCTGTGCCAATTGGAATATCTGTATTCCCGGTGAGTATAGAAATGAATGTGCTTTTTCCGGCTCCAGTCAGACCCATGACGAGGATATATAGCTTTTCATGGTCTTGACCTCCTCCAATGGTTTTTTGAAGTTTGCGAGTTTTATTCATACTTGTGGGCCTTGTCAGTGTCCAGTTTCAAGCTCCGGACTTCAATGAAAGAGAGTAGATCTTCTTGACTGCAATTAGAGTGTCGGAGCTACTTCCGCAAAAGAGGAAAGGAGTGGACTTTTTATCTGCCAGAACGTGTGCAAGGCTGAGTTCAGAGATGTGAGTCGAAGTGACAAGACGAATACCGCTGCGCTCCTTATCGACTCAAAAACCGGTTTGTGCGATAGGATACAAGTCGAAATTACGACAATGAGCGTGCGGGGGAATCTGAAGTTCGTTGTGTGGATACTGATTGGACAAGCGATCCTTGCATAGCCAAAATCTTGGCAGGTAGGCCCGATGGCTGGCTCAACAGGAAGGGTGTGCTGACTGCAGCAATACGAGAAGGGTGGTGTCATGGATCAGGATCTGCCCCTTGATTTCACCATTCTATGATTTGGGAGTTCTCACTATTGATCCATGTGGGCCTCGCGTTACTTATAAGTACTTACTGTCCCAGCACGCTGCGAGTGTGTATGTATAGTCCGCCACTTTAATGCTACTGCGAGGTCATTTTAAGCATTCTGCTGGCTATAGTGGTGGAAGATGGTGTCAAGAAATGCTGAAAGACATGGATGATGAACTTAGTTCAAAGCAAACAAGGGAAATTGATAGGGACTGTACTCCGCTAGGAACCCTCTGAAGACGAGTCACCCAGCCTCTATGCATGTTAGAAAATGTTGGCACTCATATCTCTCCTAGGATATGATGAAGACCAAGCTACAAGCTCCCTTCACCTTCAATGATCAGCTCTATTGCATATGACCCCACAAGGCAGACCAAAGATTCTCATCGGAGCTGATTGCTTGGCATGTACCTCCGCGAGGCATGATCCAATTAAAGAGACGACCCTAATCACGCTTATCGCTGCGATGGTCATCAGGGAGCTCCTGCCACCCATTTCGCCTGTCAAAGTATTCTTGGCCAGGGCTAAATACGAATATCACCTAACTGGCTATCATATTTTCACCAGCGGGGTAAGACTTCTTGAGGCAACCAGCTTGTCATGGCTCGCAGGATCTGCCTCCGCGGAGATTGCTATTTAATTCTTTCCGCCAATGAGCCCGACGTCGATTTCGATGACTTGCAGAAGTAAAGAATTCATACACGAGCCAATGGAGATCCATTCTCGTTCATCACTTCAGCGGTGGCTGTCCTACAGATTAGCTGAAATCTGTCCAGCACGCTTGTGCAACACTTGGCCCCTGCGAAGGACATCCTTGACTTCCAAACATGTGAGACTAGTACCTGGGGCTACATACGCCCGAAAAGATTTCTGACGATAAGATCATTCAAACGAGTGATTTCAAGGCCGATTTTGCAAGATTAGAAAGGAGTGGAGAAGAGATGCGTGCTGCGGCTAGCGCCCCTTAGGATTACAAAATGGGTCCTGCAATTTCAGCACTGAGCTTCGATGGTTTTGAAACGAACACGAAGGTTTTTCTCCAAGTCGATATTTAGGCTACTCCATTCGAAGGCTTCTTAATAGTGCAACAAAGCAGGAATCGTCGCAGAGCATGCAATGTACCTAGCGCATGCGCTACTGATCTTTTGAGGTTTCAGCGTACACAGCTTTTATCGCTCACTGCGTGGATTGTTGGGCCAACAACCATTCAATGTGCTCTATCTGTGTCTATCGAGTCTGGTGATGCTTTTGCACGACTAAGCCTCTAACGAGGAGAGCGACAGAAGTCTTTGTTCAAATATAAGACTACATTGCGAGAGATACCCTCAAAACTAGAGACTCCATAACAGCTGAGGAAGCAGCTCTGGACGCATGTCCTGGGAACAATCGTACTGAAGGCGTGAAATAAGACATCATAAAAGTGGAAGAAACAGCAAAAGAAACATACCTTACTCACGGAGTGCGTGCGCTCATCTGCATGAAAAATTTTGCGCCACATGGAATGCCCGGTCTTAGTATCAATCGTGAGGTAATCATGCACGGACCAATTGACTCCCTCGCATATCAGGTACCCAAATTCCTCTACTTTGCACTCAAGAGCTCGTGGTACGATATTCAATCTCAATTGTGTCCAGGAAGCATTGAATATCTCAATACATACGAGAACCATGCTTTCACCTTTATGCTTTTTTTTATGGGTGCAACGGGAATCTACCAGTTCATTGAGGCCATGCTCCCCCGTAAGCGCTCTTTTAAACGCTACTATAAAGCTATTAGTATCTCCACAGCAGGATCTTATATCAACATGAATTTCGCGAGTTTCTATTTCATCGTTGCCTCGTCATGAGTAGTGCTGAACCTCTGGGGATGGACTTTCCATGGACCGCGCGATGAAGATCGTGCCATTTGCAGCCCAATGGACACGACATCATGAAATTGTATGGCAGTCTCTTACGCAACTCGATCTCGCATCTCTCCTCAAGCATCCTCTAGCACGCTAGGGGTAATCAATAATCCTGGGATTCCGGGACATGGGATCCAGTGCGTCTCGTTGGCCGACCTTAGCCGCTCGTGGTCGCGTGTTTTCTTTGTTTGGAGGGCGAAGACGTGATCCTTTGGTTATTTGAACCACAACGACCACAAAAACGCACAAACAGTCGGCAACAGGATCCAAGTTGATCTTGAGGTGGAAGTGAAGATCAAATGGTGGTCTGATATGTCGATGAGACTTTGAGGCAGCACCATATGTGTTTCAGTCTGGGAAGGCAACAATGCACTATCATCGCTTCGCAAGCGGCAACTATCTCAAGAATGCTGCATATCATCCTCAATTCCAGCACCTCGTCTCTGGGACCGATCTAGCAGCAGGGAACGATCTAAGACCAAACGTTCTAGGCTCCGTTTCGATCTTCCCCAACCCTGGATTTCGAGTAAAATGCTATCGCATCTTGCGCATCATCGCATGACGAGGCTTCGCTTACAGCCTATGGGCGTCTCTCCAATGGTGGCTCTGCGGATGGCGCCTAGCTGCTTCCACACATATGAAACATGTTGTTTCAAGGAAGCAATAGAAGCGCGCTGCTTGCCGAAACAATCATATATCAAACACTCACGAGGCCACGTCGCGGGCGTGTTTCTGCTCGATAACAAGACCCAGAGTGATTCCTCCTCGCTTATTTGCTCCTCGCCAGGCATCTCATCCACCGTGATTTCTTCCTACTCTTACGCTACGACATATTCTTCTCGAGTACAAAGGCTTACGACATCAATCACTCGGCACGAGCTTGACTCCTCATTCTCACAGCATCCGAGACACAAGAGTCAGGATCCCCCATCCCGATTCTTGCCTGCAAATCCCCAAGCATATCTACCTCTCAGCTGCCCGAATCTGGGCAAGGAAGACAAATCTCACCGCGACGTGTGAGACTTCACGATCTCTTCCCATTCCCTGGAAGAATGGGTCAGTACACGTTGAACGTAGAGATCGACGACACCTGGGTCGACTACTTCACCCAACATGAGTACCACTTCTGCTTTGCCAGAGTCATCCGAGGCGCCTCGGGCGAACACATCTCAAACGTAGGCGCCTGGTCTCCATCCTCACTTGTCACTCACTCACAGTGTAATGGCTGATTGTTTCACTCAATTCTTAGGTCATCGCCCATTCCGATATCGTCATGCCTTCCATCCAAGTGACACTGAAAGACGACTTTGCAATGGCTGCTTCATCGCAAGGCTTTTCGAGTGGAAGTAAGACCCCACAGTCTTCTCTCACAGCCCACTCACTCGTCCTTCTCCACGAAACGTCACTAATTCTGCCTTAACATAGCCAAAATAGCGCTCGCCACACCCCACCGCCGCGTAGACAAGGGGCAATCCGCCACTCTCCCCTCCTGGGACGCGGGCCTCACGAAATCCGACTCCGACTCCGCCCCGCGCGATGGGTTCCTCTTCGACACCACCCCCGCGGCCGCCGCCGTGCTGATCCAATCCGTGAACGGCAAGAACCGACCCGTATACATCACGCCGCACGGTGTGATGGGACAAAGCTCGAAGGAGCCGATAGTGCCGTTGCCGCGAGTGGCGGTGTGGTTTCAGCGGGATGTGGAAATTGGGACGATGATGGATGCGTGGATGCGGAAGGCGTTCTTTGTGCCGATGGGCACGGATGGGAGTATTAGTACGGTGTTGTATGATGCGAAGGGATGCTGGCATGTGGTTGGGCAGCCGATTGATTATACGCATGGCAGGTTTGCGAAACATTTGGCGGGGGTTATGAGTCCGTTGTCGGATAAGGCTAGTGGAATGAGTGGTTCGGGTGACATGATGTTTTAGGGTGATGCTTGATGTTTGATGGAAGTCGAAGTTAAGGGGTCCTGGTGGGATGAAGGGTTTAGATGCTACATATTTTGGAATGTGGAGATGTGAAAGGTTTTGTATGTGTTTTTGTACCGGTACGCGACATCATTTTCGGAAGAAAAAACTCTTTCGAGGCAACTCGAGCACATGTCTCAGTTTCCTGATCTGTCTATTCAATTAATTGACATATTCAAGTACCTGTATCAAGTCTGGCAGCAGGGTTTCACGGCAGCCACATCTCTGGTGACAAGGTCTATATTGAGAGTCTTATGAAATTGTCGCGATAGCCAAAGATTTTTGAGTAGTGCGTCGTATTCAAAGAGCGGCCACGATTCAGCCGTCTTTTGAAGTCAATTCTTCAATTTGTTACCAGCTATCAATACAAAGCACTTCCGAGAGGCACCTGTGTTACTATGGAAGCGAAGAAAGAAAGCCAGAATCCACGTAAATTGATGTATTAAAAAGACTAAAGAACCTTGTGTCGACAAGTATTGACCTCCATATATGTACTCCGCATCGGCACTCCCTCATTACCCTAGTCTTCTTGCTCCCTTCAGACGCGGGGCGGCCTAGGGGGTAGCGCACCCTGAAAACCCTTGCATCTGTCATCTTTTAGATCAGCGTTCTGACCATTGCAAGTACATGTGCAAGCCTTGTTCACAAAAGGACCACTTGGTTGCTGGCACTCGGGGCTCGG